AGCTGGAGGATGACGAATCAGACGAGGACGAATTCTATGAGCGCTTGGAGAAATGGCAGAATACCCGACAGCCTAAGCAACCCGAGCCGTCTAGATTTGAGCCTCCTACGGGTCATCGTCGAAACGCAGTCGATCTGCAGTCAAAGTTTGCAAAGGAAGGATTGCAAGTAATTGTCAAGCTGGCCAACATCGAGCTTACGCCTGAGAAACCAGAGTATGAAGGGGGCTCCTGGCACATTGAAGGACAACTAGTATGGCAAAATCGTCCCCAGCAAATATCAGCTATTAACCCAAGATTAGAACGAGCGGATTTGTGCTACAGCGATTTACTATTATGACTCGCAAAACATCACCGACAACACCCTCTCCTTCCGTCACCGTGCCGATGACAGACATTTCGATGACCTTTACTATGAACAGGGCGAGTTCCAATTCTTGCGTGTATTCGGCTTTGAGCCCAGTGCCGGCGGCTTCGTCGAGGAACAGATAACTCAAGACCTGGGAGCGGTAACCTGCCGTGAAGGACGCCTTTTGACGTTCCCAAACACACTGCAGCACCGCGTCTCTGCCTTCTCGCTCTCTGATCGCTCTAAGCCAGGTCACCGCAAGATTCTCGCGCTTTTCCTCATTGACCCTAGTCGACGAATTATTTCGACCGCTAATGTCCCGCCCCAGCGAGAGGACTGGTGCAAGGAATGGAAGCAATCCGTCGACGACGTATTGGGGAAGCGATTACCGGTCGAGTTGCAGAATATGGTGCATAAGACTGTTGACTTTACACCGATGACTATGGATGAAGCCAAGGAGTATCGGTTGAAACTTATGGACGAGAGGTCTGCCAAATCTATCCAGACCAATCGTGTTTTCGAAACGGGGCACTTTTCTCTATGCGAACACTGAGTTTCCCCATCCTTTTCCAGGTCCACCATTTCCGTACCTCAGTCTCCTATGGACTTTTCTTGTAATATTACATCTACACTACGCAATCAGAAAGAAATTCAACGTCCTTTTCTCAGGGACCCTACAGCACCGGTACTGGGAGAGCTAGTGTAGCGTCTTGTACGGATAGACCCGATATAACATCCCAAAATCCAATCCTGAGAGATTGCTAGTCCATATGTAAGCCTACGTGTCAATTCCAAAATGATAAACCATCACTTACACCGCAAACCGAGACATCGCGGGTATAGGATACTTTCATTGGCACGCGAGGATATTTCTTCGTCACCTGGAATTTCATTCTCTGCTTTTTTGCCAGTTAGACTTTTGACCCTACTCTTATAGGATAACTTGAAATTGTATTCTAGCAGGGCGCGTGTGCTCATTTAGAGCTGTGCAACTTAATTTCTATAGTTATTAAAGATGACACTTTAGAATAAGAAGTTAGGTACTACTATTAATATTTTAAGAAGTGAAATAGAAATCCTCCTCCTCCTTCTTCCTGATAGCTACAGTCTTAGATCCTTAACGAGAATATAAGTAGATCAATCCGCCAAGGTGCATTACGAGCATGATATCCGCGTCGAGAAATCTGCTTGCGGAAATGAAGAGGAGCAGCGGCCGGTCCCAGGCGAGGCGCATGGCGCAGATGCCCATCGCTTTTCCGTGGTCAAGTGCGAAGCTGATGAGGATTGGCTCATTGGGGGCACGCAGACCCCGGCAACGGTTCAGGCTGCTGCTTCACGACAGGAGACAACTTGCTAAGCAGGAATTTCTCCTCGTATACCCCTTGGAGAAGGGACGTGAGATGGGCAATCCTTTCGCCCGTCGAATTGCTTTAAAGCGGGCGATCCGTGGTTTGCACCCTTGAAAGATGTAGACATTTGGGCTTTGCAGGTCATTCAGATTCTAGGAATCGTCGCATGTGCTTTTCTACTAGAGTCATGAGATATCAAATTGCTAGTCCTTCATCTGCTTAAACCTCTCCACTACCTGCCGATAACTCCCCGTTTCCAACTCCTCCACCAAACTCGGCCCCGACGGCTTCCATCCCAACTTCTCGACAGCCTTCCCATTCGAAGCCCGAATCGTCAGCCCAAAGAACCTTGACAGGAAATCCCCCCACCTCTCCTCCGCCTCCTCCCTCTCAAATGCCCTAACCGGGACCCCAACCGCCCTCCCAATCGCTCCGGCCAGCATCCCATACGTCGTATCCCAGTCGCCCGTCCCGTGAAATATCTCGCCGGCTTTAACAGTCTTATCCGACGCCAGCAGCAAGAACAGCGCCGCTGCATCGTCCACATACACACTGCTCACGCACCCATCTTTTACAGACGCAATATACCCGCTCACCCCATTATCAACAGCCATATTGACCATTCTTGCCGCGAACCCCGTCTCGTTCGCCCGGCCGTACACATACGGCGGGAAGCGGACAACATTAACCCGCACACCCCTCTCCGCCCATGACAGCGCGTTCTTCTCGCACAGATGCCGCCTGACCCTGGTGTTTTCGGCATAGGGCGCCGACTCGTCGACGACGATGTTGTCTCGGTCTGGGCGCACGGTGAGAATCCCACTGGCGACGATGAGGGGTTTGGAGGTTCCGACTAGCGGGGCGGCCAGGGCGTCGACGGCCTCAGTGTCGAGCTTGATGATTTGGTCGTAGGATTTGCTGAAGTCGTGGTCGAAGGCGAGGTGGAAGGTGGCGTCTGCTTTTGCGGATTGTTCGCGGAGAATGTTGTGTGTGGCTAGATCACCGCGGATGGGGACGGCCCCGAGGGAGGTGAGAAGCTCGTCGCGCTGGGGGCTGCGGGAGAGGCCGTGAACGGTGTGGCCTTGTTGGATGGCGAGTTCGGTGATGACGCGGCCGATGAAGCCTGTTGCGCCGGTTATGAAGATGTGCATTCTGTACTGTGTGGGGTGAGCGATAGCTTGGCGGTATTCTTGGTGATGCGGAGGACGGGGGCTCAGCCGCGCTATATACCGAGACGGATTTTGGGACATCGGACTTAGGGGTTTAGGTTGATGCGGACAGAGGATTATTTGGAGACAAGTTGCTCCTAGCAGGATATATTTTATTGAAGCTGATTGTGCTGATCAATTGTAACGCCTCAAATATCCTGGTCATGGTTGAATAATGAATTAGGGTCATAGTCAATGTTGACGCTTTGGTCATCAAGACCAGTTAACATTTGCTCCGGGTAAAGGTACGGAATATCACAACAGACTTCCATGACATTAAATAACTCTCGTTTTAATGCTTGACTGGTAAATTTAATCTCACTGGCAGTTTTATGCAGCCAATGACATCAACTTCGTTTTGCTTCCTGGCTTGAGTCATCGTCCTCTTCGAAGGACATACATATATCATCGTACATCAAAAGCACCAGCACTCTCCTCATCTGTCTCATAATCGAGTGTTCAATGTAAAATGCCCAAAGTAGCCATCGCAGGAAGATCCTGCCCAACCCTGGGCGCATCCATTCTCGGCCCCCTCACCAACACCCACTGGAGCCTGGTCATCCTCTAGCGGCAACCCAACAGTCCTAAACTTTCGCCTCCAGGCACTGAAACCCTGCTATGTTGATTATTTATCCCATACATCTCTCGTCACTGCACTTGAAAGTTTGAGGTGTAATTTTGCCCTTGTCCTCAGCTTTATGGAGAAAGTCCAGGTAATCTTGGTGCGACGATGCAAATGCTGCGTATATTTTGTCCGTCCTGTGAGAACATAAGATGACTAGAAGTTCAAGTAACAGTTAGTGCGTGCTGATCGAAATGGTTCATGGATTGGCACCGATCAATTGTTCAGATTTGGGAAAACACCCTATTTTAATATCCAGCCGACCCTCTCGGATCCCTCCTGCATCAGTATAGCATTTTCCAGGACAATTATTGGAAGCTTCCGTGATGCGTCAATGTTCGAAAAGCTGCCACGACAGACTGCGGCTATTTCTCTCGGCATTCTGTCTGCTTAACGACCGTGTAGTTAAAGCCAGGCCGGTTTGCATTGTACTGCGGTATTCCAATGTTCCGTCATCCTAACGTGTGGGAGGTGCGAGCAAACTACTATGTAAGGGATTTTGATCCACACTTTGCAAAGTCGCGCTCCTAGTATATGCTAGCTGTCCTACTCCAAGAGATGTTTCAGCCATTGGTGTAGGACCTCTGGGTCAAGGACGTCATCGAATTAGTACTAACATGCAGGCAACAAGCGTGCATGCGATGTTGGTCATCCCATGCTGGGATAGGTAGGGTCTGATTATTATCACTCTTGTAGATTAGAGTTGCATTCAGTCTGAGTTCAGACAAATTCAAACCAGCTGGCACTGAACTGCTGCGATTTCAAGTGACAAATCCAAATTCTAGGAAGCAGAAGTTGCAGACCTCACCCTGACCCTGTGTGGATGTGTGATTCAGTATGAGTTTCTTTGTAAATCTTAGATCTTCCTCAGTCGTCTTCTGAAGCTCCTGCGCTGTAAACGTGATATAAACTTCGGGGATCAGCAAACACGGCAGTGCCCAGCTGTGGAGACCTAGGTCCTCCGTACTACCCAAGAGCGTGGGTGCTAAAACCTTGGTATCCGTTGAGTGGACAACTTACCACTCCGAATACGAGATATTCTGTAACCAAGCGCCAATCCCAACAGGCTAGGGATTTTCTTTCCGTTGATTGGTGGTTCTTAAATTAGATCCCGTGGTTGCTTACTCGCTTCTCCTGAGCAGGGCTGAATGGTTGAGTTCCATGAGGCTGAGCCTGGCGCTGGTGGCCTAAAGAGTTATTAAGAGTTGGTGTGTTGGTAGCCGGATTTGCATAGAAATACGTCTGGAAGAATTTGAGTATCTAATTCGCTGTTGATCCCATGAGGCTGAGCCTGGCGCTGGTGGCCTAAGAGTTGTTGAGAGTTGGTGTGTTGGTGCCTGGATATAAATACTTCTGGTCGAATTGCCCTGATATTCTCTTGTTTGTCTTATCATTTAACAATATTCTCAACATATTCACATCGTACGGAGTATAACTTAACTTTGTCACCCTCCAAACGCCTGCACTTACCATCATGTACCTCACCAAGCTGATATCCTTCGCTCTCGTTGCCACTATAGCCACCGCGGCTGCGGCTCCGTTTCAACTGGAGGAACGACAGAGCAACGCCTGCCAGCAAGCATTAGCCGAACTCAACCAAGCCTCGTCCTATTATACAAGTGTCGCCGCAAAGTGGAATGGCGACGCCGCTGTAAGGCCAAAACTCATCTCTTAAGCAGAAGCACTCGACTAATCCGTAATATTTTTTAGGCTGCGCTCAGAAATGGCATCCAAAGATTGCAAAGTGCGGCTAGCTCTATAAACCAGGTCTGCTCACAGATGGACCAGGCGATTTCCCATTCGGGCCAGGCTTAGTATGCTATTTTTCCCCTCCTGGAGTTATGGATTGGTTCAACATCGCTAACAAGAATAAACTTGTGCAGCCAGTCAACAGAGAGCCAAAACGCCAATAACTGGCAGTAAGCCTGGGACAGCGTTTAGTTGGAAATATGAGTCGAAAATATGACTCCACTTTGGAGAGTTCATACGCGGTATACCTATCAGCTCCTATCTACGATTCTCCACTGCACTCACCCCAATGCCATTGTACTTAGAGAACGTGTTAAATGACAGCCTTACTCTATTGTCATTATTGTTGAGGAATCCTTGGGCGTGGCACGGAATTACGTTGATTGTGGCATCTCTCAGTTTAGTCTCAAGAGGTGAAGGGTGAGCCAGATCTCTCGCCCAACAAATGGAAGTCTGTTGGCATTTTTTTGTCAATCTACTTAATGAGGCGAGTTCTTGCAAGTTGTTTTAGAGGCGACTTGTCAAATGCCACAAAAACTCTGATGTTGTTCCTCATATCTGCATGGGCTCCATATCTTCTCCTGAAGCAGACTTTTGTCTTGAATGTCTGGAATGCCCCTGTCATCATAGCCATCATACTGGGCGCGTGGACTTGACTTAGATCAAAGACAAGGCTGTTCTTCCTGATGCGGACTACTACATCTGCGGGCCTCAGCCCTTCATGAAGACCCAGAGCAAGAGCTTGGAGGCTTTGGCTGTGGCTCAGGACCGCATTCACATGGAGGTTTTTGATTGAACGACATATCAATGCCTGTCGTCTTAGAGACTTAGGTGGCCCATGCACCAAAAGTCAGTATTTTGAGCGAGAAAGGAGAGCAAAGAGAACCAAGATCTGTCTATTATGTTTCTTGAATAATCAGACTTACAGAAATGCTCAGCCAATGTGGAAAGAATTAGATGCACCGCCAGCAGTAGAAACCTGGATGGCATTTCACAAGGTGGACATGAGTGGACACAATCTTGTAGCCGGAGTGATACTAAAGCAAACCATGAAGCTGATTATCCTAGAGTATTCGTAGAGTGCAGGGCCTGTTAAATTAACTAGGGATAAGTCGGAAATCTACAAGCCCACTTAACATATCTTTTCCCATTCGGTACAAGGCTTGCAAGTAGGGGATTACTCCAATACCGATGGGTCTGCTTCGACCTCCTGGTCAAAATAAGGCTGAAACGATAACCACATCCGATTCGAATTCCCACGCCGTCTCTGAACCCACTCGGCCTCCTCCTTAGGGATGTGACGTTTTTCCCAACCGGGACCGGATGCCGCATTGGCCATCAGCTGGGCGTGGCAGCACCGGTCGAGAGATATGAACAAAAATGCGGCCTCGTCTGGTGTACTGCCACAGGTGATCAACCCGTGGTTCTGTAGGATGACACTTCGACAGGAGCCCAAGGCGTTCGCAATCCGTGCCCCTTCTTCGGCGGTGAGAGCTGCACCCCCATATCAGGGGTATACAGCGTGGTCCTTATAGAATTTCAGCGCATCTTGAAAGATCATTTCGAGTGGTTTCCCGAAGCACGAGAATGCCCTCCCGTGAATCGAATGGGCATGGCAGGCTGCATTGACGTCCGGGCGTGCCTTGTGAATCTCGCTGTGGATTACAAAGGCGGCCACGTTGAAGGGCCGCTGAGCTCCTCCGGGTAGAACGTGTCCGTGCTCGTCGGCTAATACCAGATCGGAGGCGCGCATCATGGCGAAGTGTTTGCTCAATGGGTTGATCCAAAAGTGTTCTCCACGGGCGGAACATGTAAGCTACTGTATGGGCGTTGTACATTGCATTACTACTTACCGGGATTCACTGGGTCCCTTAATGATATGTGTCCCGAGAGGCCCTCATCGTAGCCCTGTCGGGCGAGGGCCCGAAACGCAACCGCCAGATGTTGTTTTTGATACTCGCGTTCATCCTCCTTGGAAGCGAACTTTGGTGGTACGCGAATTGCGACTTGTCCTGTCTTGTTGCTGCGGAAAAGAATGTCATTGAAGTATTGTTCGTTTCCAGGTTTGGTGGATCTCGGTGTATTTTGAATTGGGCTTTCGGGGGCGCAAGTGGAAGGCTCCGTCGCGGGGGATTTTGCCGCAAGACCCAGTGCTCTCCGGCTGCAAGTCACATAGCGAAGTTGTTCACGGGAGATGACTCGAGGAGGCAAAGGGCGTACCCGACACGACCGATATATAGCTGCCATGGTGGTTTGACTGGAATTGCGCCGATAGAAGTCTCCGGGAATGGAATCCACCGCTTACATATAGTCACTGATACGCGTAATCTGTTTGCCATACATCGGCCCTGGCGTTGCAACCATCAATAATGCATGCATACTCCGGAGTAGATATGCAGGGTGATAGATGCAGCGTTGTGAAAGGAAATCTAGATAGAGCGAGAATTACATATAATAGTAGTAAGGATGCTGGGGTCCAGTTTTTTAATTTAGTAGTCGTTAATAGCACTGCTTTTTCATAAAATATCAGTTGTACTAGTAATCACTCCACGCCTCGATGCCCCACGAAAACCATTGTCCCTTGGTCCGGTCATTAACAATCATCACGTAGGTGCTCAAACCAGGACTAACGCTCAGCTTCCCCATTAAAGTACAGGTTTATGACACTATAAGCAGCACTGAATTATCTACCTCACAGATGGCATTTGGTAGAGCAGAGCACCGCCCAACAAAGGTGGACCACCACGGAAGCATCACGCCATTTATGCTGAAGCCCTTTGGAAGTATCTATTGGAGCTGTCTAGTAGCAGGACAAACAGTAGTCTGAAAACGGAAATGCCCGCGGAATCTAGATCTTTCTGGACTCGCCTTAAATCATATATGACTTCATGAAGCCCTCTGCAGATACGGTATTAATCACACCTCTCCATATTGCCTTCGTGGGCCGCCCATGGCCTGTCGTGCTGCGTGTGAATTCCGTACTTGCATTCCTTATCGTTTAGCTGATCTATCACCACACTGTACCCCGAGCCCACCAAACATGTATACCCACGACGTCTCACTCCACTGGCTCTCTGCGTCCCCTGGATATTTTGAATTGATATTTCATATTTAGGTAGCCTAAATCAGAGGATCTAGTAATATCAAAACTCCTAGAGAGATGCTAGAAATTAGTGATTAGTAAGTAAAAAATCCCTAACCAAACTGCAAAAACCGCAAAAACCATATCCAGTAGGTTTAACTAAACTCAAATTAGTTTCACCCTAGGGAAACCGCGACCGGTGCAATTCCGTAGGCTAGGCACTGAACCCTCACCACTATGAGTTCAGTGAGGGTTGGATTCGATTTTAGAGGTTCAGTTATGCCACTCTAAATAGGCCTGTAGGGGGGAAAATTGTAGAGTTATGTAAAATTTGACATGGAATTGCGCCAGGAACTGGCACCAATTTTGAATACACTAGGTGCGGTGAATCCTTCAGTTCATTACAAACAATCACCCACTGTTGAGTTTTGATTTCTGAAATTTCTCCCCGGCCCACTGGTCTATTTGTCTCAGGCTGCGTCTTGGTGTATTTGCCAGCTTTTCGTTGATGTATATGGTCTCATTGCGTGTAATCTGGCAAAGTCCATCGACAGCTAAATACTTGTAGTTGGAAGTAAGAAAGCCATAATTTAGCAGTCTATGGATGTAGATTTGAGCGACCTTTCACTGGCTAGGTTGATGACGCAGAGCCAGATACACGATGCATGCCGAGACCCAATGTAGGCCTCAGTAATGAATTGGAAAGGCTACTGAATCCCAACGGATGCATGGAGTGCAAATTTCGGCACCACCATCAGCAAATCATCCAAGGAAACTTTATCGGCCTTGCCAAAAATGATGTTCCTCCGCATGGTTTCACCCCCATAAGGCTGTGCTGTTATAGTAGCAGACAGTCCTTTATCACTTGGACCATATACACGCGCCGCGAAACCCCTTTCGTTCCCCTGTTTATCAACGACGGGCCAAGGACTAAATCCGTAACAAAATCTAAAAAAGTCTTCTGCGAATGCGGTTGCTACAGCTTGCTGCTGTTCGCCTAAATACTCACTGTAGTTCTGAAAGAGGTATGCAATATCAAGTAAGTGAGAAGGTTGACCTTTCCAAGGTCCTTCCCAAGGGTTACCTTCATTGAAGTAATAGACATGTACGTTTCCTTTCCAGCCCTGGGCGAAGCTCATAACTGGTGCAAAGGATACGACGTCGTTGATGAAGTTAAGCACTGCGGAAAACGCTTCATCATCTGGAGTATCATATGCTATGCTGTATTTCTCAAGAAGCTCTCGTGCTTCAGCCGGTTTCGCCGCAAGGACATCATACATTGCCGTGATCAGGTTTTGTGCCGCATTCTGCCTCCAATGTGGAGTAGAAAAGGAGCAAATGCTAGCCTTGAAGTTTGTTATTAAATGAAATACTAGAGAAGAACCTCTCCACTTACATCCATCTGCGCATTACCAATCATCAAATCTATGCACGCGCCGTCTGCTTCCGGCTTCATACCCCCATAGGACTTTGTCTGGGCAAAAGTCATAGCCGAGGGGATGAKTTCTCCATCAGTAGCGAAAGCTATCGGCACTGTGGGTGGAATCTTGGACATTAACTCCTGCGCGGGGTTGTCAAGCAAAACCCTAAGCCTCTGTTCCGGAGTCATATCTGCCAGACCTAATGCCTTCATGGCCTGCCTATAGCCCTCTTCATGCGCATCCAAGGACAATGGCGGCGTCATGAAGTAGCTGCCACTCATTGCTATTGCCCTTGAAAACAAGTTATCGCTGCAACGCAAGTGAAGGGTTACTGCCGCTGTTACTAGCTGGTAAGTCAACTATGCAGTGGATAGTCAAGTGGGAAGGGAGTCTTACCCGCGCCCGCACTCATTCCGGCCAGTGTAACATTCTGGTTGTCCCCTCCAAAACAATGAATATGCTTTTGCACCCATAACATTGCTGCTCTCTGGTCCCGGAGACCGTTATTAGGCTTATATCCAGCGTTTCTAAGTTCCTCTGAGGTGAGGAATCCAAAGATTCCTAGACGATAGCTGCTATACTTAGCAGGAGCCTATGCATGTGGAGAAGGACATGAAAGTGAGATGTACTTTACGGAGACAGCAATAATGGGGAGTTTCTTCTCGACTGACAATCTCACAAATCGCGCCATATCGTACTGAGGCCAGGAGGTCCCTCCAGTGACAAGCCCACCTCCGTGGATGAAAATGAAGACTGGTAGCTTAGAGGCTGGAGTGGTACCAGATGGAACCGTGATATTCAAGGTAAGACAACTGACGTCGGACTGAGAAATCGCTTTTCTAGGAAGCGTATGCTGTATTGCACTCTGCTCCAGCTCGCAACCGAAGGGTGGAGAAACGGCGGTAGGTCTGCGAATATTCTTACTGTCAATTCATATCCTGCAGACTCCGGGCAATATTCCCTCCCAATACAGCATATTGACTTACCCATAAGTTGTCGCATTGAGGACAATATCTCGATTCCCATGGTCAGTAACTTCGGCGACGGCCAGTCGATCTCGAAGGGAGGCATATTTTATCCCGAGATACTGTGTTACGCCGTCTGCGGTCTTTCCTTGAACTTCACCGAGCAAAGCTGTCTTCAGAGTTGTGGCGGCCATACTGTGCTCCAAGATCACAATTGCAGGGTTACGTGCTTGGACGTCTCTTGGGGGCTTGGTTGCGAGCACATAACATTATCGAAATATATACTAAAGCAATCAGTGCGCTTCGAACTAAATCTACATGGAATATATTCTGATATTTGAACTCGTCTCCCTCGACAGGCTCGATTTTCCAAACAAACAATACACTGCCATGGGCCCTTAGCGCGCCACTAGTCCATGTCCGTGCTCCAAGGCATCCGCACCCCATGAATGTGCTTCACCGAGTCGGAGACTTTCACCGAGTCGGAGACCGAGTCGGAAAGCACGTGACTGCGATTGTCTCCAACCTTTCGTGAACTAAGTGAGCCGACCTTGGGAGACAAATCGGATAAGCGGGGAGAAAAGAAACTTTGCGGCGTTGCTAGGCCACCGTAAAAGGAGGTTGCCATAGGCTTGTGCAACTGTACTACAACAGTTGTAAAGTTACAGTACTAGTATACATTGAGCTCTCATAATGCTTTCGGGCCACAAAAAAATGGAAATTAGGCCGCCAGTAGTAGAAAAACATGAGTGTCGTATTAGCATAACAAAGCTAACTATTCAAACCAAATCCCAAGGTTGAAAGGGTCGAGGTTACCCAAGTTCTCTGCGGTCGCGTTCCAGCTTTCTGTATCAAAGGGCGGATCGTCAACTAAAGAACTGGGATCAAACAGTGGTTCTCGAGAGCCTAAAAACTTGTCAGACTGCGTTTCCGAGACATGAAGCAAAGTAGCCGCGTGTGTAGATTGTCCAGTCTCCGTATTCTCCTTGTCGCTTGATTTGGTCTCACAAATACCAGCTCGAATTTCATTCATTACAAGCGGGATTGAGCTGCCAGTGCTCTTCTGATTATTCCAAGATCTCAATCGCTGAAACGCGTGTAGAAAGCTTTCCGCACTTGGATTGGCATCCATTTGGGACAGCGATGTAAACTTTAGTATGACTGTGTTGAGGTAATGTTCCAATTTCGACTCGGGAAGCAACATATCCGTCAACTTTGGTGCTGGCAAACGAAGAATTCCAGAGAGTCGTATCATCGCAATAGTGGCATAGAGAGTCCAAGTCATATATGGACATTCGACTACACGATACATCCTCAAGTCCATGTGAATGAATGAATCCAGTATTCGACTGATGCTGCCAACGCAGGTGGCTAGCGCATCAAAGTGTGCCGCAGTGAAAATCCGTGCCGTTGAACTTGGGTCTGCATTGTAATCATATCGAAGGGCAACTTCGTGTGTGAGAAGACGGGTGACTTTGAACGAATGCTCAAGTATATCTTCTTTGGTTAACCGGAAAACCAACATGCTTGCCGGCGGTAGACGTACCTGAATTCATGTGGCCAGCCGCATCCACTTTCCACTCTTCAAGTCTTGTATTCAAAAATTTTAGAAGATACTGCGTCCTTGGATCATCGATGGATATGGTTGCAGTGGGATCATCCAAGTGGAATAGTAGGGAGACATCCTCCGTTATTTGAGTCAAGCGTATTAGGCTGCAAAGGGTGAGATCTGTTGCTGCAGGTGCAGGGCCCTCGCTAAAAAACTTCAGGCACTCGTCAATGTATGGTGAGAATCGAATCAGTGGCGGATGGTGAAGAATCACGGAAACACTGTGGTTTGTGAGTGAGTCTTCCTCGGAATACTGGAAAGGGCCACCTTGTATGAAATGGTTGCATAATAGCAAGTGAGCCAGGTCCGTCGCATCTCAGCCTCCTCCTCCCTACTTTTCGCCAGAGAAGCCCTCAACCGGTTCCCAAGCCCGATCTCCATTGCCATGACCGCGGCGGAATGGATGTACTGGCTGAAGCCTGGAGCTTTAGTTTCCCGGTGTTTCAGATGCCATACCGCGTACACTATCATAGCTTGTATGAGATCCAAAGACTTCTCTGTGCGGAACATGGCACGCTCAGCGATCTGGCGCGCCACTTCGGTACCGAGAATGGATTGCAACTGCGGAACAATGGTACCACTTGAGACGCCAAGGATAGTGAGTAACAGAACTGGCTTTAGCCGGCGCATATGTTGTAGTGATGTGTCACTGGGAATTGCGACCATCGGACAGAGTGGGTTCATCTGGCAAAGAAACCTGTTCAAAATCCGGGATGCCACGTCTGGGCTCAGAAGCCCACGACTAATCACATCGGGGCTTGTCTGACTGCGTTGGGTTTATTGAGATTCTCGGTCAACGCCTTGATCGTAATTCAGTTGCTGTTCTGGATCAGATTCTGAGGCCCTCCAGTTGCATGCCCCACTACTTCTGGCTGCCTCCTCAGCGAGAGGTCCAGACGATGACATATATTCTTTCCCGGTCTGAGCTTTTAGCGACTCGGTAAGAGCATCGATCTTCTTCTCGAGCTCGGCGACCCTGGGTAGTTTCCGCTGGCCTTGCCGCGGTTGTCCAGCTGCAATACAGGTCCGGTTAACTTTGGCGCACGCTCTGCAAGCCCCCTGACCAGGGAGCGGATGGCAACGGATTTTCATGTCCCGGCAGGCTTGGCACGCACGCAGGCGCCTCTTGTGCGCTGAATTTGTTCCTTCGCCTTCTCCGAGATGATTGTTATTTGGAAGACTGCGGCTTGGAGAATCTTGAAAAGTTTCGGCAGCCGAGGGTCCAGGCATCCATGTTGGCATTGGAGGCATCGAGCTCGGTTCTGGGATAACTTCGGAAAAGTAAGAAGGGATCGAAAGGGGAAAGAGGCAATAAGTTCTACAGAATAATGGCTTCGAAGTAGGTACTGGTGTGGTGAAAGCCTCTCGAAAACTATGAGCTTCTCAGCGGTGCTCTCAAACGGCGAAGTTACTTTTCAGAGGCGGCGGCGGCGCATATGCATAATGTACCTAGCCGTAGCTGCGGGGTAACTTTCGGGATCCACCAGGGAACTTAGTTTCCGGTGTGGGGTTTTCAGCTTCCTTTTCGAGGAAACCTTGTAACAGGAGATACAACAAAATGACCAGTTGCAAACATACGCCGTGCTATGAAGGCTTAAACATCATTAGACAGGATTTGGCGGACAACTCCCAGAATACTTGTAATCAGTTATTTAAAAATGATAGATGGCACTTCAGCAAATGAAAAATGGAAACATAAGCCATCAAAAATGAATGCCAGGACAGAGTACGTAACTCTAATGTCTCATTCTGACTGACTGAGATCATAGGTACATGAGGGATCGGCCCTTTCAAAGAGAATTTATCTCATGATCCGTTTTGCGTTAATGGTTCACCACGCCACCATCAATCCGGTAATTGCTACCAGTCACAAATGATGCGTCATCACTGGCCGGAAATAAAAATACTTTTGCTACCTCTGCCGGATCTGCTATTCTTCCTGTATAGAGAGTTAGTACAGTATTCAGGCCTGTCTTGTTGATTCCCAAGCAACTCCAAGGGCAATTAGAACTCACTTAGTGGAATCTCGCGGACTTGAGCTTGCACGTCTTGTAGCCCTTTTATCATGTCAGTGTTAACCATACCTGGCGACACTGCATTAACCCGGATATTATCCTTTGCATACTCCAAGCTAGCAGTCACCGTGAGAGCGCGAGCCGCAAACTTGGACATGTTGTATGCACAGAGGCCTGGGGGTGCCATTAGGCTAGCCACACTGGCGGTAATGATGATACTACCTGGAGTACCAAGACTTTGCATCTTCGCGGCGCAATACTTGACTCCTAGAAATGCTGTGGGGTTTGTTATTGGCCTAAGTCAGCTTTGTTTACTAATTCCAATGGTACTCAGGTGAGTCATACGGCCACGAGCATTGATTCTCATAATGTCATCATACTCTTCGGCAGATGACTGAGACAGTGGTTTCTGCTTGCCCCCAATGCCGGCGTTGAAGATTGCGATATCCAACCCGCCAAAGTCACAAACACAATTGTCCACAAAAGAAATTACTGACTCCTCATCCGCCGCATCAGCAAGGTGAAAGATATAGTTGGTGGGATTATAGCCTCGGGACTGCAATAGCGTTCGGGCTGACTCGATATTTGCAGCAGAATAGTCGATAATGAACACCTTCGCTCCTTCGCTCAGAAAGACCTGGGCTACTGCCAAACCAATCCCCGAGGCACCGCCAGTTATGAGGGTTGTCTTTTCGGACAGGCGGCAGTTTGATTGAGATAACATGTCTGGATTTCGGACTGCGAAGTTCGCTAGTTGATCATATAAATTCGTGACCCAGCTTTCTTATGGGGGATTCTCAGTTTAAATTTCTAGCCGTTGCTTTGCTTTTCCTATCTTTTCTCCATGTCCGTCCTGAACACCGGTCATGTCCACGCGACTCGGCTTTCAACAAGCCCGGACCGACCGCACGCCGATCCTGTCCACGATATTCGAGCCCTCCAAAACACCTCCGCCCGCGAACAAAGCGGGGATACCATGGTCTCGGGTGTAAAAGGTTATCGTCTAAGAGGCTTCAGGATCAGGTCTAGGGGCGGTATTCTAAGAACGCAAAGAGGTAGATCATGCTGGGAGCTGCGTATGACTCACAGAGCATATGAATACATTCCAGATAACGTTAGCTTCTTGGTCTGGCCAGTGAAACTACCTTGTAGACAACCACCATATACTTATCGTTCGGATCTGATTAAGGGTGAATTTGTCGTGATACTTTAAAGATGTTCTGCGGTGGCTCGAGTGCACCCCTGTAACGAGAGATGATCAATATGTTCAATGCAAGTCGTTCACCATAGTACAATGGAAATTACTCAAGACGAGCGTATATAGCAGAAGCTGTTGCGATACTGTATAAAGCCAATCTGGGTACCACAAAAGGCCTGCAAAGGCTCCTTCGATACCTCGCCTTTCCCTTTTAGGATGGACAATTAATTTTTAATCATTACCCCAGCCATATTGATAATTCCGGCAAAGTTGCTTCGTATGTAATATGATAACTGTCTTCCCCGCGTCCCCGGAAATACCCCACAATTGCAAAAATACCGCAATTTGGAGAGGAATAATATCCTCGGAGGTCTAACTCGGATTGAAACAATAGGTCCCAAGTCCATCCTTTGATAGCGAATGGGAATTTAACTGCATCTTTGGGTTCTGTCATATGATGTACTCCCCGACACTGTGCCACCATATAATTAGGGAGTTCACCCCTTAAGCTAGAGTTTAACCATCGGAGTAGGACTTGATGCTTACTATGCGATTTGCTTTTATAACCAGCGTGATGGAGAATGTGCACTTTTTGACCTATGCGGCTGTTGTCATCGTCTTGGCCGTGATCGCTTTCCAGCATCGGTCTAGTAATCTGCCCAGAGGGACTGGAAGGCCGCCAAGCCCCAAGCATGGTAAGATGTCCCGAAATGGAGACCTCGTCTCCTAGCGATGTTCTGCTTCGGCTCACCCACTTCGTCTACAGGGCTACCCATTCTGGGCCACGTTCTCCAGATCCCTTCCTTCCATTCATGGCTGAAGTTCAAGACCTGGACCGATGAACTGGGCCCAATTGTCCGTTTCCGGATATTCGGACGAGAAAACATAGTGGTCTCGAACGAGAAGATAGCCAACGACCTATTGCGGGAGCGAGGTACTCTCTATTCTTCTCGAGAACATCTGACAATGGCTTCAGATCTCCTATCTGACAATCTTCGTCCGTTGCTAATCGGCTACACCGGTTGGTTGTCCTCGGCTCCCATAGAACTAACATATCACGTGTGATGTAGGACAGTTAATGTATGCATACCTTTTGTAGAGCGATGGCGCCGTGGCCGCAAATTGATGCACCGTCTGACAATGACAAGCGCGGCAAATTCGTATCAGCCGATCCAATCATTGGAGTCCAAACGGATGCTGTACGATCTTCTCAGGGACCCAAGTCGTTACGGTTTGTGGTTTGAACGCTATGCTGGCGGAGTTATCTTTCGCTTAGGCTATGGTAAGACTATCAACACAGGCGAAGAGGAGCACGTTCGAAAGGCCTTCCACGTTGTCCATACCGTGGAGCGCATAGCATCTCCAGGCTCGTACCTGGTTGACTCCTTGAGCTTCCTGAAGTATCTGCCTGAACAGTTGGCTCCATTCAAGAAAGAAGGCCGGATATTGCACCAAGAGGAACTGAACTTTTTCCGCACCCTTGTTAGCGACGTGCAAGCTGAGATTGCAGCCGGAGTTGCGGGTCCATCATTCGTTCGTACATGGCTGGAAGACAAGGAGTCGTTTGACTTGACAGATGACGAGGCAGCTTATGTGATTGGGACCTTGTTCGAAGCTGGTAGCGGAACCACCGCCTCCGCCATGATGTCTTTCATCCTTGCTATGGTACTCTTCCCTCAGTGGCAGCAGGCCATGTGGGATGAGCTTGATGGACTTGTGGGCGACCGCATGCCAGAATTCGAAGATGTGCCAAATCTTCCTGTATGCCGGGCGGTCATTAAGGAGGTCCTTCGATGGCGCCCTGTCACTGCTGGCGGTAAGATTTTGGGTGATTGGCGATTCTGCCATTCTGCAATTCCTTTTATCTCTTTCTTGCTCTTTCTTTTGGGGAATATGAAGGGGGGTTTATTTGCAAATTCTGGCTAATATGTCTCTCCGACAACTATTAGGTGTCCCACATCAGTTAACGCAAGACGATATATATAATGGCTATTTCTTCCCGAAGGGAACCAATGTCCACGCAAATCAATGGTAGGTGGCATGCACCTTCTTTTCCTGTCTTCCTCGCCCGTTTCTCCCTCCTTTCCCGCCCCTCTCAAAACGTTACCAGGTAAACCCGCAAATAAGGCCACTAATCGATCAAATCCAGGGCTATACATCGGGACCCGGAGTTATACCCAGACCCTGAGAACTTCAATCCCGACCGGTGGCTGAACCGAAGCTATCCAACGTATAGGGAACCCCTGAGCAAGTATCCATCCCTACAGAATTTCTCGGCTTTCGGCTTCGGTCGACGGATTTGCCCAGGAATGAACATTGCAGAGCGCTCGTTGTACATTCTTCCGGCAAGAATAATGTGGGCATGCCGGATTACGAAGGCAAAAGATGAAAGAGGCGCCGATATAACCCCACCATTATATAATTACACTACGGGATTCAATACTCAGCCAAAGCCATTTCCGTTCCACCTAGAAGCCCGGTCGGAGAAGAGGAAGATTGCCGTGAAGGAAGCATGGGAGGAGGCGCAGAAGGGAGATCCTCTAGCTTGGACGGTGAATTATAAGCTAGGGCACTCTTTCAAGGAGAAGTTTGGGCCCTAATATTTGTTTCCGATACATTACCACGGCCTCGTTGACAAAAGGTCTGTTAAAGTCGCCACAGACATATTGACTAGTATTCAGCCACGCAATGCTGAAAGAAACCCATAGATACACATAAATGGAATCATTGGTTCGTCACAAAGCTGATCTCAGGATTAGGTGTTGGTATGCCACTGTAATGGCCTGAGATTGCTCCGGCGCAACTCAGAGGGTTCTTCATTGATGGCGTACACTGCGTCAGTGATGCCCTATTTACTGTACTTGAGTCAGTGGTCAGAGATATTAATTTGAACAGCTGGTTCGTGGTAGGCCAATCGTTCGCCTCGGCGGCTCTGAATAGGCTGAGTGCCATGGATCCATATGACTTTCGATCTCCAATCTACATCCTAGTCAGTCGTTATGGCCATCTCCTCTTACTTTGAACTGATGCTATGATAATCGTCGCAGGTCTCATTTTCGTTTCTCGTTCCCGAGACTCCCTGGTGGCTTGTAGCAAAGGCAAGCCCCAACAAGTGGAAAAGGTTCTAAAGAAATGCAACGGTAGTGAGTCAGGCTATGATATTCAAGACTAGATTCTTTGTATCACTTATATTACCATTGAAGCGCCAGACTAACGCAGTGTAGGACTAGATACTGTTTGCACTGGGATCATTGCATTAGGCCGGACTATTCTGCATCATACTTTCTGTTTAGGCTTTCAGCAATACCATATCAAATTCCTCGCCAGTCACATCTACAGATACCTCGATTGTATCCCCGGGTTGGGTAACATCGCGGATATCGGTCAACTCGCCATTATGGTAAACTCCATACTGACCAACAGGAAGGTTACAACATTCGAACTCACCCCTGGAAGTGAATAGATGATAAGTACTGAGCCCTTAGAATGATGATGTCACTTACTTCTTCCTTGTCCCATCCCATGACCGCATCGTCACCACCCTTGCATTGAGAGTTTCATTCCAGCAGCCCCTCAGAAAGTCCCTGCCAATGCCTAGATTAATACCCTTCACAAATGGAGCGCTTGAGACATGCTTGGGGGTCCATGGGTCGGTCCACATTTTCCTCTGGCCGTCAAAGACATTAAGACGTGCGTATCCAACGGCGCTGTTCCCTGTGAGCGGTTCAACCTCTGTCCAGTTCAGGCTATCCGGTTCCTGAGGTTTGACAGGATAATAAAGACCCCCGTCCTCCCATGTCGGCTGGAAGTATCGATCCACATGATTTAGCAGGCCATCAAGGGTGGCTTTATCTCCCACCTCGGACACCCATTTGAGGACGTAGCCAAATAGCGGGCGCGAGAAAGGAGGCTCTCGAGGATCAGGGTTCTTTTCAACGAGTTCCTGTGCCGTTTGGATTGTTGAGGAAGAATCTGGATCCACTCCATCTTTTTCAACGAGTTCTCGAATGGCGAATGCTAGCGGACCAGGATTGACGTTGACTCTGTTCCCTTCAACACGTGAGAGGAACCCCGTAGCTTGATTTTGAAAGGTCTGATGTGCAAGGATTGGATTCCAGGCATTCATGAACGCCGCAGCCCTGCAAGACATGAACAGATTAGTTTGTCGGGACGTTATCAAACGTTTCAAAGGGCTTATACTGACCAAGCCGTGAATCCAAGGTCAGAAGCTGGCTTTCTAGTGCCTTGCTTGGGCGAGTACCATTGGATGAATAGCCCGTTCTCTTGTGCCATACCTTTGGCCTCCCATGCAGCAGTGTACTTCTTAAGCAAATCTGTCGCAACATTTGTCCCGTCACGGATATCATTGTACCGCATCCCAATTATCTGTAGCTGATTAGGTCTTATAGCCGACCGTAGAAATTAACATGGTCTGAGCTTACAGGAAACTGATTGCAGACAATAAAGATACTGTTGGGTTCGCAACACACTCCGAGCCATTTCTCGCGCTCCATTTCATCTAAGATAGCCTTTTGCAGTGATTGCCGTGTGTAGGGAATTTCTCTGGTCCCATGCCCCAGAAAATGGGATTCCAGTTGAAAGTAAGGGCTCCCTCTTCATTATATCTGTCATCATTGAAAAGCATCGTATAAAGCGACACCATGAGTAGAAGGTGGCCAGAGTACTGAGATTCACACTCAGAATCAGCATTTACTTTTCAAACGACAAACATAGTAGCCAATATGGAAAGAGGAATATTGGATAAAAAGCGCACCATGTTATTTTCTCTCACAATCGGGTCTGGCCGAGGTTTCCTCAATTCTTCAATATCTGGATCCACGAATTTTCCACTATGGCTGGTTAGAAACCAGTATCCCCAGACGTCCCGGTGTAGCATCTTTCGAATCAAACATTCCATCAAAGACTTAAATGGCGATCTGAGGGCAGGCATTCGGTGATAGTGTGCAGCCCCGGCAGCGTAGGCCATGGTAGCTAGCTGGTACCGGTAGGCATCAAGCCACTCCTGCCCAGGCTCTTGTGAGCCCATAGGGCCCCAATCGCCATCTCTCCTCGTTGCGAGGTTATGGAAGTGCCGTAGGTGTCCTGCCTGCTCCCGGGACAGTTTTTCGAACTGATTCAGAAAATTGTTTGGGAGCTTTGGGGGAAGAGGCTGTCGGGTGTCACTCATTGTGGGGTTGCAAGAGGAAACTCTGGCTATCAAAAGGACTTAGATCTCGGAGTCTGGTAGGAGAAAACAATTTTCAAGAACCTGTATAATTCTTCATATTTCCCATGGATGACGGTAGTCTTCCTCAACCATGTCTATTGGAGTATTTTGGCTCACTTTCTAAGGTGGAGGACTTTTTATAGGTTCGAGAGACCAATTTCCACAACCGGAACAACCAAGCCTGATGACTATTCTGCTCCTGTTTCCGATCCCTTTTCCGTTTCCTCTTTATGATTCTGGTTTTGAAAATTCAGTGAAGCCAACTAACTACCGAGGTTATATCCTCTATAACCTCTATAACCTCGGTCTAGGTGGAATAATGATTTTGAATGGATCTTCACCCCGCCACATCTGGGCTGAGTAGCGGTTATCCAAAACTCAACAGTAAGCAACCCGACTCGGTTCTACACCGCGACGCCGACTCGGAACCGAACAGCTAAAAAGTGTCCCGGAGACGACCAATCTTCAAAACTTTCCGCTCGTCCCTCTCACGGTCCAGAGCAGGTAGCCTTGGCCCGTGCACGCTCTAGGGGCATATTGTGGTTATGTGGTGCTGTTTAGAGGATGCCTGGGGCGCGTGAGGAGTAATATACAAAAGGTTCGTACATTGCTTGTCGACTTGAATACTTCCCATTCTTCCTAGTCCTCATTGCCAATTCTATCAAGATCCAATCCTACATCGCCGGTATAAGACTTTTCCTTTTTTCCCCCTTTTTCTGAGATATAGACCAAGATGGAGTCAATTCGCGGTCAAGTCGCTGATGTCATTTATATGGACGGCGAGGTTATTGTCAATGCTAATGTTCCTCCTGCCCAAGCAATCCTGATTCAAGCTGGTCGCGTCGCAGCTGTCGGCTCTAATGAGGATGTGCTGAGAGCTGGAAGACCGGACACTCCATGCGTGAATTTAAGTGGAGCAGTGGTTATACCGGGTCTTATAGACACACACCCGCATCTTCTTCACTTTGCAGCTTTCAAAGCCAGTCTGCTTGATATCACAAAGGCGAGAAATCACGCTGAGATTGTTGAAGCCATTCGCAGACGCGCTGAAAATATTGCCGAAGGGAGCTGAATTATGGTCTCCCCGGTGGGAGAGCCCCATTGGTTTCATCGTCGTTCTTTTCAAGACCTAGAAAAAGGATGCCTCCCAGGCCGCGATATCCTTGATCTCGCTTCAGCGGATCATCCAATAATGATCCACGCGCTGGCCCCGAAGACTCCGAATATTTGTGCATTCAACTCGGTCGCCTTAAAAATCCTCGGAATAGGACCCTCAACACCAGACCGTGTGAACGACGTATGGATCGAAAAGGACGGCAATGGCTGTCCGACCGGGATTCTACGAGGCAGCGTCACGAGTTACTACAACGATGACCCTTTTTTCGTGGAGCTCCTGAGGAAAATGCCCTCGCTGATCCAACCGGACCTTGTCCCGGCGGCCTTGGTAGAAGCAATGGCCGATTACAATGCGCTTGGTATCACAACTATTTATGAAGGTCATGCAATGGAGTTCACTCATATTGATGCCTACCGAGCTTTCAAAGAACGGAAGTGTCTGACTCCACGCGTGCAAGCTTGCCCAGAACTTCAGCCCGGAGCTATGCCAGGGGACCCCGAACTGTCAGTGGCTGAAGTTACCTCGGTACTCGAGAAAGCATTGAGCCTAAGGGACGTTCGTGATGACTGGCTCCGCATTGACGGAGTCACAGCGTGCACGTATGGCCCCTGCTATGGTGGTTATGCGTTGTGGAAAGAAGGGTACCTCGCTCCGAACGGCGAAACTATAACTGGCAAACGCTCCGTCAGTGAGGAGAACATGCGTGTTGCCTATGACTTCTGTACTCAGAAGGATCTTCGTCTCAATCTGTGCTCAGTAACTCCGGATGAACATGACGAACATATTTCTATGACCGTTGAAATGATGCGCAAGTATGGGGTCAAACGCACGGGGTGGATAGTTCAACACGGCATCATCATCCGCCCAGATCAGGCCAAGCAGTTGGCTGAGCTGGGATTTGACATGACTGTCAGTAGCAGCTTTACCTTCGGGGACGGTGACATGGTACGGGAGAGAATTAGCCCGCAAACCCTGGAACTCCTAAACCCATATCGCCACCTTCTTGATGCTGGCCTTAACGTGGCTGCATCCATGGATTGGGGTCCAACAAATCCATTTGAGCAAATGCAGTTGGCGATCACCCACAAAATGTATCCAAGCGGTCTATCCAACGCAGGAACAGGACAGGTGGTGACACGAGCGGAAGCCTTTGAAATGTGGACGCGCAACGGTGCAAAGGTGTTAGGTTGGCATGACATTGGTAGCATTCGCCCAGGAAATCATGCAGACTTTGCAATCATCAATCGGAACCCAATCACGTGTGAATTGGATGCGCTACCGTCAACAAAGGTCTTGCGCACAGTCGTTGGGGGGAAAATTGTCTTTAATAATGGAACTCTCCCCTCTAGCACCTAGTGCGTGAAGAATATGGATCTGGTCAGGTTGCTTTGCTTTATCCTGCCAAGCTCAATCTACATCATGTCATTCTTACCATGTTTAAATATATATTGGGTAACTAAAGGAATTAGCTCATCCGAAGACCTGTGCGAGTTGGATAGATATGTAACTATTTAAGCCTCCAGTAATCGCTGCCTTATTTATGTCCACAGAGATTTGATATGTCCTGAAGCCCCTTAAATCGCGAACCTCACCATTGACGGAGAGGGCGCCCCACAAACCGCGCGTAGCAAAACTGAAGCCATTAACCACTAATATGGCCACCATTCAACTGATCTAGCGGTTAAACAAGAGTGACCAATATTGCTTGCTTTCCTATCTATTCAGATTGCCATATGAAAAGTATTCCAACAGCTGCAAAGGCATGCAGCGTGAGTCATATTAGGGTAGGCCATTGGCCCACTGACGCGTTTCACCGTAGATTCTACACCAAATGGCAGAATCTTACCTCTATTGAGGAACTTATCCTTTAAGTTTAGATTATATCAGAAGACCAATGTAGCCTTCCGCTCCAATTTAGCCATACACAGGACATAGCTCTGATTCTGCTTCAAATCGGGTTGGAACAACGTCTGGTATTAGGTAGAATTGGGCCAACTGTTGGATTCATAAACAACCAGGTTTCAAGTTAACACATTAGGGTAATACCGCTTATACACTCAGTGCGTTACTTGACAGGCCCTAGGGCTTGCGAGATTCTTGAACACAGGTCTAGACAAGGCTCTGAATTTATCCGAATGTAGAGTTTTCTGTTGCTAGAAATATCAGGACTACTACTCGTGGTAGCCTAGGAAGCTTCTACAGCGTGAGGTTAGGCTTTATGAATACACATACATCGAAATAGTATTTCCTTCTAGTCCCTAACACTATCTCAGGTTTCCTGGCAAGTCCTCATGAACGAAGTTTGTCTCGTTCAAATACCAGGTCAGCGCCTCCGAGTCTCCATTGAGATCACCAACACAATAACCATTGCCAAACCAGCCAAATTCGTTGCCGTCGTAAGGCTGCATCTCAAAATCCTCCCATCTCACATTCTGGTACGCCTTGATTAGATGGACTCCACTTCCGGGCCACACACCTATCACGCGGCCGCTCCTTTTGTCCTCGACAGTGGCCCCTGATTTGTACCAACTCGAACAGTTGTCAGTGTATACCGTCCGCCTGTGATATGCCTCACAGTAGTTGGTAAAATTCTCCACTTGCTTTCGCTTCGGTTCAACGGTCTTCACATTTCCGGTGGCGAGTTTGCGTAGGATCTGCGCGACGTATAGGGTCACAGATTCGAGTACCATTAGAAGGTTACCAGCTCCAAGACCAGAGTTAGGGCCCAGAGTCTGAAAGTAATTGGGGAAGCGGTCCAAGCAAACCGACAGGTAGGTCTCGGGTCTAAACTTGTTGTGTTCCAGCATGCTGAGTCCACCACGTCCATAGATGGGGAAACTGCCCTCGAAAGAGCGGAAACCGGTAGCGCAGACAATCGCGTCGACCGGCCGGTGCTGACCGTCTGCAGTTGTTATGCCTGTTTCATCCACCGAGGCAATCCTAGCGTGAATGACATTGACCTTGGGTGAAACTAGGGCTTCCAAATAGCCAGGACCAGGGGTAAGCCTCTTGCAAAAGGGAGCAAAGTCAGGAACAATACGTTCAAAGAGCTCAGGTTTGTTCTTTAGTCGCTCGCGCATCTCCTGAGCAAATTGACTCCTCATTGTGGTCTGAGTTGGGTAGTCTTTCAGGACTGCTGGGTAGACTCCTTGCAAGGCTGCTTCGAGTGTCTTCCTATATTTTCGGTATGAGTCAGGATCTTCTCTCCATGCTGCCTTCTCTTCAGCTGTGTATTCGAAGTTGCCATCATTCCCGTTGTTTCGCTCTTTGACAAAATAGCTGCCGTACGATGATGCGATCCAGGTACGACCACGAATGTAGTGATCCATGCCTTTCACGTCGGGTAACAGAGTTGGGACAATCTGGATACCACTACTTCCCGCTCCAATAACGGCCACCTTCTTCCCCTATTTTAACGAGACGATTGTAAGAGAAACGAGAAAACAGACTAACCCGTCAGTGTACTTACAACAGGATCAAAGCTCGTGTCCCAATTGGCACTGTGCATTAAAACGCCCTTGAATTCGTGCAATCCCTCGATATTTGGCCACTCCCAACGGTTGAGTGCCCCAACACCTGTCATCAGCACATCGCCGATGTCCTCAAAAATATGTCCAGTTTCGAGGTTCATAAGCTTCACATGCCACTTCGACGTAGCCTCGTTCCAGAACGCTTCAATGCAGCGATGGTGGAACTTCATGAACTGTCTCACATTGTACTTGTCCGCAACCCTCTGCCAATATCGCAGTATTTCTGGTGCAGTCGCGTAGAACGAACTCCAGTCAGTGGATGATTCGAAGCTCAGCTGATATGCGTGAGCAGGGATATCTGGAAGTTATGGTACAGGCCAGGTCAGTTATATATCAGAGCAGTCCTGGCCCTAGTCAACATACCGCAGGCACAGCCAGGGTATCTAGAGCATGTGAGCGCTAAGTCCTAAATGCAGAATGATGAATACCGATTTCTTACCTATTCTCGAACCAAGTTCCCCCTATTTCTGGATTTTTTTCGTACAACACAAGTTCGAGCCCTGGTACGAACTTCGGAAATTGGATGCTTGCCAGAATACCAGAGACGCCAGCTCCAACGTATATCACCTTCAATGGTCTCGGTTCATCAATTGCACGCTCCGAAATGAGCGGATTGCTAGTACTTCCATTCATCTTGCCTGGTAGATTATTTGTACTGATAAGGAAAGTGCGGATTTCGAATTTTAGCCTTGGACCAAGACGAGCTCATTGACACAGCGGCCTGGTTTTGTGCACGCTCTATTTATGAGACTCTGTTTCCACAGCATACCTACTGAGCTTAGGCCAAGACAACTCCATGATAGTCAGAACCTAAAAGACCTTATCGGACCTTACTCGACGTGCCCCGGAACCGAGTCGGATATACGGTGCCGAGTCGGACGTCAGCATAACTCCATTAGTAACAGCGATATGAGTCGACATATCTCACAGCGTCCGGTGATCATCATTGCGAAGCGGTAAACGTGTTGACTCGGTCTCGTAAGCTAGTTTAATCAACATAGATATCATCCGGGCATCCAACCGCTTGGATACATACGCACCATCCTAAACGTCCTTCAATGTTTTTTAGACAGACCGATTGCCACAGGCTGATGGCCCGTTTATTATCGCTTTATGTTCTTGTCGTCCTGAGCAGCTTCGCTATCCATTTAGTCGAGTGCTTCGATATTTCACACAAGGTTACTAACAGGTGCTTAAGGTCCAACTATATAAGGATGACCTTAGTATAGATAAACTACTTAAGGTCCCCTATACAAAGGCATAGCTCCTTATAGTTTAGGGTCTACTTATTATTACTCCAGTAGATATACCCTAGGCTAGTAGCAGTATTTAGAGTTTTATTCAGTCTGAGTTTGGGTGAGTTCAACCCCAGTTGGCGCCGAACCGCTATGATTTCGGGTTCGAATTTTAGAACCTAGAACCAACCCTGACCTAGTATAATCGCAAGTTTCACTGTAAAACTTGAAGCTCGGCATAGCTAAACTATTTATATTCGGGGCTAACTCACCATGGTTAGATTCAGTTTATAGTTTAGTAACTTTAGTTTCAGGTTGGATAAACTGCTAAGTTTTATGTGAGTTTAAATTTTCATTTCTCTTTCCTTAGGCATATGCTTTAGGCCAATCTAATATCCGTATAAAATATTATTATTTTTATATGCAATATATGGTAATTATCATCATACTAATCTATGTCAAAAACATTGATTTAATATCTATAAGGTTGAATAGGTGGTGGTCAAAAAAGATTCTTAAACTATAGTAATTATTGAAAATGAATGCGCATATATTATAATCTACCACCACTGTCATACAGATTCATACCAATCCCTAATAGAGATAACCCTTATATCTCAGCAACCACTAGATATTTTGAATCGATATTTGATATCTAGATAGCCTAGATACTAGGCTATCTAGTGATATCCAAATTTCTATAAAAATTCTTAGAATTAGTGATTGCCAAGCAAAATTCCTAACTTGAACTAATAAAACCAATGGTCTTCACTGAATGGATTTGGTTTCAGGGGTAGGGAAACCATAAGTCCATAACTGGTGTGGTTCCCATAGCCTCACCACTGCAAGTTCAGTGAGGGTTTGCTTCGATTTTAGTGGTTCTGTTATGCCACTCTACTCGCCCATAAGTAGTATAGTGCCCATGGACTCCAGCACATGACACCATTACTAGGAGAGCCATGAGAGCTGTCTTGTAGTGGTGTTGATCTAATCCCATGATCCCCTTATACAAACTAGACTCCATACTACCAGCTCTTGGTTGCGTACGGCGGTTGGTGCGGTCCGCTGTGGCCCTTAACAAACACTCATGCTCAAGCATGCCTTGTGCTAGATATTATTACGAATAAATAAACTATTCAAACTCTAGACACATAAAGCAGACTGACAAGGATCCTGTTAGCTCAACAAACTGCAGGGAAAAACGACTCATCCTTCCACAGCTGGGGGCACGGTAACCATGTCGGCCAATTAAAGTTTCTATCCAGCTCAGACCAAATGGCATATATGGCAGTAAAAACGTGTAAGGACACCCCTAGAATGGCTCCGAACCAGAGTACCAAGGTAGTGAGTGCCACCATGACTTGCTTGCTGCTTGACCTTGATGTCTCTAAGTGTTCAAGGACGACATTGGTTCCAATAAGATAGATAAAAGCCAATCCAATGGCTGTTGGCGTAATAAGAGATATAGTTAATAAACCACTTTCTCCTATTTTGCGATAACCGGTTTCCAAAAATCTGTCCGCATTTTTAGCCAATATACGTGCCTTGAATGTAAGAACTTGACTCAAGATTTCTACTTACTCAGAATAGGCGTAAAAGAATCCAAAGTTCCAGAATAGTCCTCCACCTTCAACATCATATAGCAAAATTGACATCAGCAACGAGGAATAGTATGCAGCAGTACAGCAAGAGCAATCAAGCACAAGTTCACGGGCTGAGTATTGTTGAAGATCCGAATTCTCAGTGGGAGCCGTCTTCCACCTTTTATTCACTTTTAATATGCACACACTTTGCAGCAGTATCACAACCCCACTTATGGCATACCAGCAGATTAGCCTATCTGCCAATAGTACTGCCCTATATCCCTGCTGGTAACGGTGTGTCGTTCGGTAAATGCAGCCAGTAAACTGAAGGATAGAAAACAGTCCCATAACAATGTCTCCCCATGTAAATATAGTGTCATTTTCACGGCGGCATACTTGATAACAACGTTCTCCACGAATGTATCCAGACCCTGGAGGAAAATGGAGGGACAAAAGTGCTACAGTCTGCCCTGATTCATCTTCAACGCGAGCGCCACAGGCTGCAGATAGAAAATAATCCAAAGATCGGGAGTTTCGTTCGGTCTCTAACGGTTGGTAAAGTTTGACTGGGTACTTAAGACTGGCAGCGAATGAAGCAAGGATGGTATGGACCACGAATTCTATTACTGGAAATCCTGGACAGATGGCAAAAAGCAGCGTCCTTTTTGAAGCCGTAGGATTTCCAAGAAACGTGTGTTGAAAACGGCCATATGCAGCAAATGCCGCCAAGGCTGTGACCACGAGGCCCATGATGAGGTCGGACTGTTTGCGACGGCCTTCTAACGGACAAATATCTCCATCTGCTGACATGGTTGGAGTATATAATGAGACACCAACACAGTATATCTATTCTAAGTATTCCAGGGTGCAGCTTTAGGTGCCATTGGATTTCTATTATAATATTCAATACCCCCAATGTCTTGAAATACTTAGAGCCACTTGACAATCAGCTACAGTTGATGATGATCTCATAGGGAATGTCAATGCTGATCCATGGATTGAAAAGGTGATCAACCAAATTCGACTGTTCGAGAATTCTGCAACCTTCAGAAATATTCAAGATTATAAGCTTACTATAGGTTATCAAGTAAGATCTAGGTATATTTTCCATGTTGGTTCGGCGAGTCCGTCTCAATAATTCCTGCAATGGAGTGGGTTCATGAGTTAGGTTTACATGTTACCTCGTAATTCTGGAGCATGATATCACCCATTAAATATCCTCTTCGTACTCGGCCCGGCTACATTTTTTTGTGGATTTATCAGATTAGGTGAATCTGCTAAATCAATTAAAAGCTAATACATAAGAATTACCCGTTTTAAAACAGGGGTCGCATACTTTTAAGTCACATTCTCACATAGTTAGCTAATACATTACTGAGGGCCATGAGCCTACAATGCATTATGACATAAAATGCAATATGCTCTCATGATATTTTTAGCTATTGACTGTTAATCTAGTCTCTGATAGTCTCTGTGTTTGTATGGTTACAGGAAAATTAACAAACGGGGTTAGTCCATGTTTAATTAGGTTGCTATTATTCCATCCTTAGCGTGAAGTGACACATGATCCCGTTTTGAGAATCATATGATTGACACTCTAACAACAGACATGACATCATGATGTTGTTACATCCAGACAAACGATTTGCCCAATGGTGCAATAATTTGGAAATTCATATCTAACTCAGCCTCCCTTTCTCAAGGCTGAAAAATGTTAGTACTTTCCTCCTACACAAACAGCATCTATATCTCTCTACAAGCAGTTGCCTACTCTTGTGAATCTCAAGTCGGAAATCGCGATTTCCGCGAATCATAAAAATGGTGACCACCCCGCGAATTGAGCACTACACAACGGATGTTCACGCCCACTGGGAAGGGACCCATGCCCAGGATTGGGCTGAGGTCGATCTAATCGGATATGAGGATGCCATGGATAAGATGTATCGGAAGTTGTGTGAAAATCCGGATGCTGCTCTAGTCCAAGTTGGCCATAGGTCGAAACTGCTCCATGATCATGGCTCTGACTATCGTTTCAATGGGAAATATACAAGCGAGCAGACTAAACCAGAGCGCAGTCACCATGAATACAACCATTTTGGGAAGTTGATGAAATGGGAAGGCGATCGTTGGTACAAGTATGATTTCGAAGTCGAAGTGACCGATCACAGCAGATGAATTATGCCGGGTTATTAAGCTTGGATTGTTAAGGGCTTTACATGGAACAATCGAACTGGTTTATGGGCGTCTTTTTCGGAAGATTTGGCGGTTAGTTGACTACTATGCTCAGCTTTTTTGGAGGCCAGTCGGATCCAAAATCCTATCAAAGAAGGTATACGCAGATTATTTGGAGACTTGCAAAATTGCTATGCCCATCGGACCAATTTCTGCCTCCCATGACATATTTTTTGACAAAGAGCGGGAATGATAATGCCCCCGAAGGCGACATCCCTCGTCGTGTGTATTTATACATCAGGCAGAACAGTTCTCCCGTGCCTTTAGCAAAAGTCTAGTGCGATTAACAAGCCGCTAAAACCCTCACTATATGTCGTCCATGTTGACTTATGCCTCACGTTTCTGGCGTTGGTAGAGCTCCAGGTCTTGGCTGATGACCAGCTATGGTATGGCGATATTTATGAAGCTATGTATTCATCTGAGAGGGCAGGGTTCGGTTGCTGAGACTGGAATATATACGGACTAGCACTAGCAACCACGCAGAGAAGAGAATGAAGAGAATGGTTAAACAGCACTGTTCGTGACATTCTCCTTCCTTTTTACCAAATCGTCCACATCAGGGTTTAAGTCCGTAGTAGACGACGAACCCCCATACATCATATCTCCTTCGATCCCTGCCAAAGTCTGCTCCTTTGTCTCTGGTATTATTAGTGTCGCCAACGCAGTCAAAAGCACGATCCCCGAGAACAATCCCAGAATGTCACTGAGACCAATAGCATCCTCCACTGTCCCAAAGGCAAATGCAGCCAGAATTGCACCACACTTGCCTGCCCCGGCGGCGATACCGTGCGCCGACCCACGAACTCGCGTCGGGAAGACCTCAGCCGGAATCAAGAAGGTGGTTGCGTTCGGACCGGCGCAGAGGACGAACTGTGAGATGGCGCAGATGACCGTCTATTCGGCAGTGGAGGTGTGTGCGCTGGGGCCACTGATTCAGGCCCAGATGGCGTAGAGAAGGCAGTTAGAGACAACTCCAAAATTGTTGTCGGACGCAGCCGATGCGATCGGGGAGGAGGATTCCAGCGTAGAAACTGGAGAGGTAGCCCTATTCTCGTCAGACTTTTTCTAGGTTGGTTGGCCAATGGGAGGCTTACGGCACATTGGACGATCAGGTTTCTGGTGGCCAGTTTCCAGAGCTTTTCAAGCGGAGTTGCGCCAGTAGGGTACCCGATTCCGGAAAGGATGATGCTCTGGTTCAGGCTGATACCGTAGGAAGCGATGTCACTGGGAGAATGAGTTTCAACACGCACAGTTTGAGACGATGAGTGCTTACAAAAGAAACAAGGAGGCAGATGTGGTGAAAAGGGACTTCGCATGATTCCACTGAAGCAATCGCAGAACTCAGGCCACTGCTCCTTCAAGCCGCGCTTCTGGCTGGTGTTTTGATCGATCACGGCTGCACTGGGTTAGTTTCATCAGCAAATACAGCGGTTTGGCCTCATACATTGCTTGTACCGAGCAGTCTCTCTGATCATAAGCCTGGCATACAAAGTCAAAGCAGCAGGGACAATGCCAATACCCAGCAGCAGGCGCCACACCCGTTCCAGGTGACTCAACTCGGGGGCGATGGCACTGTTGAACGCGCGTCCCAGAATCGGGAATACGCTACTGGCACCGAAATTTCCGAGACCGATGTTCGCGAACACAGACAAGACTTGTGACGGTTCGCGTTCCTTAGGGCGACTTTTCCGCCAACAAAGTAGAGGACCATGGGTAGTCTATCTGGCTAGTTCCCCTATCGCAATGCAGACCGGAAGGAAGTACAGACCAGCGTCAATACCGACCCAAGTCACCACACGCCAGATGACGATCCAAGCAGTAACGCTCTCGAAAGACATATTCTCCCACAGCATCTGGCCGACCAGGAGGGTGCCGAAATGGTGGTCAATGGCTCCTTGCCGTAGATAGTGTGTCGGCCCCCTGTTCACCGAGCACTCTAAAGAGATCTGGCCAACGGCCGTTCCCAAGTTTAACCCTCCTTTCATGATATCGCCATCGACGGCTGGCACTGAGCCTTTGTTTTCGTTTTGAAGTAGAGATAGACCCGCATAGGCACCGCTGAACTGGATTAGAGGCTGACGGTCATGCACATACAGGTAATGGCTAACGTACCTAGACCAATTGTCAGGTTGAGATATCCATCTGCGAAGAATCCGACTCCTGCTGTGAGCAGGAATCGAAGCTTAGACCCCAAGGAGACCATTGCGCTTTAGAATCAACGAAAAAGAATATATTTTACCTTTTCCAGGTGGAAGACAATGCGCCTGGAACCGTCTGCTTGCCACCGACCCTCATCCTGACAACATCCCATTCGTATATCCTATATATAAGCCTTTCTTGATTCCATGATACTCCTGTTATCGATACGTAGAGCTGGTTAACCTGTCAGGACGAAGTACTGTAGAGTTATCTCGCTAAGTCTTGCAGCTCCAACAGTAACTTTTCTTCTTAATAATAAATTTTTTATGGATTTGATGTCTGTGTTTCTTGGACTCTTTGTGTCCTTGTGATAGGTTGTGATGGCTAAGTTCCTGGTCCAACATTGTCAACGTCATGACAGCCTTCCACTTATGATTGTTGAAATCTTACTACTAGCTGCGTAGTCATGAGGATCAAGATGCCAGGCCTTATCAACCCATATCATCTCCGAGGAGACAAACATCTAAAAGGCTGGATTGACGCCACCATGACTTGGGTTATCAAGATGTGCTCGCAAAAGTATACCTGGCCAGCTCGCCTTAGGATGCTTCTTGGTGTCGGGCCAAGTAGAGCCGTCATACTGGTCTAGCTGTTCTGATTGATGCACAACCGCATCGCCGAGGACTTTCTCAATATTAAGTCGTGGTAGGTGGCTCTCAATCTCGGAAGAATATTCGACAGCTCCCATGGCCTGGCGGGTAGCTAGTGAGAAGTCCATCATGACTCCATATCGCACCAGGCGGGATAGCGGATAGATACGCTCGGCAATACCTGGAGAGGTGTGCAGCGCGATTGCGATCCAGACTTGATGGCTCGACTCTTCAGATATACCATGCGATAATAGGTGAGCTTTCGCTGCATCTGCACCCTCAACTTCAAATCGTTGGCTCCCATTATATAGATCGCTGGTACCAAGGTCGTGACAAATACAGGCGACATATAATAGCGTGAGGTTGTTTGGCTGACTCCATTCGCTCCCCTCCTTCTCTGAGAGCCATCGGGCGAGGAGAAAAGTTCGTATAACATGATTGAAAATAGGTTCGGGAAGCGCTCGCCAGGCCAGATCTAAAGCGGCCTTGCATATCTCTGTCTGGGGCAGGTTTTCAAGCACATAATCAGAGAGTTTTGGGCTGGTCTTATTGTGTTCCATGGTTGTTGCCACAGTGCAATAGTTTTGGCAGGTCGTTAGCACTGATGTTCCAATATGATTCATGCGTATTGTACACTGATGTTTAGGTAACGGAGAGGTAAGAGGTCATTAACCAAGAGTGCATGCCGACGGGCGGGCTATTCTGCGCTCAAAAATCCTGTCCCTGGACATGACTGAAGAACCCACACCGGACCAGCGACCGAGCAGACACGGAATCCCCGCTCAGACTAGTTAACACTTGTGAACGCCAAGCAACCCCCGAGTATGAGTCACCACCAATCTTGATGCCCGATTCGTCCAGAGACAGAGCTATACGAGCCGGAAATTGCAAAGCCGTAAGGTGCCAACAGCAGATCCAGCATTGACGGAGAAGACAGCCAATCTTCCCAGCAACATAAATATAAGTGGACAGGTCTACAGAACCAAATGTCTTCAAGTCCTAAAATCTGGATGTTATTGGTCCACGCCTGTACTAGTGCACGCCGAAATTCTATTCTCTACCGTATATTCCCTCGGGTCTTTCTCCAGACTTTTGGTACTCTGCCAGTCCCACACATGACATAAAATCTGCATGAGAGAATCATCCGCGCAGGAGAAGTAGCTGCGACTTCATTTCATCAAATATGGCTACTTCGGAACTGCAGACAATTACCTACAAGAAAGTCGGCCAGCTTCATATACAGCTGGACTTAACACTGCCTCCTAATGCTTATAAAGTACCAGTCCTTCTTTGGTTCCATGGTGGCGGCCTTCTGTATGTCCCAGCTGATTGTAGTGCATTTATTGGAACTTGATAACTAACATGTCCGTCTTCAGCCAGGGCCGACGAGATACGAACATCCCGCCGCATATGATCCGCGGCGTAACAAAATACAACTACGCATTCATCTCGTCTGATTATAGATTAGCCCCTCAAGTAGGTGTCCAAGATATTTTGGAGGATGTCCGAGACTGTATAGACTTCATCCGAACCGAGCTTGCTAAGCACACGGGCCCCGGTGTCCTGGATACCCACCGCCTAGCAGTCTCAGGAAGCTCGGCTGGCGGTTACCTATCACTTCTTTCTGGCCTGTATGTCAACCCTAAACCAAAGGTCATACTTTGCATCTACCCAATCACGGATCCACTGGGGAATTTCTTCACAACCTCCCAACTGCACACCCTGGGCGCAGCACGCACAGAACCCGCGTTAATCGCCGAATTCCTGGATCCTCAATCCGACGTAGTTGCTAACAGCGCACCCGGCGACGAGAGCAACCGGAACAAAATGTACAACTACATGCTGGAGAAAGCTAACCTCGCCGCTCTCCTACGTATCGGGGCTGGAGACGAGTTCCGCATTGCGAGGAGCATCTTTCAGTGTGGACTACCGCCAACATATATTGTGCATCCGGATGGAGACAAAGACGTTGGCGTTGATCAGAGTGATGAAGTAGTTGGTGTGATGGTGGGGTTAAATATGGAGGTAGGCTACAAACGTTTGCATGGCCTGTCTCATTTTTTTGATCTGGATGAGCAAGTCCAGCTGGAGGATATGTACGAGTTTTTGCTTAAGCATCTTTGAGTGCTTCGTTAGTCCACGACTGTGGCATCCTGCGGCATGCCTATGCAGACTAAGATAACATTGAGTTGCACATTCTACCTCTATAGTTCGAGGGCTTCAGCTTAGCTTAAATACGAAGGAGAGGGCTTGGTTCCTTCTTCCAGGGCTATTATACTACATTAGGGAATAATGCTTTAGGATCGTTGGGATCAGTGTTAACTAGAACAAAGCTGCTTCTTATATGCCACTATGACGACCCTTATTATTGCCCTGATAACTCCAACTCTCTTGCAGCCTCTTCCCCAGTGATGGCCACCTCGACCTCGCCTAACTGTTGGCACGCCTTCAACACGTCTGTTACCTGTGCAATATCCCTTAGATAAACACGCACAAACGACCCCAGCGCAAACCCCCGAATCAGCGGGGGGAGCAACGGTCCGAAGACCACCAGAGTATTGCAGTGGAACTCCTCACACAACCATGTGGAGTACCATGAGCCGCTCAACTTAAAGTTATATTTCTGTGTAAGAACAGAAGAAATGAAAGAGAGAAGAATGAAGCATCACCCGGAATCGTTATCTCCCTATCCTGATGCTGTTGCTAGACTGGGATTTTGCCAACACCCAGAGGGAGAGGACTAATTGGCGGCTAGGGGCAATTGGGCTGGTTGTCTAAGGTATAGGAAAAACTCCCTCCATGGCCTAACCAGCAGGTATACCATCCTTCTCAACTTACAGCAGATGTGAATGTATAAATTGGCTAGAATAAACTCAATCTTTTACTCCACAATAACCATGAACAGCATGTACGCCATATAGTATTGATATCCAATATCGCCTAGTATTGATGTCGAATGCCAGCTAGTATCGATATCGAATTCTCATCTACCAGGGATATCGAATACTTAGTATTGATATTGATGCTATAGTGGTTCAATATTAATACTATTATGATGATTCTTTGATATCCAGACTAGAGAATGAATTGATATTAATAGTATGGTGATTCAATATTAATCGTATATGAATATTCAATATCTAGTCTAGTGGTTGGTAAGATATTAGGGGAAAAATCATGTCTATCATGGGTTAGTGCATAATAGATGGAAGTATATATACAGGCCCCATTAATATGAGGAGTGCTCCCATTATCTGCCCAGATATATATTTGACTGTTGTTAATGCAGGACTTAAGCGTGCAATCAGTGCAGACGGAACAGACTTTAGTTAAGGTGAATGTAAATGTTCAGTGACTCATTCTTTGATACTTGTATGATCATATGGCAGTTCACTCGCACGCTGTAGCAGTTGTTTTTTTTTCATGGAAGTATCCACAGGTGGTTATGACTCGGCCTCACATACCGGGCCATGTTAACAACTTCAAAGAGACATACGCCTAATTTTGTCACCTGCATATTTCGCCATCTGAGGCCCCTCAAGAGGATGAATAGGGTTACTTTCCAACTGGAACGGCTTGATATTGGCAGATGCTTGCTGGATCTGAATCTCGGTCTGTTGTTCCAAGCTGTGAGGTATTCTACCCCAGCAAAAAGGGAGTTGCTGTTCAGCGGTCTGACTTTCAGGAGCTGGAGATTCCCGGCCAGCTAACTGAGAACACAGTTTATTTTCCATTTTTTCCATCTTAGACTGGTGCAAATCGTCGTTTGCTCGCGTGATGGCTTCGTGGGATGGACGGGGAAATAAGGAATAATAGGTTCTTGTTGTCACCCTTTGGTGTTTTGCAGCCCTTACCGCAATTAGGTAGCTGTTTATGGGTCTGAGCGGAAGAAGTTAGTATATATTGATTTGTAGAACTAAGATTTTGGAATTTCCTCTAATGAAAAGTAGAAAGGAATTATGGGCAAGGTAAAGCTTACGTCGTAAGGGGGTATGTAGTAGCTTAGGAGCAACTGTGAGATCTGACCTTGCGATCATAGGTACTCATAAGTATCTATCCTTCTGATATATACCGTCGGCAGACCCCACATCTGCTGTGTAATATCTTATCGTTAATCCGTGGAATTTCGTTCATCATGACGTCTACATTCAATTATTAAAGAGAACCTGCTGTTGTGGCTAGACCGTGGGACAATTTGGACCCAAGAAATAAGAATGGGGTGTAACCAGTCATATCTCAGCCTAAACCGCAGTTTTTCTGCAAGAAAGTTTATCATCTAATCAGCCCATCCAACATGTTTCAACAGCGAGCATGCGTCACCTGACCAGGAAAGTGTCCTTTCCAGGTGAGGTACAGAGACGCTATCTTAGAATTTGCGCACTGAGGGATAGTTGAATAAAAACCATGATTGGATTTAGCCACCACCATCCCACATGGCACCCCAAATTCGGCTCCGAGCCGGATCGAGTTTTCAATAAGTATACGAAATCGAACCCATGTCATGATGGCAACTTTCCTTCATATAGCTCTATTTATCTCAGACATTGATGTGAATGCAATGCGCGGCATCCTGAAAAAGGTAACGTACCTCGTATTAACACTCAAATATGCAGCTTTCCGACCAGCCAAGCAACGGGTGAGCCCTGTAGTAGTGATGAGGATGAAGCGGCGCCTTTAAGGTCTCTAGCTTCGTGATTCGCTCTCGAGTTCGACGCCACCGGGCGAACAGATCTTAAAGTGTGGTGCATCCATCTCGCCGCGGTTGTAGGCAATGCTATTGACACTAGAAGCTGAATTCTTCCTCTGCCACTCCACAAGTCTGTGCTTGTTTGCGTGATAGGACGCCTTTGTCCTAGTAGAAGTACTGATGATATGGCTAGATTGAGGTCTGCGGTGCGCTGCTCATAGCCAACTGAGTTTTGTCTTCCAGCACCATGCATGCGTTGCCGCTTGTCGCGTCGAAGTTGAGAAGAACCGTCTTGAATTATGTGCCTTACTATACGCCTTGGCCTCCGAAAAGGGTGTCGACGTTCAGGTCTCGGGGCAATGGAAACCTGGGGTGGAGAGTGTAGAATATGCCTGCTTGTGGTGGGATGATATCCTTCTGAAAAGTCATGATACATTGAACCATACTGCCATACGAGCAGCCCAGGCGCGCCGCTGTGGCCAAAGTTTGCGCTGACACCTCCCACCATGAATGGAATCATCGTGAAATGGCTTGCAGTTGCCCGTATTCGACAGCGCGTCAGATCTGCTGAGACAAATGAATAACTGGGCATAACTCAGGATGCTGGCGACGCCAGTAATGGCCATGTCGATTTCCTTTGACACCAGATTCATATAGGCCAAATACATCGCCGCGGTTGTGGACGCACATACAGAGTCGAACTAGTAGGCCTAACCCTCCCACTGAAGTGCCAGGGGAGGCATTCAGGGCCAAGCGCATGGTGCACTCCCTGCGACTTATGCATCGCATCTAAGTACTGAGTGGCTGGTGTCATGCCGGTCGTCGGTGAGCAAATCGGGGAGTGTAGTGATGTGCCGGTCATTTTCGTCCGTCCGTGTACGTAGCCGGCCACTTCGAGCGCCTCATAGGCGCACGCCAAAGACTGCCAGTGACCGGTGTTCATCAACATTGCTCCTCTAGGCGAGGCGCAGAAGAAGCAGGAAATGAAATTTCCCCGGCTTGATCATAAAACAGCCGTACCTAGTTGTCATGGTGGAGACTTGTCACCATGGTGGACATCGAAGCGATCGTTAGGAACATCCTGGTAGGCATAATGAGATCCCAAACTTCGTTGAAGTGCCAGCTCCTGGGCCACATTCAGCCTTTCCCATGCTTGATGGAGTTGGTACCGTCAGGATCATTTAACTGGGGTCTACCGGCTATGCACGCTACCTGGCCAGTGTCTTAAAGGGAGTGGGAATGAAATTATCGCCAGGTCAACATCAAAATACTCTTTCACGTACAGAGGATAAGGAGCCACCATCATCACCAGCTGAAAGCATTCCTATCGTAGCGTTGAGCTTGCCCATGGCCTGAATAATGTCCAACGGAAGGAAGTCTTGCGAGCATGCAGCTCTAAGCAGGTCCCACCAGTTGGCGTATGTGGGTGTAAGGTCGTCCATACACCAAAGACCGATAACAAAGCGGTCACAAAAAAGACCAAGCTGTCCTCAATGTATTTAATTTCCGGGTGTGAGGCGTTGAGGGTGTGCTTGAGAGCCTTCATGTCCAGCGGGTTCGTCATATGACCCCTCACAGCGGAACATTGATAAATCGTTGTAAAACTGATAGAGTGACTGGGTGGACTTGGCTAATCCGTCTAGCCTTGCTCACTTGTAGTCCTAGATGCAGCCACCGAACTCTCACCCCTGCGAGGTCGGGCTCGTTGGTCCCGGTTTCCACGGTTTGGCGATGCCACTCTAAGAGTGTCTCCATTATTTTCATCCCGTTCTACCTCTCTATTCTTGCTTGATATATAGACCAAGGTCGAGGCGACAACAGGGGTCCAGAGGGAACTAAACCGAACGTGGATGGTGTAATTCGTATTGTGAGTGAGTCAACCGAGGACCGAGGTTCTCTGAAACACGAATATCTCAGTCGTTGAATCTCACTCATTCACCAGTTTTTGTGAATCCGATCTAATTCTGGAAGACGAATACCAAAATGGGGGATATGCAACGAAAATACCCTACCTGGCACGGCTACTTTGAATTCATCACCACTGTGGCCCCCCCAACAGAGAGTGTCAACTTCTTCAGTGCTCAGCCATGCGCCCATCCTTACCTCCAGGACACAAGCGCCTACAAACCCATTCCATTCTTCTCTCAGTATGACAAGGGCGATACATCGGACACCTTTTTTAATGAGACTCTACGTACGGCAAGAACCATTCCCCACGCCCTTGCAGTTGCGCGGAAGGAGGTCTTGAATTTGCGTGACAAAGCCGCCGATGAACGGGTGACTGGGAGCGCTGGCCAGCCAGATTATGTGCTCTTCGTGCACCTTGCGTCCGGCCTGAATGGATATAGGGATACTGTACACGGTGGCGTGTTAGCCTCGCTTCTGGACGAAGCTCTGGGGTGCTGTGTGGAGGGATTCCGTCAGCAGTTGAAAGCAGGAGAACGGACGGCTCTGTATACTGCCAACTTGAATATATCATATCGCGCGCCCGTGGCATCCCCAGGTGTGTATATAGTCAAGGCCTGGCTCGCGCGTCGGGATGGGCGAAAGTGGTTCCTTGAGGCACAGGTTGTTGGGGAGGATGGGAAAATTCGGGCGGACGTGAAGTCGCTGTGGGTTAGCGAGAAACCTCGGGCAGCATTGTGAGCTGTATTGTGCATTCAAGGTCTGAATAGCTCAGGATCTTTAAAGCAACTAAGATACGCATACATTGGAGCACTCAGTAGTCTACCTATATATCCTAGGTAATCAAAGATGAAAGTCACTTTGCTTGTGAAGAGCATGTGCATCATCTCTGTCAACGATAGTTACATACTCCTCGCTGTTGAGTTATTCGATCCCAAACCAACAACACGCACCAAGTTGAGTAGATACCTTAGCTAGCGAATGAGAATCTCCACATTGCTCCCACAACCTCGGTGTTCTTTGATCAGAATCCAACCGCTCCCCATGAACTAGCCGTATACTTTCCAGGGCCAAATTCCCAGCCTGCCATAACACTAGTCAAGTAATCTTCCGAGCTATACCAGCCATTGGCAATACCATGCTCGAAGAATGGCGTCAAACTACCCGAGAACCAACCCGAGTTACTCGGGTCTACGTATGACATGGTTAAATCACCGCTGGGCCAACTGTAAAATATGGGTTAGCAGGTTGATTTCGAATACATGCGACCGAGGTATAACTTACTGATACAAGTAAACATCCCACGGTTTGCCTCCAATATTCACATTCCGTGCCCATGGCACTGCACCATTTGAGTCGTAGTGGTCAGAGAGAGGAGTGTTAGGAGCCTGATGACCAACCCAGATCATCACCTCGTATTTGCCGTTACGATTAGTGGGAGCGTAGGTTGGGTCAATGAAAATGTCGTAGCTAGTTCGGGAATACGAGTGAGTTCCCAAACTGAACTCAAATGGTACTAAAGAGTATAGGGACTCACCAAGCATCGTATCCTTTGCCTTGCGCAGGTTGAGCAGTCTGACTGAACCAGGTTTTATGGCCCGGGTTAAGATCCTTGATCTTCTTAGGCAGAGTATGGACTGGGGACCAAGTGCCCCAGTCTTCGCCAGTAACCATAACAACAAATCCGCTACCACCTGGAGCGTCCACACCCCACGAATTATCGTTACTATACCATGGACTAATACTGCCAGAAGTACTGAAGTGCTTAAAGTAATAAGTGCCTGAATCAGCACCATTGGCAGAACAGCCAAGTCCACTCAAAAGGACGAAAGAGGCAGAAACAAAGCGAGGGAGCCACTTCATTGTGAATGCAAAAACGTCGTTCTTTGGATATTCGCGAGACTTGCATGTCAGTCAGTTCAAAATATGGGTTGAAGAGTGCGTATTTAAGCTCATCAAGCTACCTAGTGAAGCCAGCCAGTTCTTCCAGGTGAAATGGGATATGCGGTCCTGGCAGGGTATTCCTCTGACAATAACCCGCTGGGATAATCGAAGACCTCCATATCAGAAATTAACTGGCTACTCAGCGGACGCGGTGCCACTCCTCTGAGGACTTTAACCGCAGGTTCTGATATGATCTACATGTGTCGAAGGTCTTCTGATAATCGACGACACATTCGTGAAAAGATCGTCAGACCTCGTGTTCGAATCAAAATATGGCGCCAACCTTAGCTGCAACATTTCCACAGGAAGATACGAAGAGACAGCCTTTCCGCTCGCCCGGCCAAAGTATACAGCTGCTCCAAAGCCAAATGCGCTCGATATATCCTGACGGTTAATGGGACGAAATTTATCACTAGATTTAGACTCGAGAGATGCGGTGCTTTTAAGGGGTTTTCCCATGTCTTATGCGTCAAGAGCTTAGTGACGACTTTGAACGAACCTACTGATCAGTGAAATAATCTACATATTTCTTCCTAGGCGTGTGCTCTCCCTATCTATGACGGCCAAATACCGCTGCTCAAGCTTCCGACGGAGTCCTTTTGTCGGGCTGCCTTACCACGTGGCTCGGTCAGGAACTTAGCAGCAGGGACATTGAGCGGAACACTCCGACAGTTGCTTTTGGATACTTCTACACTGTCGCGTTAGACTTCATGAACGATTAATGGATGCCCTGGACACTATTCCAGAAAGCGTTTAGCACAGTAAACTTCTCCAATTTACAAATATGGCATAGTTTACTGCGGGTAGTCTCAAAGAATGCGGAGACATCCGAGTTTATCTCTTCCCCAGGATCGCCAACAGATATGCCAAACCGCACCTCCGCCATCCCAAGTTTGAAGAACCATAGCGGCCTGAGCACAGGGTCGAAAAACAAGACGCATCCCAAGTTGGTTACAATCCTGCCTACTGTCCTAAACATGGACTATTTCGATCTCATCAACTATAGTTTGATTTGATTATCTTACTTCAATATTTCCAGCTGTCTAAGCTTTTAATACAATAGAGACTCTTGCCTTCAGTAACTGTAGGAAAATATTCAAGTTAATTGAGGGATTCTCTTACAATCCAAACAGGTAGCCTTGCCGCGAACGAAGGAACTCTAAATGCAGCTGGATGAATTTCACCAAACAGAGTTTGTCCAAAGGCAAACTATACCTAGCTGCGGCAATCGTCCGCATGGATACATACGAGCTCAAATTTATCCGGAATACAACACCCCACTCGGATCCCGGCGGGGAGATTATGGAGCGATACCCTATTGCAGTTTCGAGCAATCCGTTCTAGTCAAGTTCCGTACGGACAACATATCATTAGACGGCCCTTGCTAACCTTATCGCCAATCTCGAGTGGCTGGCTTCTATCATAGTCGACTCGCTTTGAGCCAGTTCTTGTTGGAAATTGGGGTAGGACGCTGTGGCCTAATAAACAGGTGTCCCTTTTCCCCTGCGTTTCGGATTTGATATGAGTGCGGGCTAACTTTTGCAGGCCTTGGAGATACCCCACATACAATGGGTCGGGGTTACACCATTGAGGTCGCAGCCTTTGCTGCCACGGGAAGTTTCCTGTTTGGATATGGCTCAGGTGCCATGACGGATGTGATTGCCTCTCTGGATTTTCTGGAATTCTTCAATACAACCAAGCCTTCCACAATTATTCGTGCTACTAACAGCACTTTTTCCGGAGGCGGTAGGTTGAATCACCCCTCTTTCTCCCCCAGGGAAGCTGTATGCTGATCCCTTTTTCTAACCCTTGGTTAGCCGCCGTGGGAGCCCTCATGGCCCGTTTGACTATTGGTTGGCTGGATCGCAAGAACACTACCCAGATCGGCGCTTTACTCTCACTTGTTGGTGCTTTGTTGCAATGTGTAGCACAGGATTTGGCGATGATCMTAGTCGGACAAATTATTGCTGGCTGGGCTGTGAGTGGGATGAGTATGTCTGTGCCGCTCTACCAGGCCGAGTGTGCGCATCCAAAGATGCGTGGCTTGTAAGTGACGTTGCATCCCGGAAAATAGGAAAAAAAGGAAAATAGACCACTCCTCACAATCGGGACCAGGATTCTCGGTCTCTCTCAGCAAATGATTGGGATTGGTTTCATTGTCAGCACGTAGACTATATCATCCTTCCTGCCTACCTACCTTCCAATCCAAGGGCACGCGCTCTCCTAAGGGACATACAGATGGATTGACTACGGTTCCTTGCATGCCCCCGACACGAACGCGCTGCGATGGTCTGTCCGTTGGCCTTCCGAGGGGTACCCGCGATCCTCCTCTTTTTCGGATTGCTTTGGATGCCCGACCACCTTGTCCAGAATTGAAAGACGATATAGCCATGAAGGTGCTGTGACACCTCCACTACAATGGCTCCAACGATGAGTTGATCGCCAGCGAATCTACAGAGATCAAAGCTACCATCAGTGCAGAGAGGAGATCACTGCCGTGGGTTGGCTCGTTATGTTCAAGTGGCCTAGTGGCAGACGCGACTACTTCTAGGTACCGCGTTGCATGTGTTTAGCCAAATAACGGGTGTCACCGTGATCGGCTACTATCAGAACATCATGTATGAAACTGGGAATCCAGGGCAACCGCGCCACTCTCGTGAGTGGGATTAATAATGTGGTTGGTCCCTAGCGAATCTCATCTTTATCTTTTTATTGATCACGCTGGCAGATGCAAGCCACTGCTCTTTGACGCAGCGGGTATCACCCTTGTTTTAGTTTGTGAGGGTGCCCTAAACTCGCCGCAAAACATTGATGAGACTGAAAGGGAATACAGCATTGGTGGCGTCTTCTTCGTCTTTGGTGTTTCTGCTGTATTTGTCATCTTCTGGGATTTACATGTCGGAAATAATGCCCATGCAAATTTGGGGTAAAGGCAATGCGTTTGCCACCAGAATTGTCGGGAACTGGATGGTTATTACATTGTCGAGCCGGGTTTTTTCTATCGCGCTACACCACATTAGGCTGGAAATTCTACTTTATTTCCGTTGCATGGAGGGAGTCTTCATAGTGCCATCCTGGTTACTGATTCTCACTGATGCCTGATAGTTGTGTGCGTAACCATCCCCCACAATTTATCACTTCTTCAAGGAAACCAAGCAAGATTGGCTCGAGAAGATCGATCTCATTCTTCGGGGACCGTGCCCTAGGAATGCTTGACGACGACCTGGAAGTCAAGTGGGTGGAAATGGAGGACTTGCGTAGTAGGGCAACCCAGTGAGGCTGTTGCTACTGGTAGTACTAATGAGTAGGTGTTGGGATATTTCCATTCAATGGCCTGGCTTCTTTCCGATTGGAAGTAGAACGCACACCTAGCACCATTTGTGACCGGCTTTCGCCAGTTCTTCCAAGTAATCACAGCTGCAACCAATTATTTGGAAACGTCCATCCCACCCTCATCGGTTATTTTTCCGCGTTCCAGCAAGCCGTCCAGTGCAAGGCCGTTGGCTGTGTGATGTATGAAATAACACTACTAGATATGAGATAATGTTCTAAACCTGATAGAGAACTGTCGTGAATGAAAGACTACATATATAGAGGTTGAATGAAACCTCTTGTTTGCATAGCCATTCATTCTGCTTAACACCTGCTACTAAGAATGGGAACTTGGTGAAATAGTAAGTGGTGCAAATAAATAAACCATTGCCTAGTTTGCCGCATGCCTACGTTACTGGGGTCTACTTGTATCTCTGCTGAGAGGATCAGGCAAAGGAACGCGCGAATATTACGGCAACCCTCTACACTCCCTCCGGGCCGATTGTTTACACTCCCGCCTACCTTGTCTCGATAGGATTAGATATGGCATACAGGATCTCAGCTGGCTCCTCCAGCCATCTGCGGACTGACTGTATTCCCCTTCTTTCCACCTCTCTTCGCTCCATAGTAAAAGCCCTTCCCTGCAACTCTGTTAGATTGTAGCTTCTTCAAAAGTCAGCGCATATGCAGCGTCTGGCAGCCTCCCTCCCCGTAACATAAGAAACAACATCTTTCCTGAGCACGCTCGTTTCATCAAACTCGAATATCCCAGCTTCCCGTGTACGACGATATCTGATTGAATTCTCCTCATTAAGGATTTATCCGCTATAACCAGACCAATCACTGATATACATTCCAGTAAGCGTATTGAATTCAGTCGGATAGTTCCTGGGAAAATAAACAAATTACGAGAGCAATGGCTATAGAATAACAATGACACAAAGACAGGTGGACCCTGGAAACTAGTTAACCACTCCGGAGCACTAGACACTGAATACTGCACCACTTAGATATCTCCAAACCCGCAGCTCGAGCGCCACATTCATGGCCACTAATCCACAAAGCAGGCAGCAGAATACGACACCCCAACCAAGGCAATGCGAAGTCAGTTTCTTCCGCAGTAGTCGGTATTGATCTCTGCCCGATATGGAAACTGGTCCTCCTTTTGCCTAATCACTAATTATAGCAAAAGCCCCCTCCAAACTAGAGTAGGACAGGATTTGGATAAAGTTGGCATCGTTTGACACAACGGGTCTCCGTCGCCTCTGTGGTGGGGATATAGATACTTGTCTCTGCTCAATACCTCGAGAAATCGGGCGAACGGAGATCCTGGGGTAAATAGGCCCTAGCTTCGCATGACCAGTGAATGAATAGGATACACTGATAATTGCTTGTATGAATCCCCACACGTTTCTTTGCCTATTTGATTATAGCTGATTGAACCCTGCGATTTATTGTCTATTATTCTGGTGTTTGATGCCTTCCACTGTTTCCTCTGCTGTGCTGTAGCTTAAATACCAAACCTCTATCCCTAGTTATTAACCTCGAAACAAAAGAAAAGACATTCTACTTCAAACCTTCCTTAAGATTTGTTCACTCCAAGTGATTTTGTTTACCGAGTGCCTCTTCAACATGTTCCAGAAATTTATATACTCTAGCCTCTTCCTTTTCTTTGGCTTATCCGCTGGAGCCCCAGCATCAGCGTCAGTGGCGGGTGCACTCCCAGCTAACACTAAGTATCTCATCACATTGTAAGCCATCCTTCTTTGGGCTGGAGAATATCGATATGCATAATGCTCATATTTACCAGCGGTGACTCCTATTCGCAAACCGGCTTCAACATCAGTGGTAGCTATCCTTCTGCTACAAACCCTCTCGGAAACCCAGAACTTCCAGGCCAGACAACTAGCGGAGGATTAAATTGGATCGGCTTCTTGGCTTCCAAATACAACACCTCGCTCATCCTGTCTTTCAACTTTGCTTACGGTGGTGCGACCACAAACGCCAGCATTGTTGCCCCTTGGAGCCCCTCCGTCCTCAGCCTTATTGACCAGGTGAATCTTTTTAGCAAGAGCATTGCTTCCAAGCCGCCTTCTGCGCCCTGGAACAGTCGCAACACCCTAGCCGGTATTTGGATGGGAATCAATGACATTGGAGGCTCCTACGCGCGGTCTGACCTAGAGACTGTCCTCATAGAGGTCATGAATAGTTACTTCGGCCAGTTACAGATCCTGTACAATGCAGGAATCAGAAACTTTATGCTGCTGACTGTCCCTCGTGAGCTTATTCCCACGTCTGTTTCTTTTACCCATCGTTTCCGAACGCTAACCTTCCACATTACAGCCATGCAAAAGACACCGTTGATGATTGAGAGAGGCAGCGAAGTTGTTGCCCAAGAGACTGCTGCAGTTGAAAAATACAATCGCCTTCTCGCAACGTATCTTTCCAATTTTGTGTCGTCTAACCCTCATTCTAGGGCAAAATTGATACACACGCGACGCCCTTTCGACACAGCAATTAACAATCCAACAGCCTACGGGGCACCTAATGCAACTTGCGTCAATTGGGATGGAACGTCCTGTTTGTGGCGCGATCCCTATCACCCTGGAGTCGCGATTCAGAACCTTACAGCCCAGCATGTGCTAACCGAGCTTGAAGACTGGTTCTTGCGCAGGGATAATCATTAGGAGAAATGTCCTTGTTGATGTATGGTTTGGTCGTAACCAGAAGATATATATATTCTACTATTCAGTTGATTTGTTCTGGGCACTAAGTATTATAAATACTATACACCACAGCCGCGAAAATTTGTGAAATAAGATATCTGTCAATCTGATCGAAGACATTGGCACATGTATGGACATCATCAGCAAACCTTCCTCTCGGTATCCGGTCTGAGTTATCATGCCCAAGCGTATTCTGTTAGCTCGCCCACTTCCCAACTTATTGGATTCTCTTGCTTTTATCTAGCCTGCATGGCTAAAATATTGATGAACGAAGCAAAAGCTGTCCGGAAACTGTATTGATTACTTGAAGTTCCAGGTAGAGCAATGACCCTATTGACAAAGGGCTACTTGACCCACGTTCCTCCCGCAGAGTGGCCATGAGTTGGAGTGCAAATTCAGCCGAGGCCTTCGAGTGGAGCTTGATGTGATCTTTAATCACAGAAACACGTGTAAGGGAGCTGATTTCAACTGTAAGTAAAGGTGAAGGAGCCGTGAGGTGAAAGTATGATTGAACAAATTTTCCACCACGGCTCGCTAGTGAGGATGACCAGTACAATACTGCCTCAGCAACAACACAAGTGATATTACAACCTACTCGGTTTGACATTTAGTCGCAGCTGACTCCAGGCTGTTTGTCTGAGAAATCGCATTCTTTCCAATGCCTGCGAAAAATTTCGAACTGGAATCGGTGGCTTGTTCATATGAACTAAGACTACTCGTGCGAGTCTATGCCCCTTAACCTTTCCCGTAGATCGAACTTTCCGACAACTGATGGCCTGGGGTATTGTTGTCGTGATTAGCTTTAGGTTGGAGTAATCCTCAAGAGATATATCTGCCTGCAAGTGCAGTTCAAGGAGTTTGTTAATCTCCGATGTGTAGATGAGACCGGGTCCTCTGGCTGTTGTAATTGACACTTCTGGCAAAGTCCTAGAGAGACATCTACTTCGGAATTTGGTTGCTGGCTTAAATATGGAAACAGCGGAAAACCCCAGAGAGGAACCTGGCCGGTAGATGGTGACGACCAAACTCTCATCCCATCTTTAATAATAAACAGTGGATGTTATAAGCTGTGCATTTAGGTTTCTGTGGGTTAATGGCCCGTTAGCATTATTCTACATCTTAGTTTGGCCCTGAAGAAGCCGGGTTGGACTCCGGGGTTGGACTCCAATTGGACCTCAGAGCCAAATAAAGCATACCACTAACCTCATAAGTCATTTTTACCCATGCTCTTGGGCCCATGGAAGTCGAGAGTACACTTGGTATTACCGCTGTGCTGCMACAATAGTCACTCTATGCCAGTTACACACTTTTTGAACGACGTGGTATTCATGATTGTACCCACAATTTATAAATGCACATAATACTTGTGGCTAAGGCTATTGTGTCTGGCTTGGGCCGAGTTAAGCACAGAGTATGTCTTTAAGTCTCAGGTTAGCATTCGCATACGGTCTTTTGATCTTACAGGATGATGCCTACTACGCTCTATTTTAACGGCATATGATATAAATATATCCGCAACAAAAGGTTTTTTGAAATATATTGCAACCCGTTCATTGCCTGAAACCCTACATTTCTGAGACTATCACCTTCATAGTGACGTCCGCCTGATCAGAAGGTTGACCATATCGCCACTATATAATTCTTCATGTTAACTTGGGCAATGGCTTGGAGAGAGCTGTTCCCTAAGCTGAGCCTAAAGAAATTCAAGATTTTTCATTGGTTGGTATTATATGAGCTCATGTCTCACCTCCTGTCATGCAGCTTCAGTGGGGATTCTGAAACCGGTAAACCTTTCTTGAGTGGTCTGAAATAGGTAATGACAGAAGCTACCGGATTATAAGGTGACATCATGTGAACCTCTCTGTGTACAGGATGCATGCGGTGACTAGGGCGTATACGCAGCGGCAAAAAGCCAAAATGTGCGCGATGCAGTTATATTACTACGGCATGTTGCATAAATGATGTTTAAGGGATCCAGCCGGATTCTAGTGTTCCTATAAGCCCATTCTATGGATTACTTGTGCTTTGAACAGCATATATAATTCGTCTGCATAGTAGCAATCCAAAAGATATGGATACACAGCGAAAACACATGGCTTTTGCGTATTTATGGCCAGCCTATCTATCATCTTTTCCCCAGTTAAATGTTGAAAAAATATTAAGTGTATCACCTGTTCAGGACACTAATGCTTATCTGATTATCTGATACTCGGACTATCTGTTTCTCTTAATCTGATTATTTGATTATATTTTCAATTCGAATAAAATACCAAATGGTAAAATGTTGTGTGAAGGGTTGGCTAACATGTCGTCCCGGATACGCCGGCGCAAAATGGATTAAAGCCTCAAATAGCGTTTGAAGTTAGACGGTGCCCATCGCAACCTTAATTAGAGTTCACCTAGGCCATGGTTTTTAAGTTGAACGTGAGGTTACACAAAAGCATCATATGTCAAGTCGAACTCAGCATAATCACACCATACCCCAGCCCGCATGCTTAATCTGATATATTCTCAGACGTTCTGGATTTTATTTCGCCAAGTCAAGTCTCAGTTGTAAATAGATACTCTCCTGGAAATAAAGAGTTTGCTGGCAAGTTAGATACAATAATGACATGTTTAAATTGCAAGTCAGCAAAAGTATAAGTAGGATAAGTAGTACCGTAGTATAAAGCATGGCGCTATGAAAGTAGAGATCTTTACCTACTCCTACCAAGAGTTCTGTGGAACTCTTAACTGACCTTGCTATGATGAGGTACTGAGGTCTTCTACTCTTTAAATAAGTTAAATAAGTTTATCCAATTAATCTAGTCTATCCAGTCCACCCAGTCCACCCAGTCCACCCAGGTTYTCGGTGAGTGATGATTATTGGGCGCTGCAGGACTCTACTGCTGTTCATCCAGCTGCCGATCCCAGGCTCCCCTTAGGTACGCCCTAAGGGCCACCGGAGATCTACAGCATATTTTCTTAACAGCTCTAGAATATTTCAATACGCATACAAGGCAGCTAGCAACATCCCCACTCTCTGACGACCCAAGGTTAACAATGAAAGACGCGAATCTTTGAAAGTTCTCTTTGACACATGGGACTTGGAGAGACTTGAAGGCCCTGAGTAGGAAACTGCTGCTATGCAACTTTAATGTATATAATGATCGAAACGAACTTCAATTGCCGCCATGAACTGCGTGTTGAACCTGTTCCATTGACCGGATCCTGAAGCAGTATGGTCTCGAGTGATAAATTACAGCCGCTAAGCTCCGGCCTTTAGGGACACCTTGAGAGTAGCACTGTCTTGCTAATCGGACCGTACTGGTTTGCTTGCTGACACCTACAGTTAAGTTGTGTTTGAGTGAGTATCAGTAATGCAACTCACTATGGAATTTTTACGATTTCTGTAGCAGTGGTGCTCTCGCTCCGGAGAACTGAAGACACTACCGACCTTGACATGTACATGACACAATTCTAATCAATTCAATTCCCTGCACATCTGAAAACAGATGTCTCCTGTTTAGTTTCCGCATTCGGGCAAGCATGCCATGGATATCTTCTTGCGGCACACAACATTCCCATTGTGATGCAGCCCTTGAGCTAATAGATGGCAAAATGGACATTGGTTTGCCACAACCTACCCATGTGTTTATCTATTTGAAATCGCGTTTGAGATTGAGGGACTAATTGTCCTCCGGTTGCATTCTCGAACTTTGAGTTTCAACAGGCTGGCTAAACCCTAAATCTGTAGTTACTTGCGACAACATATGGTCCTGACCGCTGTATGATGATTAGACTACGTCGGTTGTCGGGTTCTGCGGCTCTCCCATTAGTATATAATAGGCACGAACTTGTAGGAAAACTGTATTAATCTATTATTCCATTTTCACTGTATAAATCATCTGTGCAGTGGGTCTTTGTACAGACAATAAGGAGGTGTTGACACCGCATTTCAGTACGATCTTCCAGATCAGCCTAAATAGTGGCATGAGGCTCACAGCTTAGTTATACATAAAAAGCCAAATTCATTGCAAGATATTAAAAACTCTTTACTCCTTGGGGTTCTCGAGAACAAAAGGATCAGGCAGAACAAACTCGCTCCAGAAATACAACCAGGATCAATAGTGATGGGCATCCAAATTCTACCTCTAACCGGGGAAATCCGTGAACGAAAGTCGATTCGTGATCTTAACCCCGAAGAGTTGGATAAGTTGATCAAAGCCTGGCGATACATTCAAGAACTTGATCCGGAGGAGAGAAACTCATTTTTCACTATTGGCGGACTTCACGGCGAGCCTTTTCGCGGTGCCGGCTATGACAACTCCCAATGGTGGGGAGGATGGTGCCACCATGGGAATGTCTTGTTTCCCACCTGGCACAGAGCATATTTACTGGCTCTTGAAAATGCTCTACGCAGTGCCCCAGGTTGCGAGAATGTAACACTGCCCTACTGGGACGAGAGTGACGATCAAACAGCCGGGGGGCCACGCGGGGTGGCAGACGGGCCGACAGCTGGTGGGGATGTGTCGACCGGCATCCCAGACATTTTCCTTCAGAAAAACTACAAGGACGGAAAGCCCAACCCTTTATATTCTTACAAACTGAAGAAAAAAGTTGTTGATCGCTTATCGGACATTCCCGATGCAGATTACAGCAAACCAAAGGGGTATGAGACGTGTCGCTACCCTTATTCTGGTCTTCTGGGAGAGAATGACAGGGCGGCAACTCAGCAACACAATAACTTCCTGGATAAAAACTTCTCTCGGAAGAAAATAAACGACCTACTCAACCGAAACGTTCAAATCTGGCTAAAATTGGGTGCCTTCGTAAATGATAAGGGCGAACCAATAAACAGGGGCAGCACGCGCCAGAAATTCTGGGATTGCCTCAGAGTGCCAGACTACACGGTTTTCTCGAACACAACTTCTGCGGAAAAGTTCAATGATGAGCATTTCAGTGAAACCGAACCGGACCCTAAAGTGAAGACCACGGATGGCCCCGGTTTCCAATTTACCTCTGGTCCTGCCGTTGCTCTGGAGAGTCCTCATAATGATATTCATCTGGCGATTGGCGGAGTCGAGGTTCCAGGTCAAGATATGGATCAATATCCCTACGCGAACGGCGACATGGGAGAGAATGATACGGCGGGTTTTGATCCGATTTTCTATTTCCACCATTGCTTCATTGATCACCTATTTTGGAAGTGGCAAACAGAGCATGGAAAGACCAATCCTGAAAATATTTCCATCTGGTCTGAGTATCCTGGAACAAACAGCGTGGACTTCCAGGGCCCCACCCCTGGGATCCAAGGCAATACCTGGCTGACGCTGGACACACCTCTCCAGCCTTATAAATATGAACTCAGGGACGTGACGTCAAAGGTAAGACTAGCTGGAGATTTCGTTGTTAATCAAGCCTTTTTGACTAATGTCCACTAACAAGATCTGAAGGATATGATTAATATCGAAAAGATCGGCTACACATACAAAGTGCCGGAGCATGGCAAAGGCTCGGTATTCAAGACACCAATTGCTCCACTGCCAAAGCGACCTACATCGTCACCTCCAATAGTACGAATCTCTGGAATTAATCGCAGTACTATTGCGGGATCATTCGCCCTAGCTGTCTCGCATAATGATAACGACAACAGTGAGCCTCAGGTTAAAGCTATCACGTCCGTACTCAGTCGGTGGCATGTGCGGGGCTGCGCAAACTGCCAGACTCATCTAAATACTACAGCCTTTGTGCCATTGCATGAGATTGATAAAAAGCGTCGGCACGAAGACTTTGCATTGGCTGTGCATTTGCACACTAGAGGCAATCCACGTGGAGCAAGAATTCACAATGTCAAATTGGGGAAGCTTGCATGAGACCAAGGTTTGAAAATTTGACCAAATTGCCAATGGTGTCTTGTATTGATATTATATTTGCCAAGTGGCTAATATGTTAACTGCTGATTACGACTGAATAATGCTTGATATTTTCTGTCAGAAGCAGGATTTCTGATGTATTATGTTCTTTACATCCCTACTAATTATGGGTATCCCAGGGGAAAGGAGAAGATGCTTCGCAATGTGTATATTTCGGCAAATGTACTTGATACAATAAAAGGATGACTCGATCTAATATCAGGTGGGCAGACCTTATGTCATTCAAGAAGGCTTGTGAGGGCTTCTTCATAGCTGCCACACTCTTAAATTCCACTCACATGTAGTCCAAATTTGTGGAGAGCTGTGGGGATGCGGTGGCATCAGTCTACGCCCATACCAACGAACATTTAACAGGTGGTCGGTGGAGATTAGGTATGAAGAGTGGGACACGCAGTTCAATTATTCCCACCTCCATGTAAGAGGTCTCTTACATCTTTGGTCACTCCCATAATCTTAGGAGTGAGTTCGCCTGAGCTAATTATTTTCATCAACTTTGACTGCCATGAGTCTAACATTGCTTCTTCTAAGTATTGTTTGCCATAATTTGGAACCAGATCTGCTGAAGTCGGCCGCGTCTCCTGTAATTACAGTGTGTTGCCTCTTAGAGCACACTCCCAGATTCTAATATACCATATTCATTCGAGGAAAAAAAGACCATGGAGTGGTTGTTAGAGATCATTTCGTTATGTCAGTTATAGAAGGCCACGTTGGATAAAAGAGAAATAGCTTGAACAGTATCTCTACTAATACTAGTCAGTAATGGATGTGTCCATGAAAGGCCCTGCAATGGTGCACTTTAGCTTGTAACCTCGCACCTCTTACTCCTATGGAGCGTCATGATGGGCAAAGGCTCGGTCATGTTGTCAACAAGAGTTCTGGCTTTGCAAGGCAGGAGCTTATGCTGATACACTCTTCATCAATGCACAAAGTCTATAAATGAACAAGACATCTGTATTAAGAAAGCAAGTTGATCGTTTTTCATAGCAGCAAGTCATATAGCTGGCATGGCAGATGCATCTTAATCCATTAGGTCTTGGCACTCATCGCCTGAGAATCAAGCGTCATCCTCCAGACCAACAATCCTCAGAGAATCTCTCCAGAGACGGTCCTCCTCCTCAGGATTGTAGGTCTGCGTCACCCATCCCACTCCAAAGGTCTGACCATCGTCCTCTCCCCGCTCCGCTTCCCTGACATCTTCCAAATATTTTCCACCTTTATTCTCCCACTCTTTGCCCACAGCGGCCCAGACGGTTGTCGCTGCACCCTGTTCCGCCGACTTCAGGATCTTGAGAATGTACGGGTTGGTCATGAGTCCCTCCAGGAACTCGGGGGGCATGTTGCGGGAGATGTCGGTGTTGATGGCGCCGGGATGCAGACTGGTGGCATGCAGTCCCTGAGCACCATAGTCTCTCTCGATCTTGTTGGCCAAGTACACAGCCGCCAACTTGGAGTTGTTGTAGGCTATCTCATGGTTGTATCCGCCCTTTTCGAAGTTGTAGTTGTCACTGGCGGGGAGAGTGGCGGCGCGGTGTGCGGAGGAGGCCACCACGACCACGCGGGAACGGAAATCGGGTGTAACGCTGGCCAGCAGAGCTTGCTTCAGCAGTTGGAAGAGCAGGAAGAACCCTATGTAGTTGCCGGAGAAGTGCGCCTCGATCCCATCCTCGGTGAGCGTGTAGTTCTGCAGGCCCATAACTCCCGCGCTGTTGATGAGGATGTTAACCTGACCCTTGGTGGCGGAGAGGATTTGCTCTGCACCAGCTCGGATGCTCTTGAAGGAATCTAGGTCCATCTCGACGAGAGAGACACGACCGGGCTCAAGGATGCCAGCCAGGTTCTTTTGCGCCTTCGCCAGGTTGCGGGCCGTGAGGAACAAAGTGGCTCCCGTGGACTTCAGGGCGCGGGCGGTCTCAACACCAATGCCTGACGTGGCACCGGTAATGACAATCACTTTGCCGACCAGCTTGCCTTCAACACCCTCATCTTGGATGATCTGGAGGGCGGTTGGACGGGCGTCCCCGGCTCCTTGGGGGTCGAGATGCACGGCAGCGTAGGGACTTAGGGAACCCATCGTGTGCAAACCGTTGCAGGTTGCAAGGGCTCAGGATTTGAAGAGAAAAGTAGTGATATAAACTTGATGAGGTTCTATATCGTATACTCCATGACCTTGACAGTGGTGTCTAGGTACTTATGAGTTTGTATAGATCTCCCCAGATGCCTGAATTTGTCATCTGGTCTCCGGTACGGCTGCCAATTCGCCCCGGTAAAATACCGGCCAGCAGCGGCCGAAAGAGCGGTCCTACCTTGCGGATCTTGCGGCCGCATTCTGCGGCCCCACCTCGGCCGCCTTAGTAGGGGCACCACCCCGCTCTTACTCTCGGATTTTGGGAACTGCGTCCGAGGCAGACAAAGTCCGTCTATCTCCTACACCGTCAGTCAACACTCTCTCCCAGACTACGCACACCATGCAGACCCCCAGTCGTGATTCGAGCCTCGAACTGGCTCCGCAGGCTTGTCAGTCCTGCAGATCAGGCAAGAGAAGGTGCGACAAGGCACTTCCCAAGTGCTCCTCCTGCGCTAAGTAAGGTAAACACACCCCGTGGACGCAGCAGAGCTGACTCTCGACGCCGCCCCAGACGAGACCGGACATGTGAATACTGGTGGCCAGAAACTAGAGCGCACTCAACGACCGCGTCGGACCCCGAGAGGGGATGGTACCCGTCTCCGCTGAACGAGGAGCACCAACGGGATGTCCGCACCATAGACTTTCCGACCATCCTCTTCCTCGACCCAGATTTACTGCAGCATGGCCAGGTGGACACAGCGCACAACACGGTGTCTGTTCCAGCGCACATCTTGCATCTGCTCGGTGACCTGGATGAGATCCGGTTCACTGCAGGCCGGTTCTTCGAGCACATCCACCAGTGGATGCCCTTCATCTCGAAAAAGAGATTCTACGACATGTATCTGCAACCTGCATTCCACACTCGCCCCGATGTAGTTCTGTTGCTCTTGGCCCAGAAATTAATAACCACATTCCCCCCGGCCGGGGCGCAGGGTCCCCGCACCCCCTTGTATTATGCCGTTCGGCGTTTCTACGTGGAGGTCGAAGGCGCCTTTTCCATCCTCGTGCTGCAGGCTGGGGTCCTGGTGGCGCTGTATGAACTGGGACATGGGATCTACCCGGCGGCGTACTTGTCAATTGGGGCATGTGCGCGGTACGCTCACGCGTTGGGCATCAATGTTGGTCGCACAGTGCCAACCCGGAGAGTGCTGACCTTTGTCGAGGTGGAGGAACGGCGAAGGGTCTGGTGGGCGATCGTGATTCTCGATCGGTACGTCGCTCGGCCGCATGCACACCGTATGTACTGTAGACTAATGGCTGAACCCTTCGTAGTTTCGTGAGCATCGGCTGTCCGGGACGACCCTTCGCCACAGCCGATCCACGTTTGGACGATCTTCTACCCGCGGATGATGCAGCATGGGACCAGGGGGTAGGTCGGTACCCATGTGTTCCGCCAGTCTCTAATACCTAGAGTAGATTGTCCGACCAGAGGACCTCTCGACCCTGTCTTCTCCGATGACGGGCCATATGAGTAAGTTCGCTCTGCTGTGTCAGGCTGGCCGGCTCCTGGGACAGGTCCTGCACCACCTGGCCAGCGATGTCGCCATCCACGACGAGGTCTGGATGCAGCTCGATCGCACCCTGCAGTCGATGTTAGCTGCGGCATTGAACATTGACTGTCCGGACTATGACCAGATTACCTTTGTGTACAGGTTTGTGAACCCTCTCTTACCAGTTGATCAAACTGATTCGTCTCGATCACCAGTGCGCTTGTCGCCCTGTATACCCCGTGGCTCGTCCCCAACCGAGCCGCTGATCCCCACAGCGACCGGTCTCGACGGGCGCGAGTCGTGCTGGAACAAATCACCGACCGTATTAGCGCTAACCTGGTGGAGCGACAATGTTTCCTTGGCCGCGACCCAGAAGACATGTCCCCATGGGGGCTGTACTTTGCCTACCGCATCTGCGGGGCGCATATGCGGACTCAACGGAAGACGCCACATGCGGCAGCGGTGATGCGGAGTCTGCGGGAGGGGTTTCGCACAATTGAGGTGCGGTGGAATGTGGCGGGGGTGTATCTGCAGCTGTTGGAGGCTCAGGAAGCGATTCATCTGGGGATTTGATGGTCACGCTTGCATAGAATTGATAATGGTTCCAGTATTTCACACGGACACTCCATCATATAAATAGCCCCTTCCCTCGTACATTATCTAGCCTTGGCAATTGATATCATGTCTACATTTGCTGTCTTCCACACATGAGATTGAGAATGCGACTTTGACTGTTGTACTTAATCTCTGTGGATCACTTTCTACACAGACCACCAACCGTCCTTGATATATATCCGCAGACTTCTGCCTAACTGACTCACCAAATTATAAATTTGAATCTTTAGTCCACTGTCTCTCCCTCTCTAACACTTTCTATAAACATCCACCACAAAACTGTAAAGCCTCCACCAGATCCAGTGCCTCACAACTCTCCATCTATACCACAGATTTAAACCCGACACAACCTGCCCTCGGCATTCTCCGCCCACCCCTCACTCCCCACTCCTGTCTTAACATACAACACCTCCCCAGGATCATACTTCCTCTTCACCACCAACAGCCTGTCATATTTAGCACCATAAAAGTTCTCCTTCCAATCCTCATACAAATGATTTGCCTCGTTGAGATACACCATTCCCCCCGGGGTTGCCGCATCCATCATTGGCTGCAGCACCTTGGCAGCATACTCATCTCGCTCGGCCATTTCTTCAGGCGTGGCATGCCAATCCCACGCGGCCGCCGGTGCGCACAGCAGCATCCCCGTGCGCCAGGCCGGATGAAGGGAGTTATCCGGGTGGGACTTATTGGCGACATTGAAACTGTCACAATAAAACGGGGCGAAGACTTCTAACTGTGAGATGTTGCGGAAGAGGTCCGTCACTACCGCGTTGGTCTGTGGGTTTGTGATCAGAGAGCGCGGGATGATGCGGCTGTTTGTAAAAGGGTTGTAGGCGTCATTACCGTAGGGCGCCGGGCCGAGGTATTTGAAGAAGTGCTCGTAGTAGTTGGGTGACACCTCGGGCTCGTAGATGGGGGTGATGTTGCGGGAGGCCAGATCTTGCAAAAAGGGGCTGAGGAGGCGGTTGATCTCAGTGGCGTTGGCACCGGGCATGGTCCCATAGGCAGTTAGGGAAGTGTTGCCTACAGAGTAGGTGAAGGAGTTGCCGCCATCTAGGAAGGCAGGGAGGAGGGCGTGGAAGGCACCCACTGCGTCCCAGTAGGCTGCGTTACCGACCGCGCTGTCGTTAAAGCCAAGTAGCGTGCCACCTACAATTCCATCAGGGTGCAGGCGCGCTGTCATGGAGAGGACTACTCCAAATGTGCCGCCACCGCCGCCACTGAGCGCCCAGTATAGGTCAGCGTTCTGAGTTGGGGTTGCAGTCAAGTGCCGCCCATCAACAGTCACAACCTCCCATTCAAGGACATTGTCGGCGGAGACCCCATATGAGCTTGAGAGAATTGAGTGGCCTCCGCCTTGGGTATAACCTCCCACAATGCCTACTGTGGGACAGGTGCCGCCCACAATGCGGTGGCCCGTTGAATTGGCCAGCGCGTACGCCTCAAATCCCTCAATGCCCGCGCCAAGTTTTGCGGCAGGGCCCTGATAGTATGAGGCTCTGTAGGTCGGGATGTATTCCCGATTTTTCAGATTGTGCGTCCAGAGGGACAGACTGCCTTTGCCGGTTGATTTGCCCAGGTAGCTGACTTACGTTAGCGATGGAGACGTATGGTGTATACGGCACGAAAGTACGTACTCATGGCCTGTGTTCTTGATGACGATCCGTATATTGTGCTTCTGTGCGAATGCAAGGGCACCCTGCACATCACTGGCCTCTGTGACATTGACGACATAACTGGGGTAGTTGCCCAGTTCGCACGGTCGAGATGCATTAGTGAAGGGCACGCAAGAGTAGTTCTGGAAGTTCTGGTTGAGAATCTCGGCAGGAGAGTTGATGCTGTACCCGTTAACCACAGTATAGCTGGGGAAGTTGAGAAGAACTCACTGGGTGATCGTCGCGATGTCCCATGTGCTCTGCAGCTGAAGGCAAGCCTGGGAATTATAGACTCTAAACGGGGTATCATGGCAGACGCTGGCCTCCGGAATGGCGGCAATTAAATGCCCGTTGATGGTCTTGTTCAGCGTCGCCCAGTCGCGGGCACTAGGCCAGGCAGCATCCCCGGGGAGGGAACGACACGACTGCTGAGACACACTGGTGTTAGTGGCCAGGCCCAGGGCCGTTGCGGCCAGATAGAGAAAAGAGAAAAGCTTTGCAGACATGACAAAGAAGATCGCAGTGGACGTCTGGGCATGCAGCACAAAGCTGGCCCTGGTATGAGGGTTTTATACCTCGCCGACTGAGGAGGCTGAGATTACTCATCTCTAACCCATTTCTGTACCGGCTGTCCGGGACATCTTCATTGCATTTGATCGTACATAGCGATGATCGATCGGAGCATGGCAGAAGCGTGGGAGGAAGCGTGGCCAACAGGGATAACCTGTCAGGGGTGTGCAGCAGCTGCAGACAGGTGCAGTAGTGGCAGTGGGTTCAGCGAGCCGCAGGAAGCCGCATGAGAGACCGCTAGGCATTAAGCCATTGCTGGCCAGGCCGGGATAATTCCTGCGTTGGTGTCAGCTCCTGTTCGGAGACCGAAGTTTGTTTGCGTGGGGATACTTGTAGATATCCCGTCACGCGGTGGGAAACCATATAAATCGAGTAATAAACCTCCTGTTTTTGGGGGCCAGAAAGTAAGATTCCTTCAAAACAGCACATAGTCAGTAACAACAATACCAGTCTAATTTCTTACATGGCGGCGACACAAGCCTCCCAGATCCGCCTCTCGCCGGACCACCTCGGGCTCGCTCGTATCGATGCTAGCCTTGCGGCCGGTGCCCTCGAGGCCGCCAACCAACTCCTGCAAAAGAATCACGACGAATGGCACATGTATTTCCAGGACATCGCCGGCCACAACCACATCTCGCACAGTCTGCTCACCGTGCTGGCCATGGGTGGGGGCCCCGACCAACTTCGGCGCGCTTACGACGACGGCGAGATCCTGCAGCGTCCACTGCCACCGTTAGCGCCAGAATCTATCGAGTCTCTGCACGACCCGGAGGTTTTCCTGTCCCGCATGGTCAAGATCCCCGAGTACACCAATTTCCTCGTCTTTTTCGAACGGGAAATCGAAGCGAAGGGCTGGCAGGCTGTCGTGACCGAATACTGTTTCAGTGGCACTGCCGTTGCAGAGGCTGTCTTCGCTCAGCTTTTCGAGGGGCTCTACCACCCGCTCATCCACCTGGGCTTTGGCGTCGAGTTTGTCCAGCCCAGCATTGTCGCGGAAGGCCTGGCCCAGGCCGCCTCGCATCATCCGGGCCTTATCTGGACCCCGTTCTTCCGCCGTAGCGAAGCGCTCGCCCGCTCTGGAACCGTATCGCCCAAGCCGCTCGTCGAGTTGTACAGGGCCGTGCGTAGCAACGAGAAAATTCGCGCCGCCGCTCGCCTCCAGGATGGCCCCTTCCGTGGCCAGGGGTTAGTCGAGCGGGCGGCGGATGAGTTGATCCCCATCGCCGCGCAGTTCCAGGTCACCCCGGACAATTTGCAGCGCGCGGCGGCGGAGATGATCAGTTGCTCGGCCTTTACGACTGCTGCTCAGAAGCCCGGCAAGACTCCCAAGGTGGACTTCTTCTACCTACATATGGTCACCTCGGCCTTATTCGTGGATGTTCTGCTGCGCCAGGACTGGATCTCGATTGAGAATAAGGTGCGTCTGCTAGAGTGGAAGGGGCGCATCGACTTGGCCTGGTATGCAGCGAATGCGTCACCGGAGTTGCGATCGGAGGTGGTGGATGAGTACCATCCAACCCTGAGCAAAGATATGGACTGGCGTGAGCTGTATCACGCTGCGAATGAGGTGCACGATGATGGTCATATCGTCAAGTTCATCCGCGCGTTGAAGAATGGCGAGGATGTGGTGAAGCCGTTCGAGCAAGGGCCGGGTGCCACAGACTTCCCCGTCCACGGGGAGATGTGGCTCAAGATGGCCAAGCTGTGCTATGATGGTACAGCGGAGATTATTGATGAGCCCAATCGGCTGTTGTCGAGGAAGTGGGTTTTTGGTGCTGGCTTCGATCTCGCGTGGAAGGAGATTCCAGACTTGGCCCAGTAGACGCCAGAGACTAGCATAGTTTGATGCGATCTTGAACAAGGATAATGGTTTGGTTCATGGTCTAAGTTATAAATAGTAATGCAAGTAAACTGTAGCATTTCTCACTAAGCAACTAACAATCCTTGAATCCATCGACAACCTTGCCATCCCGAACAAACTCCTCCACCCAGCCGATGGTCATCCTTGAAGCGTCAATCATGCAGACCCATCAGGGTCGAGATATTCAGACTTACCTGCTCCGTTTCGTATCAGCAAACTTCTCATGATCATCCACCAAATGCTCCTTATACCACGGATCCTCCTTCATGCGCTTGTAATCGTCGACGCTCTTGAAGATGACTTGGCTGAAGCAGTCAAAATCGGCCAGTTGTACCATCTGTGAGTCAAAGAGTTTGCTCATTAGGGCGCGGGTCGACGATTGATTGTGGATCTTATTATGCATCAGCCTGGGAGCAGAAACCAAGACAATCAGCCCACCTGTGTCCACCGCTTGACTCCGTATTTGACCATGAGATGCTTCGTCATTGGAGCGGAGACGTTGACCATGTGGTTCCGATAATCTTCCTCACTCATGCCCGGCTTGCGGTAGCCGCAGATCGTCAGGCAAAGGTACTTGCCTTCGCTGGGGTCGGCGAGCTCAGGGATCTCGGGGTCATTGACGGACGGCATTGCACGTGCTGGAAGTGAAGATGAAAGAGGAGTTGGGCTAAGTTTGATGGCGCTCGAGACGATGGGTATGATCCATTAATTGAGGACCTGTCTGCTCGTGTCTGCCGTACGTCGGGTGGGCAGGGCATATTATGCCGTGTGCCCGCCGGGGTATTTCCATTAGTTCATCCCAATACCGATCAGCCCAGATACAGCCCCAGGCTGACTTAATAAATTATTTAGGCTTTCCCTGACTATCTCCCAAAGGCATCCAACAACCCAGTGCGCCAAACATGTCTTCTCCCGCCATCGGGATCCAAGCCACAGCCGTGGTCACTGGCTCTTTTCTCACAGGCAAGTCGTTGGTCATTCGTCTCGGCCTCTTCTAACCGCATCCAGGAGCCATGGCGTGTCTCTCAGGCGTTGTTGTTCCCGTCTTTTTGGACACCGACACCGACGCATCCCACCTACTGCGCCAATGGGTGCGCGTCTATCACTACGGGCACATCTACATGCCCGCCCTCGGGGTCGCAACCTCTGGTCTCTACGCCTACACAGCCATACGCAACCGCGCGCATCGCCAGACCTACACCCTGGCCGCGCTGACCACAATCGCAATGGTGCCCTTCACTTGGATCTTCATGGCACCGACCAACAACACCTTGTTCCATCTGGATGGTTTGGCCACGGCCGGTACCTCGGTGGCCGAGCTTGGGGCTGTGCAGGAGATATTGATCCGGTGGTCCTGGTTGCATTTGTTCCGGTGTCTATTTCCTCTAGCAGGGGTGATCCTGGGCTTTGCAGGGTTGCTGCGTGAGCTCGGGGTATAATGAAAGGTAGTCCGATTCACGTGATGGGGTACTCAGTGTTGCGTGGCCGCTCGGGATGTTTTTTTGGGCCTAGCAGGAACAGTTAGTGCTGTCTGAGTGTTTATGACTTACTAGGATGTGGTTTATCTGACTCGCCAATCTGGCCTTATCTCTCTCTTATGCGGCCCTTTCCAATGATATTAAATCAATCATCCTAGCCCCATCCCCAACCACCTCCTACCATTCGTCATATTCCAACCCAACGGACTCGACCCAGACCACCTCCACGACCACACAGAGAGAACCATGGGACACGACAGCCAAATATTTGCCCAAGACGACTCCTTCTGGCAAAACTACCTCAAAGGCCGTCCCCAAGCGCCCCCGTCCTTCTTCTCCCGCATCTTCGATTACCACTCTGCCCACAACGGCAGCTTCGATGTTGTTCACGACGTCGGTGCTGGCAACGGGCCCTACTCCCGCACCCTGCGCGCCCGTTTCTCAACAGTCATCATTTCCGACATCGTCTCGCAGAATGTCTCCCTCGCGCAACAGCGCCTAGGCACAGACGGGTACCGCTACCGCACCGCCTCCGTGGAAGACGCCGCCGATATACCCGCAGGCAGTGTGGACATGGTCTTTGCGACGAATGTGATGCACTTCCCGGCGGACCAGCACAAAGCCATGTCCGCGGTTGCGCACCAACTGCGCCCGGGTGGCACGTTCGCCTGCGGGACGTTCGGGCCAGCGCGGTTCGAGGACCCCGCGGTGCAGGACCTGTGGCAGAGGATTAGCTATGAAGGAGGGAGGCAGCTCCTCGCCAAAAAGGGTGGGGAGGATCCTGAGGAGACGCTCCGGGTGATGGCGCGGACTGGGCAGGTAAATTTCGCGCCCTTGGATGAGGCACTGTTTGAGAAAGGGGCGTTGCGGGTGCATTTCAATTGGGGGCATGGGGGAATTGTGGGGTTGTTGCCGCCAGAATTGAATTATAAAGGGGAGAACAGCTTTACAGGGACAGCGGATCGGGTGATGTTTGAGGAGGACAAGGGATGGGGGTTTGAGAAGGATTTGGCGGGGGTGAAGGAGCATATCTGCTCGTTTCCCTTTGTTGCAGAGAATTTGGAGGCGTTTGGGGAGTTGTTTGCGGAATTGGAGGAGCTGTTGAAGAATGGGAGGGTGGTCAAGGGGCATTTTCCTGCGCAGCTGGTTTTGGCGACCAGACGATGATGTTTACAGAATACTACTTTAGGAATGGATGGGTAGTCAGTAGTGTTAGTGCTCTAAGTGCTCTATATGGGTTGTATGCCTTGGCGGAAGTATAGATCTCTATAAAGATTTGGCAGTAGTCATGTCATAACTAAGTGGGAATGTTAATCCAGCTTAATCTGATTATAGACATAATATAAACTACATATTATAGGCAATGCCTTGATAGGTGCATCTCACAGTCTCCCTGTTTTCTTTTACTCTCCTCAGCAATATCTTTGTATGCTATTCTTACATACAGTTGGCAAATCAGGAATGAGCCGGTTCCACTACAGCGTACTAAGAATGTACCTATAAGCACAGTGCCGGGGCATTAGCGGCGGCACAATTAGCATACACCGGTGACCGACCTGCCTCGGAATGTCCTCTCGACCATAGAGACAGGGATAGTGATGACCAACACCATTCAACACCCGTACAGCACGAGAATCCAGACTATAAGCGTCCTCGCCTAATGAGACGAGAGCTTCGGCCTCGGGGAGTACCATAGTACCATACCAGTCGCTGCCGGGTTCGCTAACTCCCCTCACGCAGCTATAATCAGATTTCTCGCCAAAGACAAACTGAAACGAAAGAGCAATTCAAACGCTCAACCCCGCCATCATGCCCAGCTACGCCATCCTAGGCTCGACCGGCAACTGCGGTACCGCCCTGATTCAGAACCTTCTGAAGCGGCCCGACGTGCACATCAACGCCTACTGCCGCAACAAAGCCAAACTCCTGCGACTCGTGCCCGCAATCGCCGACAACGAACAAAAGGTGACGGTCTTCGAGGGCAGCATCCACGACGAGAAGCTGCTGGCCGCCTGCATGCGCGACTGCCGCGCCGTCTTCCTCGTCGTCTCCACCAACGACAACGTCCCTGGCTGTCGGCTGGGGCAAGACACGGCCACAGCCGTCATCCACGCCCTTCAAGCCATGAACCAAGCTCCCAAGGTCGTCCTGCTCTCGTCCGCCACCATTGATGACCACTTCTCGCGCCACGTCCCCTTCCTACTGCGGCAGGTCCTTCTTCGCTCAGCATCGTTCGTGTATAACGACCTGATAGAGACGGAGCGTATTCTCCGCGCCGAGGCGGCGTGGTTGACGACTATTTATGTCAAACCAGGCGCGCTGTCGGTGGATGCACAGCGTGGTCATGCGTTGAGTCTCACGGAGGAGAATAGTCCATTGTCGTACCTGGATCTGGCGGCCGGGATGATCGAGGCCGTGGATGATCCAGATGGGCGCTACGATATGCGCAATGTTAGTGTGGTGAATACAAATGGCCGGGCGAGGTTTCCCTGGGGCACGCCCATGTGTATTCTTACGGGGCTGGTGCGGCACTTCTTTCCGTTTATGCATCCGTATTTGCCGTCTACGGGGCCTGGCTAGGAGTACTTATATGTACTAGATATATGCTTCGATTCGTAAAGAGTTTTAGTCGTGCTGGTAGGTCAGAGATAATCTTGGCCTGTCTTAGCCTGCTTATGATGTGTTTAAACGAGTCACTGTAGAATCGGAATAAAGACCAAGTCTACTTTGATAACTTTAATCATCAAGCTTAAGTTCATGCACTCCGTTTTCAATTAGATCATCTCCAGCGAAAATGTTGTTATGACCAATCCCCGTCTAACAGATCCTCCACACGCTTCCCCTCGCGAATCAGCTGCTGTACCTCCTCAATAGTCCACGGCACGAAGCGATGGCCTGGCGGGAAATTGGTATTTACAAACTCCTCCCCGCCGACCAGATGAGCAAAAGCCTGCCCGTACTTCTCGTACGCATACGCCTCGGGCTCGTGGCGGAACACCCACTTGGGGAAGCGGATGCGAACCTGCTTGGGGTCCTGCTTGATGGCCTCCCAGTTGGCGGAGGAGGCGTTCAGCAGCTGCGAGTTGACAAAAGCCATCTTCTGGACACAGCTCACACGCTGGTACCGCAGCAGGTTATACACCTTGGTCCCGAGCGGTGCACCGGGCGGGCCCCCAGCGGCAGCGAGCTGCAGACACGCGGCCAGGGTGACGGCGTCCTCGAGGGCAAGCGTCGCTCCTGCGGCAGAGGCGGGCACACTGGAATGGGCACAGTCACCCAGCTGCACGACCCGGCCGCCCTTGGAGGTCCACTCGGGGCGCAGATTGCGCCAGAGCAGCGGCCAGTGGATGATGGCGCCGCGGGGGGCACTCCGAATCAACCCGGCGATGGCAGGGTCCCAGTCTGGCACACGCTGCAGCACCTGCAGCACCTCATCAGGGTCGACATCCGGGTCCCACGACTCGGCGGGCTCGCTGCTACCGTCAAGTAGGAAGCTGTTGCGTGGCGTCAGCCCGAACGCGACCAGTTCGTCCGACACAAACAGTCCCATGTGCATCCCGGGCCCCAGCCAGTACTCCTTGGTCGAGCCTGCCCCAAGCGGCCATCGCGCCTGCACTGCTGGCTCGCCCGCCGTCAGCGCCCGCGGATACGCACACCGGTAGACGGACATGCCGCTGGAGCGCGTAGGCATGTGCTCCCCGGCCACCAGCAGCTCCGACCGCGACCGGAATGCATCGGCGGCCACGACGATATGCGCGACCCGAACGCTGCCGTCCGCAACCACCACGCCCGCGACCCCGGCCCCCTCGTCCTCGAAGTACCTGTCCACCCGCTGCCCATACTCAACGCGTAGCCCTAGTCGCGCGACTTGTCGGAGCAGCATCTGGTAGAATTGCTTGCGGATCTGTACCGGCCCCACGAACGGGTGGTTCTTGCGCTCCGCCGCGTGCTCCGGGTCGTTGTAGGTCGGATTGGACGGTCCGTAGATGACCTCCCCCGTGTGGCGGACGTAGAAGGTGGGTGCGTCGACCTTGTCGTCTTCAATCTCCCGGTACATCTCCGGCCAGTGGCGGAGTACAGCCACGGCGGAGGGTTGGATGATGATCAGGTCGCCTGCGTTGGGATGGAGATAGGGAGTTAGGCCTGACGGGTTGCGTGATCGGGAAAGAACAACATACCGCTATAATTCGGACCGGAGTTGCGCTCGAGAATGCCTACCACGTTGTGTCCCTTGCGCCAACACTCCAGCGCGGTCATTAGGCCTCCAACCCCAGCGCCCACGATCAGCACGTCGACGTGCGTTTCTGGGTGCCGTTTGGGGAGGCCGTCAGGGCTAGTTCCGACCCATTTCTCTGGGTCGAACTCGTGCTTGTCGCCTTCAACGATGAATTGGTGTTCAGACATAATTCCCATTGTTATGGAATTTGTTTGCAGGGTGGATTAGATGATGGCGAGAGCTGGACACTTGCGCTGCCTTCAATATAATATGGTATCTGAGAGGGGAGACAAGAGTCGGGAACGCATTAAAGCCCCGAATCCGAGATCAGCCCATGTGTGGACGGTACATTATCTGTAAAGTGTCGGAGGTCGATTAGCGAGGAGCCACTTACAGATGGTCAGGTAGATATGCTCGGTCTATTTCAGTATTCTTCAAGCCAAACGCCATTATTCAATCACCGGCGTACGGCCTGATCACATTGAGATGCTAACCATCAGAAGGACAGGGAGATGGAGATTGGTGGCTATACTATTCTCGGTAGATCTGGCTTCTTTGGCGGCCTCACTGCAATGATAGACGTAATGGGGAAGGCATGATGGGTCATTTCCCTTTACTTTTGAGATGTATGAGGTCATCACAGTAAATAGACGGTGCATCCTACATATTTGTTCTCGTGGGCACTCGTATTGTAATTCCCTGCGTCGAAACATTTGCTACCTAGTAACTAGACCTTCATGACAGTCGTCTCAGCACCACGAAAGAAACCCGGCCAAACATATCATACCATTGCAACCATACTAGCAACCGAAAACGTCTAATGATTCGCGGCCATGACCTGACACAACTTGCCCGGGCCGTTCTCATCATACGACAACAACAAACTCAACCAAGTCAACTTCATCGCCGCCAGGCCCCGAGGATGCACATCCTTCTCGAACGCCACCAGTGCCTCCTCCAATCCCTCCACAAGCCCGGTCTGACTGTCAGCCAACTTCTCCAGCTGCTCCGCCAGCGCCAAACTGTCCGCCATAGCCGTATTCACCCCCTTCCCGGCGAACGGGGTCATCAGGTGCGCCGCATCCCCCACCAGAGCCAGGCCTGGCGTATGCGGATGCGGGAAGGGTTCCAGCGGGAGCATGTACAGAGGGCGGGCATCAACGGGCAGATCCGCCGGCTGAGCCTCGCACGCGACAGTCAGAAGGTTTCTGAGTTCTTCAGACCAGCCGGCGAAGAAATCCTCGTCGGACAGGAGAACCCGTAGCAGGTCTGCGTGGTTGGTCGGCAGATCAGCTAGCAGCTGATCAGCGTCGAGCACCGGGTTCGGGCCCGCCTGATCATTATGCTGCCCCTCCTGCTTCTGTTGCTGCGCGAGCACCGCACGCGTCGCCGCCTGCGTAGTCGAGTGCAGGAACAGGTACAGCCGGGCCGTCCCATGGATCCCGCGCTGCGAGAGCAGCACCTTGCCGTCGCTGCACGCTGCGAACGTGCCGCCGCCTAGCAGCTTGTGCAGGTCCGGGTGGTTCTCGGAGAGGGGGGGCAGGTCGAGGGTCACGGAGCAGACGCCGCTGTAGATGGGGTGTACAGCGTCTGGGATGGCGGCACGGGCCTTGGACCAGGCGCCGTCGGCGCCGACGATGAGGTTGAAGGCTTCGTCGGTCGTGGGCATGTTGTGTCGCTGGAATGAGACCGTACGTTTCTTTGCGTCGACGGAGAGCACCCTGGTGCTCCATCTTATGCGCTCGTGGGGCACCGCAGAGAGGAGGAGCTGGGCGAGGGCGTTGCGCGAAATCTCCGGGCGGCCTTCGCCCAGGTGGTCCAGGAAGACGTGGCCTGTCTTGTCGACGATGGTTGTTTGTTCGGTGCATCCGCTGTCAATTCGCAGGAACTGGTCATACAGGCCGCATGCTTTGACTACTTTCAGACCATATTCTTCTTGGAGGTCGAGGTTGCCGGAGGGGTGGTTGACAGCGTCAGGGTCCGGTCGTTCGCGGCGCTCGAAGATGGTAAAATCGAAAGCGTGTTTGCTGGCGGTCAGGAGGGAGGCTAGAGTGAGCCCGGCTGGACCAGCGCCGATGATGGCAATCTTGAAGTTGGACGGAGAATACATCGTGTCTGTCAAGGTTGAGCAAGGAGATTAATTTCAACTGCCCCACTGTTGTAACCCTGTGAGAACGATTTGGACTTTATGCGAGGTGTCGACGAGGGGTGCTCGGGACATTTAGGGCCAGGAAACAACCCGAGTCTGCATACAATCGGCCGAAGTGCAGCACCCTCACAGTCACTCAGTCCCATTGGGAATCTCCCATAGAAGCTTATATACATACAGCAGGCAGATGCATGGCTTTAATTGCGCCGTAATTTGCCGACATGATGTTATGGGGTCAGGGTTGGGAACATGAATATTCAATGTTGCACGGTTTAAACTTGAATTGCCTAATCAACTTCGGAAATCTGTAGTCATAGAAGCTTTGCACACGGCTGGTATTTCATTTATGAACAAGCAGGTTGATCGCAAGCAGCAAGTGTTGTGCCTCTGTTGGACTCTTCACCACATGGTCTATATCTAACCCTAACTGGAAGTCGGTCGCTGAACCTATCAACTGGCAAATTTGATCAAAAGCGGCCCCAGCACCAGCAGGACACACGTATTGCGAATGTGCATCCCAATCTTCTGCCCGCGAGGGTGCTCCAGTAGTAGCTTTGTGTCTGACATCCCCGCCGTGGACCAACACAGAAAGAAAATGCCCAACAACCGCCGTTCTTGCAGATAGGTCATCACGTAGATAAAGAGACCGGCGCCGATGTTGCGGCCAGTCGACGACTGGAAGAAGACGACCTCATCGGCTGTCGCGGTCGGGAGACCAAACGTTTTGGCCACTAAGAGCCGAACCAACATTAGTCAGGTGGCTGGGGGAAAGAGGGGAAGTGAAGGGGTCTATGCGTACAGGATAGAGGGTTTTGGAAACATCGTACTCCAGTGTAGATGAGGAGAGAGGCAATGGTGACGGAGACGCCGTCGAGGAGATAATGGACAGCGGACATGTCGAGGAGCAGTAGGAGAGGAGAGACCAGGGTAAGAGAAAAAGAGAGAGTCAATTGTCTAGAAGCTGGCAATCACCCGAACATTGTCGATTTTTAAAGTATTATATCACAAGATCACCTCGGTGCTCGGAGAATTGGCACGCGGTCGGTGTCTGTAAAGGGATCGATCATGCAGGGAAACATCCGGATTTTCTGAGAAAGAAGCCTAGATCTCACCTGACGAATAGGGGCCCTGTTAGATGAAATGGATGCGATTTTATATACCATGAGGTACCGAAGCACATGGTCATCATCCGTTCCATTGTACACATTGCTCCCTGGACATAATGGCTCTCTCCATCACCGCTGTCTACACCTTGTTCTTGATCGTTCTCCCCTTTGCCTATAGCGCTGTCAAATGGCTGCTCTCGACAACGCGTCCCAGCCGCTTTCCACCTGGGCCACCAACTGTATTGGGTCTTGGGAACTGGCACCAGATCCCTTCGGTCTGGCACTTCTTCCAGCTCGATAGATGGGCCAAAGAGTATGGGCCTATCATGGGCCTCAAGTTGGGGCCTCGTAATGTGGTCGTGTTGAACGATGCATCGATGGTCTATGAGCTGATCGTCAAGCGGGCGACCTCCTTTTCGGAACGGCCCCCGATGTATATCGCCCAGAACCACATCTTGCCAGAAGGTAAACATTCGTACAGCCTGTTTATGCGGGATGACGACGGCAACCGACTCCGATCTCTCGCAAAACAGACCCTGGTTGGCACCGGGCTCAACAATTTGGCTCCTATGCAGAAGGCGGCGGCCACGCGTTTGGTCTATCAGCTGTATGAGAATGGCGAGCAATGGACCGAACATCTCAAACCATGGTACATATCCCTTCCTTAACGTCACAGTTTATCCACTAATCTCTGACCGGATAGGTCGCTGGCCACTCCCGTCGCCATGATGAGCGGCGCGCCGATCCAGGACTTCGTCCAAGACTTTGGCAAGCAGTGGATTGACGACTACGGTCTCTCGCAGCAGCTGTGGATTGAGCTTCTGGATCCCACGAACCCCCCGGTGGACCTCTTCCCGATCTTGCGCTGGGTCCCCGCCATGTTCGCAGAATGGAAACGCAAGGCCCCTGTGGCACGCAAGTACCTCCTGGACGCGTACAACGGCCTCATCCTACAAGCGGAAAAGAGCATGCAGCGTCAAGGCGGCACGCTCAGCTCCCTCGCCATTATCCCAAAGCTACTCCGCCAGGCCTCCAACACCTTCACCAACGACGAAGGGCTCGATATGACCGTGTTTATGGGAGGTCTATTGTACGTTCACCGCTCCCCGTGTCATCCTCTCAAGTCAAGTACTCATTCCAAGAATCAGTGACGCTGCCGTAGGCTCCACCCTCATGTCCTTCCAAACCCTCATCCTCGCCCTCGCTGCACACCCAGACGTCCAACGCAGAGCCCAGGCCGAAGTCGACCGCGTCTTCGGCACCGAGCACCTACCCGAGCGAATTGAGCTGGACAAACTCCCCTACGTGCACGCCTGCGTGACCGAGGCGCAGCGCTGGCGCCCGCTGGGCGCGTACTTCATGACCCAGTTCGGGCTGCCGCGCGAGAGCGTCGCCGAGGAGGAGATCGACGGGTACCGCATCCCCAAGGGTTCATCGGTGGTCATCAACCAGTGGTCCATCCACCACGACCCGGAGTTCTACGAGGCGCCGGAGCGCTACAACCCGGACCGGTACTACGATAACCCCGTGGGTGCGAAGAAGGGGGTGTCGCAGGCGGGTCGCAAGCCCATCTATACGTTCGGAGCTGGCCGGAAGGAGTGTCTGGGCAAGGACTTTTACTTCCAGAATGCGCGCATCACCTGCGCCCAGATCCTCTGGGCGTTTGACATCGTGCCTGACGGAGAGCTGGATTTGGATGTGCGGACGGGGTTCACGCCGGCAGTGGTTATGATGCCGAAGCCGTTTAAGGTTAGGTTTGTGCCGCGTAAGAGCGGGGAGGTTCTGTTGAATGAGAAGGAGAAGGCGGATGCGAAGTATACCGAAATTCTGGGGTAGTTTTGGTGGATTGAGGGGAGTCGAGGCATCAAGTGCATTATGTAGTGCTGAATTGAGTTATCTTTCCTAGCAGGTTTGCTACTGAAACATAGATAACACTGCGTAGTTGAAGCTTTGAGCCATAACCCGCAGATGCTGAACCGGGGAGAGACGTCTTAGATGCTGAGATAGTAGGTGAAAAGCAATTTGTCCGGTAGCAGAAACATAAGTGCCCAGGTGGGCTTTGTAAGTATTACCCTCTTCTAGAGACTGGTGCTCACATATGCATGCACGCCTACCAGAAACATGAAATAGATAAATTTAGTATGAATAACACACGCATTGAGAGAACTCCTATTGACCAGCTCCTGCTGCGACAGCCGCGGGGCCCCCGTTTGCCTCCAGATATTGCTGAAACTTAGGCCCGAACTCCCGCAGCGTCGCCGTATCCAGCATTTCCTCCACCGCCGCTATTTTGTCCCCTGTCTCAGTGAAGGTCACAAAAGCCGCGTAGTCCATTTGCCATGGGCCCCAAGGAAGTGTCCCTGTGGAGGAGGTGTAGATTGCCGCCTTGTTGCTGGCAGCATCATGCACCACGTGGCGGATAGTGAGCTACTCGAGGGTCAGTCCGAATGCGTTTTATGAAATGGGTAGGCCGCATCGCACCTCGTACGACTTTACCGTCGCCATAAGCGCGGGAAGGACTTGCTCAACCTGGGCCCGAGGCCGGCTGGGGACGCCGAGATTCAACGGCAGCGTGACTTGCGTAAAGTCGTCGGAAAACTCGGCCAGCCAGGCTTGCGCATCCCATCGCTTCCAGGCGTCGAGGAATCGCTGCAGGGTGGCTGTCTGGACTTCTGCGGGAGCCGGCATCTTGGTTACTGAATTTGATTTGGGGACGTGCTCGTCGAGGATGTGCGGGGCGTGCAGGTAGTGGTCAACATTATGAATTGCTGGGGTTATTGTAACCCTTGCAAACCAGCATTCCCCGATCGTTCCGCTGGGGTCTATCATGGGATCGACACCCTCCGATCTGACCGAGTCTCGGGCAATAGTCTATCAGTCCGACGCGGACCAGGAACTAGAAGAGAAATCAGCCGTGGGCCCCGTGGCAGGAATAAAACCCAGCCCTAATAATTGCCACTTTCTTGGTACCCAGCATCACAAAACACAAACTCCATTTTTCTCCATTCTTCTCTATTGGCCATTAAATCCTCCAAGATGAGTGCTACTGCATCTACTACACACATCCCTTACCGCCTCGACGGCAAAGTAGCTCTAGTGACTGGTGCCGGTCGCGGCATTGGCGCCGCGATGGCTCTCGAGCTTGGCCGCTGCGGCGCCCGTGTCATCGTCAACTACGCCAAATCGTCCGGCCCTGCCAATGCGCTTGTCGAGCAGATCAAGAGTCTGGGGACCGATGCGGTGGCAATCCAGGCAGACGTCAGTCAGGTGGTGCAGACGGTGCGTTTGTTTGAGGGTGCCGTGAAGGTCTTTGGCGGGCTGGACATTGTGTGTTCCAATGCGGGGGTCGTCTCGTTTGGCCACCTGAGCGAAGTCACCGAGGAGGAGTTCGACCGCGTCTTCAATGTCAACACCCGCGGCCAGTTCTTCGTGGCGCGCGAGGCCTACAAGCACCTCAACTCCCCCGGTCGCATCATCCTCATGAGCTCTAACACGGCAGACTCCTTCACTGTGCCCCGACACTCGCTCTACTCGGCCTCCAAGGGCGCTATCAACACCTTTGTGCGTTGTCTCGCCAAAGACTGTGGCGATAAGAAGATCACAGTCAACGCTGTTGCCCCGGGCGGTACCGTCACGGATATGTTCCATGAGACGGCCAAGGACTATCTGCCAAATGCGGATCATTTGAGCAAGGAGCAGATCCTCGAGGTAGGTCAACCTCAGAGTATATCTCTAGTATTAAACTAACATGTCTGGGGCAGATTGTGGCGAATGTCTCGCCGCTGAAGCGTTGCGGCTACCCGATTGACATCGCCAAGGTGGTCTGCTTTCTGGCCTCGAGTGAGAGCGAGTGGATCAATGGCAAGGTTTTGGGTCTGGATGGAGGGGCTGCTTAGATTGTTGTACCAATGTCGGACGCTCTACTACACAATCGATACCTATGTTCACGCTTCTCAATGCAATTCGTAGATGTAGACCAAACCAAGCACTATATTATGCGGCCGACGCTCAAGGTAGCCGGCAAATAAGTTGCGAAGCTGGTTACGCCGACATTTAGAGAAATTCGTCTCTAGTATTCGCTTACTACACAACAACTGGGCGAGAGTGGAAAGTAGCGGTCAATTAACAATTTCCTCTAAGCCAGGTGCCAACAAAAGCTTCCGCCTCATGCACTCGCCGTCACACCCGTCAAGGCGAACCACCTCTTCTGCCCCTTGCGCACACAGAACCCGACCTTGCCATCCTCTGCCAGCTTCCTTAGAACCTCATCCATAAACGGCGCAATCACCGTCTTCCGAACCTGCTCATCCAGCTGCTCGCCATGGATCGCCTCAATCAGCTCCCCAACTGAAGCGCTCCCCAACTGGCCCGATTTCCCCTTGTTGCGATGGATCCGAGTCAGCGCCGCTAGACACTGCTTCTCCCGCCTTGTTTTCTGCGCCAGCTCCCCCGCAATCTTTGCTGGTAGGTTCGGAATAACCGCCCCATGCGCCGGATACCCAACTACACACCCGTACTCCTGCATCTTCCGCAGTGTCTCCATATACAGCCCAAGATTCTCCACCGCGCTCGTCCCATGACCGAGCACATTATCCCCGGTGAACATGGCGTTCTCCTCCTCAAGGATAAAACACATGTGGTCGTGCGAGTGGCCCGGGGCATGCACCGCGCGCACCGTCGCGCCTTCCACGCGGAACACCTGCCCGTCCGTGATGGGCTGCTGCCCGGGCTCCGGGCTGTTCTTGTAGATTTCACTGGCTAGGTGCGGGTACAGTCGGACCAGATCGGGAACGCCCTTGGTGTGGTCTCCGTGCCAGTGGGTCAGCAAGACGTGTGACAGCGCGATTGCGCGGTCTGTCAGAGTGCTCTCGATCAGGTCCGCCCACGCGCGGTACCCCTGCGCGGTGTCCAGGATGATGCGCTGCGCGCCCGTACCAATGATGTACGTGTTGGTTCCTTGCAGTGTGAACTATAACGGACAGCATTAGTGGCGTGGCACTAAGACTAGGAGGGCTGGGATGACTGAGGTCGGGAGAGGATAGGCAAACCTTTCCAGCATTCTGGCCAAGGACGCGGAGTACTCGCGGGCTCAGCTGCTCTACATCGAGGAGCTTGGGGAGGCGCGACTGCTGCGTCGCGAGGTAGTCGTCGAATGCGAACGCATTCAAGCTCTTGTTGATCTGCTGGTAGCCACCTTCGCCCATCGTGCTAGTGGGGATTCGTTTACCGGGGGTTCAGTGGGATGGGAGTTGTACGATCGTCATAGGCAAGAACAACTGAAGCCTTCCCCTCTAAAAAGCACCCTGGTTTGGTCGGGGACGAGGGCGAGAGGAATTGTACCGTGGTGGCTGATTGCCCGGTGTCCGATAGTGACAACATCCGGGGCTCGGGGAGTTACACTCGCCACCTGAGCTGGTACGGCACTCTGATGTTGGCATCTAGAGAGTCGGCCCGTTTATTCAGTTTGGCTGAAATGTTAGGTTGGTAGTAACATGTCTGGAGATATCACGAATGTGGAGGATTCGGCTTAAATGGAAACTCATGTTGCTAGCCATCTGGCTGCCGGGTAATATGTACGATGGCGTTCTTGATTGTCGATGAGATGGTTCATTGGAGACTTCTTTGTCAAGGTGCAACGAGCCGTGTGCATTTTGCTACCTAGTCCATTCTTCCATAGTGCAAACTGGCTCAACCCTGTCAACGTCTTCAATTCTCTCAGTCCCGTACAAATCTCGGAAACCACAACCATTAGACCCCAATTAATGCGGCCCCTTCTCCCCAAAATGCTCCTTCCCCTCCGCAAACACCTGATCGTAATCATATTCAGTCCACCGGATCTGCGGACACACACCCGCAAACTTCCACTCGCCGTCCACGCGCCGGTACCACATGGTGGCGATCCCGTGCGCGTGGCCCTTGACCGCCACTGTCGTCAGGCTGGCATCAGTGTAGCGCTGGTGCGGTACGCGTAGCTGGTGAGTGCCCTCGATCGCGTCCTCGCCGGTCTTGCGCCAGGTGCTGAGGCCGACAAAGTGCTGAGTTTTGAGCAGTGGGTTGCCAAGGAAGCGCGGGTCTGCGGCCATGCGCAGGAACTCATCGCTGGGCATGGCTTCCCAGATTTTGTTGAGGAAGGAGCGGTAGTCGATCTACTCTCTTTAGTTTGTATGGGGAGTATGCGGGTGTTGGGGGTTGGAATGGGACAGGACATACTCTAAGGGTGGGCGCGATGCATTTTTTGAGACGGTCCCAGTCCTATGATTTTGATGGTTCAGTAGGGTTCTCGACTCTCGAGAAAAAAGGAACAACTTGCAACTGACTTTGGTGTCGTAGCTATCCGCCCACTCGAATAGGGCCCGTTGACACCCCGTGACCTCTGCGTGGAATCAAGTTCAGCAATGCCGTACGAAAAGGGGGTTGCAGCGACCTAACCTTCAAAGCTGGGCTCCTTCGACATGATGGTCAAGGTCAGTTGTAATGCGATGATAATTGCTCCCCTAGCTTTCCGTCAAGGGAGTATAATCTGTCTGTAAGTACTCCTGGTAGCCCACCCTCCGAGACCGCGATCGGTCCATTCCTCGTCCCCAGAATCATCAGCAACGAAACACGCACTCGGACTGCATCGACCTCGAACAACGAACCGTCATAAACGGACAGCGAAGTCAATATCCCGATACTCTCTCTGCCCTTCGGTCCAATCCACGCTTACCCAATCTGGACGTACGAGCAAGCGGCGGCTCTGACGGCCTGCGGAATGGCGGCCGCAACACTGACTAGCGCCGTTCCTCAGTAATCATTAGTTAGCCAGGTGCGAACTCTCCAAAGAGGATCTCTATCCCTGTCTTCAATTAATCTGTCTGCCTGTCTACTTATTAAATCGAAGATACTAACTGGTTAATGCAGCTCGTATTAATAATCTACACTGCAGAGTTACATTTCGGATACGGAGTTACTTGTCGATGTGTTGGAGTTCGTATCCACCACGCCCCTCCCACCTGCTCTGTGCGTAGGGTTGGATCTAGTGCGCTCCAACGGGATCGACCCACATGGAGCCATGACGCCCACCGCTCTAGGAACAATAGCTTGGTTGGGTGGCGGCTGTGTTTGAGTTGTGTTTGCGGGCTTGAGGGGTCTTAAGGGAATAATGTGGTGGGCGGAGCGTGAAGTGGCCCAATCTGCAGATCTATATCCACCCAATCACTAAATATGTTCACTATATCTGATATGATACACACTAGGTGCGCAGGAATAGGGCCTCGGGCCTCTCAGGACTAGGGTATATTTTTTAGAGAATAATATCCATCTATATATGAGATAAAAAATATATAGATCTACTAAGAAATATTGGAGTTATGGTAGATTTACATTTTAGGTGGTGGGTGATAAGAATAGTAGTGGTAACATATATTATATATATCTCGATGTCTACACCATTGTCCATCCTAAGCTTAGGGAGCACCCTAGCCCCATAGAAAAGGCTATTTTAGCTTATATAATAGGTGATATACAATATTTACATAGTTACTTATCATCTTTAAAGAAAATACATAGATATCCTGGCGCTATGCTATTACTAGAAGAATACGTGGTAATTAGAATACTAAACGAGCTAGTCGCGCGTGGATATCCGTAATCCACATGGGTTGGATCGAACACGGTGTGGATCAAGTTGATAAACCCATATCCAATCCATGACTAGTCTGGTCTAGATGTAAAAATAAATTCTTGCCGCAAAGTGAACGAGCATCTGGAGTAGTAGAACAAAATGATCAAGGTTATGAGAGCGAACGCACAGACTAAACCATAGACAATCTAGATCTATCAATAAGAACACTGCTAGAAATACAACCAATAACACCATTCGTGAAAGAAACTACACTGGCAAACATAGGCCACCTGCAGCCGTAACAATCATAGCAATCATTTCTAAGGAGACTACCGCAGCAGATCCAGAATCTCCGCCGATAGATCACGAAGACGTTTGCGCAGGTTCGCCTCCATTTGATCCAACATAGCCGCCGKGAAGGGAAACAAGCTCTCCATTGAGGTGGTCTGGTGCGACGGGGGAGTCAGGGGGGCACCGCATCCGCCCCCACCAACCGTCTGGGTGCGTTGCGATAAGAGGTTGACCAGCCGCTGTACTCGGTGCAGTTGGCTCAGAACCTGTTGCCCGACGAGACGGATGTGGTCCTCGCTGTCGAGTCCGTACTCGTCGAGCTGGGATCCGAGCTCGCCACGCAGCGGGCTCAGGCTTGGCGGGTCTGCACCGATGGAGTGCTCCGCCTCGAGGTTGGGTGTTTGTCGCACAACTGCTGCGTACGAGGACAGGGTCTTGAGCATAATGATGGAGAGGACGGCCAATAGGTAGCCGTCGGCGCAGTCGCATTGGAGCATCTCGTTGATTGCTTGGACGGTCTGCTCGTTAGCGCTGAGGATGGATTTGACCGTGTCGGTGGAGGGATTGATTTGAACGGGGAAGCCTGAGCAACCTCTTGTGGCTGGGGACGGAAAATTGTTGAGTAAAGTGATGGTCCGAACAAAGCTGCAGCTGCGGTTGGGGAGCTGGCCCGGTGATGCGGTCGCTTCCCCGATAGACGGAGCATGGTTAGAGGAAAGAAGAGCAGCCATGTTGTCAAAGTTGGCCAAGTTAGGCTGTTGATGCAAAGAGTCGAATTCGTTGTCACCGCCGGGCAGATGTATCATAGGTAGCTTCTGGGAGGAGTCTGTGAAGTCATCGATGTGAAAGTTCAGGATGTCCTCCACTGTTCCCTGGGTCAAGAAGCTGGGATCGGTCGACGCAAAGCTGGCGGAAAAGAGATCTGAATAGCTTTCAGTCGAAGGGGTGTCAGCAGACGGCTGCGTGACTTCAGGCTCAGTATGAGTGGCCGGTAGCCATGACTGCATGACCGGCGGAGAGGGCGAGATAGGGTTGCGCACTCGAGTTCCTGGCTTGCGCCCGGCACGCTTGGTCACAAAATATTCGCATGGTTTTCCCTGCTTTGCACAACGAGCACAGATGGGCTTTTCTTTGCTGCATTTGATCTTCGATGCTGCACAACGGTTGCAGCTGTCCCGCAGTTTGCGACGGGCAGGACTCCCGGCGAAGGGGATGGGAGATTGTAAGCTGGAGGAAGTGGTCGTTGTAGTATCCATTGAGAACAGCGTTTTGACACAGAAACAAATTCAGTCCACTGAAGGTGGGCTGACCTGTCAATATTATGGCGTAGGGGGCTCCGCTATATTGCGCCGAGAGAAGAAATACGACGATGCTGGAGTAAGCGACTTCGTTTGAGACTAGTCCTTAGCCACCCTCCGCGACATGGCAAGGCAGACATCTGCCACTGTCAGGGGTCGGAAACATCCAAACTGGAAACATTCAAACTTCACCATCGGGGCGGCTGCAGCTAAGAAATTAGCCTCCCGGAAGCCCCGCTCTGCACAATCTCCGTCTCATCTCCATCCACCCCCATCATGCTGCACATTTGCACCGTCATTGGACGCATTAGAAGCCTTATCAAAGTACTGAATGCCAGAGCCAGTCGGGAAGGCAACTCCTCGAGCCTGACTCAGCACGATTAATTAGAGTGCAGAGGGAATTTCCGGCCCTCCTGGGCGTTATTACAGGAAGACGTCGATATATTTGCAATGACCGTTCTGGAACAACAACCCGTACTGTGGTATAAACTCGAAAGCTCCGTCGTTCACTCTCGAGTGGAAGGTCAAGTCTCTGGAAGGAAAAGGGACTGCGGAAGGGCCCTCAATTGGCTGGCTGACAGGAGCTTCCTAACTAAGATTAGTGAAACAAAGTTGCCCATCTGGATTAAATTTCCATATGAATTACGAGCTCCCTAGGTACAGCGAGTCTCAGTATATTCTGCATGATCCCCACACAACACTTCGTATATCGATGCTCAATTGATGTTCGATCTGGACTATGATAGGTCTATAGAGTGAAAGCGGAGTAGAAATAATCTATGTTTTACTTGGTCTACGTTACATCTGAGTACCTCGTATTACTTCTGCGTAGATTTAATATAATGAGGACATCAATATCACGAGATGCTCCGCTTGTCTCACTTATCTCGTTTTAGGGAGGCTTTACTGGTAATACGGCTGGTCGTGCTATTCCCTTGCTTATAATCTATTCTAAACTTGTAATAAGCATAATGCTCGTCAAGCCTCTAAGGACTTAGTAGCCCATATCTTAATGATTCTTTTTAAGTCAAGGATAAGAGGAACAAGTCTTAGTGTTTAAACGCCTTAATCCATCCAGTTGACCGAGGTACATCGCACTTGCCTATTAGGGATCTGACATGGCCGAGGGGAATATGTCCTTTAGTCTCACACTGTTCACAGCGAATTGCAAAATATGCGGCTCCAGATATCACTATCACTGACGAGTCACAATGTGTTTGATGCGCGCCATTTCCTCAGCCGGTTATCTCGGCTTAGCCCACAGCCACTCGGGTCTGGCGTTCAAGCACCCTCAATCCTCTAGCGCAGCGATCAGGGGAGCTAGAATTCAATGGATTCTAACGTCAGATTCTTACGCCATGACGAATACACCAGCAATCACCCTGAAGAAACTAAGCGGACGATTTGCCTCTTTCACATGTGGTGTGGTTGCAACAGATACGCTTCTAAAAGTAAGCCGGACTTTTTGTTGAAGATTCCTTTCTCCTCATTCGAGACTAGTCAACCAACCCCCACGCTCCTCTTTACGACCTGTCGGTACTACCTGAGCTAGATCCTTTGCATCCAGACTATGCGGTCTATTTCTGGATGCTGTCAGATAATCGAGGTTGACACTCATGTTGCAGGCAGCATCGCTTGGCTCCTGCACGGAATTACCCCCATCCGGCATGCGTGCTTATCAATCCACTTGCCTCGGTACTAACCATTGGTGAGGGAACTATACAGCACTCCACTCCATCCTAAGCGAATGAACGGGCGCACGGAAGAAATGAGCAAGGGTTAATTGCATAATGGACATGATGACTAGCAGCTAGCGCTCGGGATAAGCCTGATACTTGATTTCCAATGCAACAGCCCCGTGTCGTCCCCCAGACCGTACTTTATTCACCAACACCAGGCGGCCCTCGCCGTCGCCCATCCCGTTCAACAAATTGACCACCTCCAACATCTCGTGCTCGCGCTCATTGGCCAGCTGCATCAGCGACAAATCTCGCAGCCTCGACCCGAGGTCGGGATCTGCGTGCGCCGTCCCCCGCTCGGGCAGCGCGGGCGCAGTCAGCACCACCGTCGCTTCTGGACGTTTCTGCAGCGCCGTGAGATGCGCCCGCAGCTCGCTGTCAATCTCCGCCATCAAAGACGTCCAAGTCGCTCCTGGTTCGGGAAGCGGGAAGTTGATGATGTAGACGGCCGCGTCCTCGACCGGCTGCGGGGTGCCTGGCAGGCGTTGCTGGAGCTGGATGCGCGGGTGTTGTAACTTCGCCGTTGGGGCTGGCGAGGCCGCCGGGCTCAGTTGCGCGATGAGACGAAGCGACGGGTATTTGTTGGCCAGGGCGATCACGCGTTCGGTCGATCGGGCTCCTACCTGGGAACAGTTTTATGTGAGAGTTTTGCCAAAGTGAGGGGGAGAAGTCACAGATCAGGCAACCTCTGAGGCCCAGGCCTTACCTCGACCACGGATGCGCTGCTCGTTCGGAGCGGCTCCAAGCACGTAAGGATATCCGTAGCGGTGTCACAATGGTGGCCGAGTCCGTGGCGGAGATACGCCTGCCATTGCCGCTGCAGGCGCGGCAATTGGGTTTTGTCTGCTTTGGTAAAGAAGCCCTTGTGAAAAATCACATCTCGTGGCGCCTCGTGCGGCGATTCTCGCCCTTGTTTAGTGAGGATGGCCATCTCCAACGCGGCGGGCGCCACAGTGCCGGCGAGGAACATGGCAGCATCTAGATAAGACGGTTTGGCTACAAACGCGGCCGAAAGCGGACTGTGGGCGATGTGTCCGGGCGTTGGCTCTTGTAGGAACCCTCCTAAGCTGGCCATGCGGATGATGCGCGCGAGTTTCGTCTCTGGGACACCGATCAAGTCGGATACATCTTTCATCAAGGCACTTCCGTCTAAGGGGATGCATGCCGGCACCTGAAATTCTCCCAGCCACTGAATGCAAGCTAAGAGCTGGGTCTGGCGGGGTATAGAGTCAGTTGAAGGATTTGAGAGGGATAAGGTCCCAATGACTACCTGGAGTGCTAGTTGCTGTAGAAAGTCTCCTGGGCTAAATAGCATCAGTTGTAGTTTGTTAAGATTTGCCAACGCCGACTCCCGTGCACGGTAGGCTTCATGCGATGGATCTGCGTAAATCACCCGCGCTGGGCCGTCCCCCGGACATGCAAGTGGAAGCTGAACGTTGCCCAATTGAGTCGCAAGGCTCCTAAGTGCGCTGCACAGCTCGCGCGTACAGGTCTCTAGTTGCGCCGGGTCAATCATGGAGGCGGTAATGGATCATTGAGCAACATATGTGGTCAGTTTATAGATTTTGGTCAACTGGATATGGGACCCAGGTTGAAATATCTCAGTTCGGATTAAGCCTTGTTGGACCACTGAAAAATTTATTGGACGAATTCTTTCTTGTGCTTATTTTCGTATCATAGTGAGTGATCATTTAGAACGCATTCTGGCTCATATTGTCAAGGGAGTACTCTTCTCTGTCTCCACAGCCTTTGAAAGTTTCAGATTGGTGCGACCTTAACCGGCAAAAATGATGCATGATACCAGGGCCCTAACTCCAGGGTTGTATTTGCGTAGGGGATGCGTCACTGACTCGTGCCAGACACTAACATGCTGACGGAGCGCCGCAAGAGTAGCTGACGTGTTTTGTACATCAACCGTGACCCAGCCCATCGAGAAGCAGCCCTGCGTATTGGAGTAACTGCCCTTCATGCATGCGTCCGCAATCCCGGCATTGGAGTCGCTCATTCCACGTTCAGATCGCGCAGCGGCGCAATTCCCGTCGGCCTCCGACCTGCATCTTATGCAGAAAAGCGCGGAAAGAACTAGACGGCCACCCGTAACGGTCGTTTCGCAGCGCCCATGCAGCCAGGCCCGGCTGTTTATGGCAAAACTACCAGACACTAAACAAGCTCATATCCCCGATTATCTCTCGCTCATCTCCGAAACCTGCGATCCACAGTGAAGATGTTGTCAATGCGAGTTTGAACACGAATCGACGTAGATGAAGCCCATCCCTCGGCTCAAGCCGTTCTGCTGTCTAAGTACTCACGTTATTGGGGACTAGTAGGATATCGCATTGCAGATCGTAATTGACCGAGTAGAGTCAGCAATTTGCAATATTTCTGTAGCGACCGAAAGGATTGTTCGTAGCGGACCATCATTTGTAAGTGTATGATTCCGGGGGCGGCGCACCGGGAGGAATCTTAACAAAGCTTTACATGCTTACTACAAATGCCCGATGGCTGTTAAATCGGCAGTCGGGAAGCTATACGTGCTCCTCGAAGCAAAAACAGGCTGTCATCACCGAGCTTTAGTACCGCTGTCTCTGTATATATAATCCATGTGCGTGTGTACATGTATATCAGTGTCTCCCCAATGGGCTCTAATAACACGTACCAACCATGGGAGAATCGATCATGAATATTCATAACAATGCGTCAAGGAAGATGAAGCTCATTTACTTCAGCAATGAGTTTCCTCAGGACGACCTGCAGACCGTCTTTCGTAAGCTCCATACTCACAGCAAGGACCGGCGACACCCGACGCTCGCTCGCTTTCTCGAGGAAGCCACGCTGGCCATTCGCGAGGAAGTGCGACGATTGCCGACCACATTGCGAGCGTTAATCCCTCCGTTTGAGAGTATCTTGAACTTTGCGGAATTTACGGACCTTCGCAAGGGTCAGCTCTGCGGGTCAATTGACGGTATCCTCCTCTGTGTTCTGGAGTTGGGGACTCTTATTGGGTAAGCCAACGGTGCTGAGGACACACCCTGAGACAAGAAAAGGAACTGACAATGGGGTGTCAGCTACTATGAGAACCATGAAGATGCCTTCAACAGTGATCCTGCAAGCATCGCGTTGGCCGGGCTGGGAATTGGCCTCCTGGCAACAGCGGCAGTCTCGATAGCAATCACCGTGGCAGATCTTGCCATCACAGGCGCCCAAGTCGTCCGACAGGCCTTCCGACTGGGGGTGTTGGTCGATGAGGTATCGCAAAATCTTGAGCCTCGTGATACTACCGAGGGCAGCTCGCCAGATACCTGGGCCCATGTTATGCCTAATGTGTCAGTCGATGAGGTTCAGCACGAGCTGGACGCCATTCAAGCAAAGGAGGTGAGTTTATCCAGACCCTCTTCCTATTTTTCTCAGATAGGAGTAATGGCTAATCATGTATAGAAAACCCCGGAGCCAAGTAAGATCTTTATCAGCGCCCGTAGTACCACATCAGTCACAATCAGTGGTCCTCCCTCGCGTCTACAGGCCATGTTCCGCACAGCCAAGTTCTTCCATGAACATAAATGTATCGCTCTACCTGTGTACGGAGGATTGTGTCATGCAGAGCACATCTACACCCAGGATAATGTGCGCAGTGTGGTCCGAACGCGCTCGATGGAGTTGGTCAACGCTAAATTCGTTCCCCGACTGCCTGTCTATTCCACCAGCACGGGCCGTCCATTCCCTGTCAGCAGTGCGACGGACCTGTTTGAAAGTATCATCGCGGAGATCCTAACCAAGGCAATTGAATGGGATCGAGTCACCCAGGGCGTCGCTCAACTGGCTCAGGACTTGAATGCGACAGAGTGCCAGCTTGTGGTATTCCGCATCTCTCTTCCGATTCGGGACCTGGCTGCGGCCCTGAAAAATGGCTCCGACGTGGAAACGTCCACCAAAGAGATCATGCCATGGGTGCATCAAGAGGAGGAAAGCGACGAAGGAGGACCGCGAGGACCACTGCAGTCCAAGATCGCGATCGTGGGCATGTCCTGCAGGATGCCTGGCGGGGCGACGGACACTGAGAAGTTCTGGGACCTCTTGGAGCAGGGACTGGATGTCCACCGGAGGATTCCTGCGGACCGGTTCGATGTCGATTCCCACTACGACCCGACTGGTAAGAGCGTGAACACGAGTCATACCCCTTACGGATGCTTCATAGACGAACCAGGTCTCTTCGATGCGCCTTTCTTCAACATGTCGCCCCGAGAAGCCGAGCAAACAGACCCCATGCAGCGCCTGGCTCTCGTCACGGCATATGAGGCCCTGGAAAGAGCCGGATACGTCGCTAATCGAACGGCCGCAACGGACCTACACCGAATAGGCACTTTCTATGGCCAGGCGAGTGACGACTACCGTGAAGTGAATACAGCTCAGGAGATCAGTACCTACTTCATTCCCGGCGGGTGCCGTGCCTTTGGCCCCGGTCGTATCAACTATTTCTTCAAGTTCTCCGGCCCAAGTTACAGCATTGACACCGCTTGCTCGTCCAGTCTTGCGACTATTCAGACAGCTTGCACTGCACTGTGGAATGGCGACGTGGATACCGCGGTGGCCGGTGGTATGAATGTGCTGACCAACTCGGATGCTTTTGCAGGTCTCAGCCATGGCCACTTCCTCTCCAAGACTCCAAACGCATGCAAGACCTGGGACAGCGAGGCTGACGGGTACTGCCGTGCGGATGCGGTAGCATCTATTGTTATGAAGAGATTGGAAGACGCCGAAGCAGATAATGACAACATTCTTGGCGTCATTGTGGGAGCAGGAACGAACCATTCTGCAGAGGCTGTCTCCATTACCCATCCCCATGCGGGTCACCAAGCCTACCTGGGGAAGCTGGTGGCCAACCGGGCTGGAGTTGACCCGCTTGACGTTGGATATGTGGAGATGCACGGCACTGGCACCCAGGCAGGCGATGCAGAGGAGATCCAATCAGTAACTAATGTGTATGCTCCAACGACGAGGCGCCGCAGCACCAAGAATCCTCTATACATTGGAGCTGTGAAGGCAAATGTTGGACATAGTGAGGCAGCAGCGGGTGTTACAGCCCTACTGAAGGTCCTCCTGATGCTGCAGAAGAACGCAATCCCGCCACACGTTGGGATCAAAAACTCTCTGAATCCCATCTTTCCAGACGACCTTGACAAGCGGCAGGTGCACATCCCATACCAGAAGACAGAATGGCCTCGGCTACCAGGGAAGACGCGCATGGCTGCCGTTAACAATTTCAGTGCGGCAGGAGGCAACACTACCATCCTGCTCGAAGATGGACCGCTGCGAGAGGTCACTGAATCCGACCCTCGACGAACCCATGTGGTAGCCGTCTCAGCCAAGAGCAAGATATCGCTGAAGGGAAACCTCACACGGTTGATAGACTACCTCGAACGCAACCCAGAGGTCTCGCTGGCCAACCTGTCATACTCTACGACTGCACGTCGCTACCACCACAACCACCGCGTTGCCATAGCCGCATCTAGTGTACCCCAGGTGCTGAAACAGCTTCGATCAGCACTGGACACCATGGACACTCACAAACCAATCCCCAACACAGGAGCCCCGTCGGTGGCCTTTTCCTTCACGGGGCAGGGCGCCTCGTATAAGTCATCCAATTACGAACTGTTCCACCAGGCGCCCTCTTTCCGGGCCCACGTCCTGCATCTAGACGCGATCGCCCAGGGTCAGGGCTTTCCATCCTTTATCCCAGTCATTGACGGCACCCACGACAAGGACTACCAACACTCGCCTGTCATGACCCAGCTAGCTCTGGCGTGCACAGAAATCGCCGTCGCAAAGTACTGGGCCTCGTTGGGGGTGAAACCCGACGTAGTTATCGGACACAGCCTGGGCGAGTACGCCGCCCTGCACGTAGCAGGGGTGCTCTCCGCCAGTGACGCTATCTTCCTTGTGGGCCAACGGGCTGCCCTCCTCCAACAAAAGTGCAAGGCAGGCAGTCACAAGATGGTTGCAGTACGAGCCTCCGTAATCCAGATTCAAGAAAGCGCACAGGACCGACCCTATGAGCTAGCGTGTATCAATGGTCCGAAGGAGACAGTGCTGAGTGGCCCAAAAGACGAGATGGACACCATCATCCCGGTGCTGGAAGCTGACGGATACAAATGCTTCAGTCTGGATGTCCCCTTCGCCTTCCATTCCAACCAGACGGACCCAATCCTCGACGACTTTGAGACTCTTGCCACGAGCGGTGTCGTGTTCCAGCCCCCCCAGATCCCTGTGATCTCGCCGCTGCTGTCCAAGGTGGTTTTCGACGAAAAGAGCGTCAATGGAAACTACCTCCGTCGTGCCACTCGCGAGGCAGTCAACTTTCTCTCTGCGCTCGAGGCTGCGCGCAGCATTGGCATCGTGAGTGATGAGACTGTTTGGATAGAGGTGGGCCCTCATCCAGTGGGAGTCGGTTTCGTCAAATCCACCTTCTCATCAGTCAATGTGACCGTGCCGTCTCTTCGTCGAGGCGAGGATAATTGGACGACCCTGGCGCAGAGTTTGGCCGCGCTCCACTCTGTGGGTATCAAAATCGAATGGGGCGAGTTTCACAGCCCATTTGAGAAGTCGTTGCGTCTGCTCGACTTGCCGACTTATGCGTGGAACGACAAGCGGTACTGGATACAGTACAAAGGTGACTGGGCGCTGACCAAGGGTAACACGTTTTACGACGAGGAGAAGGGCCTCAATAAGGCTCACGCCGCGTTGCCTGAGCCCAAGTCCAGTCTGAGCACTTCGACTGTCCAGCAGATTATCGACCAACACTTTGACGGTGTAGCGGGGACTGTGACCATGCAATCCAATCTGATGCAGCCGGACTTCCGCGCGGCAGCTTGGGGTCATAAGATGAATGGATGTGGTGTGGTTACATCGGTAAGACGCTGCCCGCCTCTAATGCCATGAGTGTGATACTGACTGAATGGGGCAAAGTCTATCCACGCAGATATCTCCTACACACTGGGTGAGTATCTCTACAAAAGGCTCAAACCGAACACCCAACAGGTGCATATGAACATTGCCAACCTGGAGGTCCTGAACGGGCTTGTCGCGAACAACAACCCGGAGACACCCCAGCTCATCCGCGTCTCTGTCAGCACCTCCAACATCGATGCCAACGCCGCCGATCTGACCTGGTACAACGTGCTGGCGGATGGAGGCGTCGATGAACCATTTGCGAGTGCGACTCTCATCTATGGCAACCCAGACTCCTGGCTTGACTCTTGGATCCCGATCACCCACCTCGTGCAAGGCCGCATCCAGGATCTCCAACGCCTGGCAGAGTCTGGCATCGCCAACCGCTTCACGCGCAACATGGCCTACCGCCTCTTCGCCACCAACCTCGTCGACTACGCGCCCGAATACCGTGGGATGCAGTCAGTGGTGTTACACGGGCTCGAAGCCTTCGCCGACGTCACCCTGTCTACCGAAAAGGGCGGCAGATACACCGTGCCCCCCTACTTCATCGACAGCGTGGCCCACCTGGCCGGCTTTGTTATGAACGTCTCCGATGCGATGGACGTGAAGAACAACTTCTGCGTGACCCCCGGGTGGCGCTCGATGCGGTTCGCTAAGCCCCTCATCGCCGGCGCGCGCTACCGCTCCTACGTGAAGATGATTCCAACGACCGAGGATCCCAGCGTGTACTTGGGCGATGTGTATGTCCTGCAGGACGAGGTAGTGATCGGCATGGTCGGCGGGATCCAGTTCCGCCGATACCCGCGCATTCTGCTCAGTCGCTTCTTCTCTGCAGCGGATGATGTGAAGGCGCCGCCCGTCGCCGCTTCGACTTCTTCCAAGAATCGTGTTGCGAAGGCAGCCCCGGCAGTGGGCCCCACGAAGCCCGTGACAAATGGAGTGAAGCCAGCGGCTGTCAATGGCGTTAAGCCTGCTGCTAATGCTGCTGCTGCAGCAGCACCTGTGAGTGAGCCTGCCCCCGCTGTGAACCACGTCAAGCCCGCCACAGCTGCGGACCCTGCGCCGAACGTCGACTCGGATACCACCACCGCCAAAGCAATTCGGATTATCGCGGCGGAATCCGGCCTCGACCTTGCTGACTTGACGGACGACGCCAGCTTCGCGGACTTGGGAGTGGACTCGCTGATGAGCTTGGTCATAGCGGAGAAGTTCCGCACGGATCTGGGAGTTGTCGTGGGCGGCAGTCTGTTCTTGGAGTATCCGACCATTGGGGATTTGCGCACGTGGTTGGAAGAGTATTATAGCTAGATTGTGTTTGGGATGGGAGAAGAGTTGCTGCGTGTAATGCTTTTCGATCTCAGTGAATGCAGTCCTGGAGTTAGACGATGCAACTCCTCGGTGGTGAGTAGATAATAGAATTACTTGTTCATGTTCTGTTCTTATCTAGCTAAATTAATAATTATAGTCTAAATTATACTCTTACATCTTACTACCACCCCTACCAGTCTACCAGTGGGCCAGGTGGCATGTCATACGTGAGATTGTGCCGGGTTACAGTTCAGCAAGGTTTCAAATTACCCTGGATATCCTGAGACCTTGTTAAACTACTAGAGACAGCTTCCACCTGCGCTAGCCACAGATTTCTGCGCTAATATGGCAATCTATCAAGCTATCATTGAAGTCTATCTGCAGGGCGATGTGGATCTTGCTATATATCATCAATGCGTTTAATTTTAGTAAACCACTAGTCAAGGTAGGGGTTTTCCAGGTTTGGAGCATCTGATCACTCCTATAAACAGTTAGTGCTCTGTTAGATCTATCACATCATTTCGTATAAAGAGGAAAACGCAAGCAAAACAAATAAGGTAATGGTGGTATATTTTCAAAAGCAGGGAGAGTCATCAATCATAGTAATATATAAAAAGTAGAGGAAACTATTAGATATTTTTAACATGCAATGGGGTCTCTGGGAATATTTCAAGCGTAGTCTTTTATCTTCTAAACCCGTGCAACATAAGAGGTATTTAGTTTATAATTTGGCGGCGTCTCTATTCTTTTAGCAAAAAGTCAACACTGCAAGTCATCATCAAATTGGAAGCACAACCGCGAAGACCGTCAAAGTTGGAAGCAAGGGGAACAGGGTCACTTCCTTCTAGATAAGGCATGTAAAGCGTTGGCCTATTTGATCATATGATCTGTCAACAAGCCAGCAACCTCCAACGATTAACTCATCTTTTCCCTCACTCTTATTAAATATTTGTGTCTTTGTGATACAGCTGTGGTCTAGTGCTGGGTCATGTTAAAGCTTGTCCCTATCTATTTAAACTGACCCCGGACTCTCCAGCTACAACCTCTCAGTTATTTCAACTCAGAACTGCCTCGTATTTGTACATTCATTTGTTGTCATTGCTTTTACAAGTCATAGCCCTGAGCTCATATACAATGAAACCTCTGCTTATCATTCTCGTTCTCGCCGGCAGTCTAGTTGCTGCGCAGAATGACCAAATTCCCGACTGTGCGGTATGTGCGTCCTCGGCACCACCAACACCATAGTGTGCCGTTCCCTAGTTGATTCAATTGCATATTGACCGTTATTGTTTGTATAGAAGGACTGTGTTTCTAAGTCCACCTCCGGACAAAATGTCGCTGGCTGTAAGGATAGTGACATCGCCTGCATTTGCAGAAAAAAGGATTTTCTTGAAAACATGGCCTGCTGCCTTACCGGCGTTTGCAGCGTTGGAGATATGGAAAAAACTATCAAGTTTTCAGCGCAGCTTTGCAATGCCTCTGGCGTCCAGGTCCCTGATAAAGTCACGTGCCCAGGTACCTATTGAAGTCACGTGTAAGCGTCAGCATGGAACAGGTGGTTAGGTGTCAGGTGAAACCTAGACGGGGAAGGCAATCCTATGAGGCTCTAGGTGTGTTAGGTGGAATGTATGTCACATACTCTACAGTCAAAGACATGAGCTTGGGTTGGGCATGTTTCAATTGCAGAGGCTTGCCACTAAAATAGGACTGTGTTGCTCCCGACCTACAGGCTACTCCTTCCAGTAGAACGTACTTGACAGCTCTATAACCATGCAGGTATGGTCTGTTTAGTTGAGTAGATCAGCATAATTGAAGGGATTTATTACTTATTGTACCGTGCAACAACGTTGACACTTTGTGGCGGAGCGACCCGGTTCTCCAGGGCGTCTGCACTGATATAGGATGACGCACCCCACTGTGAATAGTTACTTACCGCCAAACCCCGCACACTACATGAGCCCTGAGCCCTACTTGACAGGGGTCGCTTTGTGAGACTCGGACTCGGCCTAAGCCAGAGCTAAACTAAACTAGAATCGATTGATATAAAGCCACGCGGCTGGCCTGTAGCTGACTCTAATACTCTTTCCTTCCTTATTCTATGAAGATCTCAACTATGCCCTCCCAAACCGGCCGTCTTGCGTCCATTCTCCGTCCATGGGGGCTGATCTGGTTATCTATTTGCCGTAGGTCTTTGTCGTCCCCGCCATCAACTTTCATACCTCTATTAATCATCCCTTCCCTACAGTGCACTGGGAAGTTTTGGTACAAGCAGTTCGTCGAGACGGTCTCGCAGCACTTGGCCGCCCACAACAAATTCGAGATGCCGCTTCAGCAAGGTTGCTCAGTAAAACGTGTAACATCACCCACTCGCAATATCTTCCGTCACTCAACTCGTGTACAGAGTAGACTGCTGACCATTATGCGCAGCTGGTGGTTTTATCGCTTATGAAGACACAACCATTGTTCCCTCGCTTGTGCAAGCCGCTGGCGGTATTGTTCTCGAACTGGGCCCAGGGCCAGGCAATCAGATTCATCGTTATGATACCTCCCTTGTCAAACGTGTGTATGGCGTTGAGCCTAATCCCTACTTTAAAGATGACATAGAGGCCAAGCTGGACAAGCATGGCCTGCGGGATAGGTATAAGCTTATAATTTGTGGCGTTGAAGATAGCGATGTTCTGAGAGAAGTGGGAATAACGGAGGGAAGTTTGGATGCCGTGTTATGCATCCAGGTCCTGTGTGCGGTAAAGGATCCGAAGAACGTGATGAAGGAGGTGTGGAAGCTGCTCAAACCTGGAGGCAAGTTTATATTTTGGGAACACGGATGGAGTAGAAACCGTTTGACGACTGTAGCGCAAGGTATGTCTCTGCCAACTTTCTTTCGTGTGTTTGTCTCTAGTGGAGGGACCAACGAGCGGTACAGAGCGGCTGACATGACTTAGCTTGCTCGAATCCTGCCTGGAGCACATTTGTTGGATGCCATTTGACCCGGAATGTGTTGGCGGACATTCTCAACAGTGGAGAGTGGGAAAATCCGCATGAGATTGAAGAACCCGAAGAACCGTTTAGCTTGCTACCTAGGATTCAGGGTGTGCTTGTCAAGAAAAAGGCTTAATTAGCCCCTGGAGCAAATCCATTCACCCTCAGCTATCGCCCGCGTCAAGATTGATAGAATGCTTTGAAGCGCACTCTTCATCGGATGTGCAGCTGAGAATTCGCTCAAAGTTGGCATTTAAACACATTCTATTCTTCCATAGTACAATAACTCGAATACCGTATCCAATCGAAGAGGAGATGCCCATATTGGCCACCAGTATACAGTACACTAATTCATGCCTGGACGTGTTCCAAATATAGTGACGAGGACGGTTCTGTCCACCGCGACGAGGAACTACTCAGAAGCACCGAGATGATCACAATGACGGTCGTTGTTTTTGTTCTCTCGGGCTCCGGACTTCCAGGCTGGGTCGGTGCATCTGGCGAGGCTTCGGTGACTTGAGCCGTGTCATGAGTTTCTGAAGGCATGGCGATGGACTTCGTGGGCCAGGCCTAAGGTACATGAATTCCAGATGGAGACTGAAGTCAATATAAATATCATCGGACGTAGACCAGCAAGTGCAAGTAGTAGCGAGAGACTCCTTCGGGATTAGTCGAACCTGAGGAACCACAGATAGTCAGGAATGTCCATCCTGCATGGTAACCTATTCAATGTGTTGTTCGATGTTGGAAGTAGTCGTGAACCTACCGAGTGTTGTTCGGGAGATAGCGGAAATCCCCCGGAATGGTTGGAGGATGGTTGTAGTTGTTCATGGTTAGCGCGGTCCATTCAAACGGCCGAAGTAACCTCCGGCTGCCACCATGTTTCTTCTGCATCTTCCCACCTCATGATCCTCATCCCATCGCATTCACCATGTCGACAGACCATTCGGCAAGGTCGCCGCTCATCCGGGCTTGTGTGATGTGTCAACAGCGAAAGGTCAGGTGCGACCGCAAATCCCCCTGCGCGAATTGTGTCGGATCTGGCACACAGTGTGTCCCTGCCACGCTCACTCCGCGCCGTCGTCGATTTCAAGAGCGAGTGCTATTAGACCGTCTGCGCCACTACGAAGGCCTACTTCAGCAACATAACATCGATTTCGAGCCACTGCATCCCCAAGCCAAGCAGGAGCCTGTTGCTGATGTCTCTCGGGACTGTGGACGGTCAGAAACGGCGAGGGCATCGACCCCTATCCAGTTGCAGGCAGTGTCCGATACCTGATCAGCCCAGCTTCACTACAGGAATTAACTAATTCTATTATAGCGACCTCTGGCAGGCCATTAGCCGAGTGGTACGTTTGATTCCTTCAGTGTCGTTGTTAGGGCAAGCCGTTAACCCTGGGGAAGACACTTGAATCTGAAGATGACGACGGTGACAGTCCAGACGTGCAGACTGCCGTGGTAAAAAACGACTGGGACCACTTCGACCAACCAGAAACCAACGACCAAACCAGCGATGATCTTCTGTTTGGCCAACCACAAGCTAATGTGAATGTGTTCACCTTGCACCCCGGACAAGCCCAGGTCTTTAGGCTCTGGCAGACGTATCTCGAAAACGTCAATCCCCTGCTGAAAGTGACCCATACGCCGACGCTGCAACCACGGATTGTCGACGCGGTCAGCGATCTTGAAGATATCCATCCGACCTTAGAGGCACTCATGTTTAGCATCTACTGCATCGCGGTCGTGAGTCTGGCCGATAACGAATGTCACCGGCTGTTCAAATCGTCGAAGGAAGATCTGCTGGCGCGCTACCGGTTGGGCTGTCAGCAATTGCTGATCAATTGTCGGCCCTGGCAGTTTACCAATGTCGACGGCTTGACTGCATTGTACCTCTACTTGGTATGCAGTCCGTCCGTGTTAAGACGAGAAGAGGAATACCACATATAGTAACGGTTTTAGGTCTCCATTTGGCCGCAAACAGACCCGCGCTTGCTCTCCTCTATGCTGGCCGCCGCTATTCGGATTGCACAACGGATGGGGCTCCACAATGAGTCGACATACACTCGATATACTGCCATGGAGGCCGAGATGCGTCGAAGACTCTGGTGGTCGTTGGTGATTTTGGACCATCGCATCTGCGAGATGTCCGAATACAAGGTCACCACCTTGACACCCACTTGGGACTGCCGGATTCCGTTAAACGTGAACGACTTTGAGATTCGAATCGACACCAACTCCTGCCCCACCAACGGCGAGAAGCCGACGGAGGCGCTGTTCGCGGTAGTCCGTAGCGAGCTCGCCGACCTGATCCGCCATACCACCTTTCACATCAACTTCGTCAATCCGTTACTGGCGGCTGTGGCTAAAGCAAAGGATCCGCGACACACGTCCATTCCTGCAAATGGTGAGATGTTGACTATTCAGAAGGCAATTGAGGAAAAGTATCTCGCTTTCTGTGACCCCGCTGACCCGCTCCACTACATGACAATCTGGACGACCCGCGGCTACATAGCCAGAAACCGCCTGCTGGAGCACTATGCGAGACACTCGACGTCACCAGCGACGCAGCAGACAGACGCGCAGCGCAAAGCTGCCCTGTCCTACGCTCTAGAGATGCTGGAGTGCGATACGAGACTGCGAGTCTCCCCTCTCACCAGTCGGTACCTGTGGCTCGTAGATTTCCATGTCCCAGCCCTGGCATACATCCACGTTTTGAACGATCTAAAGAAGCGACCGACAGAGAGCCACGCTGGGAAGGCCTGGCAGACCATGAGTGAAAATTATGAAGCGCGCGCCCTGCAACCCAAGCCCAGCGGCCAGGGTGTCTTCGCCGTCTTCGCAAGCGTGGTCCTCCAGGCTTGGGGAGCGCGGGAGATATTCCTCCGGCAACAGGGCTTGTCCGTAGAGACACCCCAGATTGTGGTCGATATTCGGAACAAAGTGGCGCAGACGAGTTCGGGCTTCCCCATGGCACCGAGCTGCAGCACCGAGGAACCGCCTCACAGCAGAATCGCGATCAGTACCAATTCAGAGGCGACTCAGTCACAGATTAACCTCACCTGTCATAGCACCGACGGACAAGCCATCCCAGGTCCCGATATAGGACCTAACAGCTTCCCCGACGTCGCTGGACCGGCTATCATGGATATTGATATGGATCAATTCTGGACTGCAATGGACTGGAGGTTGATGCATACACAGGACTGGTGATATAGGCATTTATAAGGTGGATTTTAGGTACTCCCAGTCATAGGAATCTCCTCTGTCAGCGACTGCTCAATGAATATCCCAATTCCGCATTTGTTCCTGTTCCACTAAGCCACTAATTGCCCTGCTCGTCTTTCCCGATAATAGGGAACATTTTKGTGAACTTGTAAGGTGTCTGGACATTTCTGGATATACTTCGGCCTCACCGGACCAGCGCCCTTTTAAGGCGGCGGCCGAGCACTATGGGGAAGAATAACCTTAAGTGGCGGCGAAGTTGTGCTTTCCCTGGTCTACATCAAGACACATCTGCAGCCCCAGCAAGGCTGCCGTGAGTCATGAGTCCAGGACCAGCCCGAGAGGGGCAACTGCTCACGTGACATCTTCTCACATCATGCTCCAGAGCTCAGATTCAGACATTCTTTCCATTCAGCATATTTTACTTCAATATACGGATGCCTGACAATCATGAGCTCTACCAACCGCGATATCATCACTTTGAGCGAGATACCGACCCGTCGTTCTTCCGATGACGCGACTTCATCGGAGATAGAGCAACCCTCGCTGCCCCCCGCAGATGGGGGAAAAGCTGCGTGGCAACTACTCGCAGCATGCTGTCTCATTCAGCTACCAGTCTGGGGTTTGCATTAAGCGCGAATGACCAGAGTGCAGCAACGGCTAATTTGAAACGCCAGGATTCTCGACTGTTTTCGGTATTTTCCAAGAATACTACAGCACGCATGATGTATTACAGGGCAATAAAGGGGACCTTGCTACCGTGGGAACTACATCAACTGTATTGGAAAAGCACCACACACACACGTCATTGAGTTCAATATGATCTAACGCAATTGTTAGGGCCTTCTGTACCTCTTATCGCCTGTGACATTTACCCTTTTGACGCGGTATCCACACCTTCAAGCTTGGTGCCTTCCGACAGGGCTATGTATCACCGTGATCGGCTCGCTTCTATCGTCCTTCTCGCGGCAAATATGGCATCTCATTGCCACTCAGGGTATTATGTGCGCCATTGGCAATGCGCTCATGTTCAGTCCATCGTCTCTGTATATGGACCAATGGTTTATACAGAAAAAAGGACTTGCCCTCGGCATCATGTGGGCAGCCAAGAGCGTAACTGGCGTTGCATTGCCCTTTGCGGCGAATGCTTGTTTAGACAAATTCGGTTCTAGTACGACCTTCAGAGCTTGGACTGTCACTACGGTATGCTGCCCCGGTTTATTGCTGCCTTTTGTCCCCGACTGCACATTTGTTGCGACACTATGCAGGCGAACCGACTCGAGTTGCGTCTTTAACTGTCGGATTGCATTTAGTTCTAACACCGAATCACAGTTGCTTACTAGCCTACTATCTTTGCCGTTCATGAAGCCTCGAATCCCTGTCTCACCTTCTGCCTCAGCCCGTCGTCTGGACCTCAGGTTCCTCCGACTGGCCGCCTTCTGGACGCTCCAGGCAGGCAATATCATCCAAAGCTTTGGATATTTCTTACCATCCACGTATCTGCCATCTTATCTGACCACAACAGTCGGCCTGTCAAGAACGATGGGCACAATGCTAGTCTCGCTCTTCAACGCGACTTCTATTGTCGGTGGTATCTGCATGGGAATGCTTTGTGATCGTTTCGCAGTATCGAATATTCTGCTTCTCTCCTCGATAGGCTCAGCACTATCCGTGTTCCTTCTGTGGGGCATGGCATCATCTCCGGAGTCTGGATCGCCTCAGACGGCTATTGCTTTGCTCACTCTATTCTCCATCTTCTATGGATTCTTCGCGGGTGGTTTCAGTTCCACTTGGTCGGGTGTCATCAAACAAATTAAGCGCGACTCTTCCACGTCCTTGGAGACGGGTTTGGTCTTTGGTTTGCTTGCGGGAGGGCGGGGAATTGGCAATGTCATCAGTGGTCCGCTGAGCACGGCGCTAATCAAGCAGGGATCGCTGAGTGGCTCGCAAACCGACAGCGCTAGAACAGGTTTTAGCACGCAGTATGGGACTTTGATTCTTTTCACTGGTATCACGGCAGTTTTCGGAGCTTGGAGCTGGATGTGGGGTTATATCAGCTCTGGGGTGCGCTGTGCGAGCCGCTAAGACAAGAACAGGTTGTATGTTTGAGTGCAGGACACGACGCTGGTTTTCGACTCATTCCAGAAGGATATTGGTTTGAAGATGAAAATTTTCTAAAATAGCGGTATACATGAAGACAAAGCATCAGACCTTCAATGTGTGTGTTGTTGAGTCTTCGCTAACTGATACTCTTATTTCCGCAAGGCCGAGCCTAGGCAGAGCGGAGTCACCCGAGAGTGGGCCTGGAGAATAAATTTAATGAGCTGTTTGATCCTGGCTATGTGGATACATGGGACTCAGGTGATAGCTGGTATCACAATCCTTGATCGTTGTGGCGCGGGCCGCACGCTACTAGCTTAGCAACAAATAGACGGCTTTCGCAGGTACTGGGATTGAAGTTTAGTGGCTGTTAGCGTAGCTACTAATGCATGGCGACTGCGGCAAGGCTGGAGCTGAGAGAGAATAGGAACGGCAATGTTCCCAGTGACCGCGTACCGTATGGACATAAATTCGAGGGGTTCCCCTTGACTGGGATAAGGGGAACAAGGCAAGAAACACAATCCATAACAGCGTTACAATCGTCAGTATCCTATCAAACTCGTCACTATGGGAAAGCGAGTGCGCCATTTTGTCGGGGTCGAAAGCTCAGAGCAGCTGGCCTTCATTGATGAGCTCCAGGAGCTCGGGCTCAGCAGCACGATTGACCTGCCTGAGGTAAGTCAAGTGGTCGCAACTTAATGGTGACCTGGTGCCATGGCTAACGATATCAGCTTGTGGTGGTGGGAGACCAGAGTTCCGGCAAGAGCTCGGTGCTCCAAGCCATAACCGAAGTTTCGTTTCCAGTCAAGGATGGCACATGCACTCGTTTCCCAATCCAGATTTCCTTCAGACAGACCTCCGCCTCAAATAAATACCCAGTTAAGGCTACTATTGTGCCGGGGCGACAAACTGAGAATGACGAGGCGTTTCTCCTTCGCATAAAAGACTTTATGATGGAAAAGGAAGAGTTGACTTCGGATGTGATGAAAGAGATCATAGAGAAGGTATGTTGAATAAGTATAGATTGATCTCCCTCATCGCTCATGCAGCTAGGCAACGGAGTGTATTTTCGGCGAACGGAACCCAGGGAAGCAGTTGAGTCTGAGCGACGCCACACTCCGAATTGAGCGGTCCGGCCCGGACGAGATGCACTGGACGATTGTTGATCTCCCGGGTCTCAAGAGGAAAGGTCGTGCATCAGAGGAAGATGCACATGCGCAGACTGATGCGGCAGTTGCATTGGAACTCGCTCGCAGCTACCTAGCGAATGAGCGGAATATTGTTTTGTACAGAGCCAGGTGAGATCCGTGGTTAATTACAAAAACTGACATCTTGATTCCAGGGTGGTTGTCGACAATGTGGATGTGGAGCGTCTCATGATTTTTGATTTAATTGAAGAACTACCGGGACTGGAAAGCCGATGCATTGGCGTGCTCACAAAATGCGATCGCAAGCAGGAAGGCTCCGATGATTGGGTATGTATAACCGCTCGGCCATTTCTATGTGCCTTATGCTGCTAAGTGCTCCCATATCATAGATGGTCAAACTCCTGCAGAATGACGACTTGCCTACTGTTCCTCATCTCGACCACGGCTGGTTCGGACTGCGGAACAGAGTACCTGCAGAGGCCCATATCACAGACGCCGAGCGCGACGAAAGAGAAATAAAGGAGTTCACCCAGCCAGCTTGGGAGGGAGTGGCCGCGGATAGGACGGGCATAGGCTCGTTGGTCAAATACGTCGACAAGGAGCGGCGGGCCAAGATTCAGTCAGGCCTGCCCCATATCATTGCGGAAATCCGGCGGAAACTTCAGGACTGCGAGGCAGATCTTGGCAGAATGGGAGAGGCCCGTGATAACCCCAATGCCCAGCGATACTTCGCCTTCCAATTCTGCAATGAAATGCAGAAAATGGCCAACGCGACTCTGATAGGCCAATATCAAGACGTACCATCAGAGGATCCGAGGATCATGCTTCGATACCGAGTGCAGCGTCGTCTTGATCAATTCTATAAAGAGATGGTGGACCCAGATAACATGCCCATTCTATTTTCGAGCTATCAGGATGATCTGAAAATACTCAGCTCGATGAATCCGGAGGAGTGGGAAGAGAAGGTCCTGAATGCCCCTGGTATGTATTCCGAGATATACAAGGAAGCCAAAATCAGTGAGGGGCGCAGCCTTCCAGGGAGTATCCACCCAGATGTGGAGGAAAAGATGTTTCGGAAGTTGACAACCCATTGGGAGACGATTGCTCGAAGCTTTGTTGAAGATGTGAAGGACCTCGCAAGGGACTGCCATGATGTACTCTTGAGGATAGCCATACCCAATAGCAAAGTGCGACTGGAAGTGAGTCGCATTATTGGAAAGACGCTGGAAGAGTGGAACAGAGATGCTGATGCGGCTCTCTGGGAACTCATCGAGGATAACCAGGCCCGACCGCTGGTGACTCGCCATCCCATGTTAATCTCTGAGACGATCGCTGCAGATAAACAACGAGGCGAAATCTTACTTGGCAAGAAGACGGCAATGGCAACGAACGGGGAGAGTGAGGGGACCCCTAGCGTCATAACTGGGGGGCACGAGCTACCTTTTATCTCGACTTTGCTGAGCCAGGTGCTTTTTGTCCGTGCAAGGCTGGAGTCGTACTACAGAATTGCGCTGTACCGATTCATTGACAATGTAGCGATGCAGGTCGTCGAGCGACATGTGCTGGGACCGAAATGTCCAATGCTCACCGTCTCTGTCAAGACCTTTGGGACTCTGGAAGACAAAGTACTGAACAGCGTGGCCGGGGAAGACGAAACCGATATTCGTGTGCGCGCGAGGCTGGAAAAGGTGCGGTCTCGATATGTCCAAGCACTGGAAAAATGGGAGAGATTGAGAGTACTTTAGCATGGATTAGGCAGCAACAGTCAGGTTAGGATGAATTGCGGAGTGAAAGGAATTGTATAAGGACGACTTCTCGAGACTTGTCTACCCCTCGTCCAAAGAAGCACCAAGAACTGCTTTATAGTTATGCAGCCAATTGTTGATAACGCCTCTGGTTTAAAGAAGATTATTACCCATCACACATTCAACCCAGATGCAGATTGATATGATCGTAATGACCATATTTCTCTCATAAAAATATTAACTTCTATACGAGCGCTGATAATAGGGGGCTATAAATTGTAACTGGCTCATAGGTGAATGATGAATAGTGCAGAATCATGTCTTTCGCGAACTAAACATTTTTTGCTTAAGATTATACTTTCATGGTAGTAAGCATGCTACATAAGGTTGTGACTCAGTGATCATCAAAGTCTGTGTATTTTCACTATAGATCTCCTATATATATTTAGTAGTAGACAGTAAGCATCGGAAGATCACCAGCTATGTTTGCTTTGGTTAGCGTAAGATTAACGAATATAGTTATATTTAAGTACTCTGTATATTCAGCTAATCTACTACAGGAGAATGTGCATCTATAGTATTATCGACGATCGTAACTCCCTTGTATTAATCATTAATATGTGTGGCTGTAAATTTGGGCATCTTGTCATTGACCATAGCAATTTGTTGATATTTACCACCGGCGGTTTGGGCGGTTCGGCGCATCCGGCTGAGTAATCGGCCGGAGCCTGTGTTGATGTTGAAAGCTCGCGAGGGAGGTAAATAAAAAAAGAATTTGGCAGGATGTCCTAGTGCGTCGGAAGTATCGGAGGCGGTATAGTTAGTTATAATCTCGAAATTAGTCATCGCAATTCTCCTCATATTTTCCTTGCCGTACCTGGACTTGGATACTTTCTGACAGGACCATGTCGTTTTCCCGGATTACGAGATCAGGGGTAGCAACCTTCTGCAAGTTTTCGGCTGCAGCGTCTGTAGCCGGTGCCGGTGGCTGGCAGTTATGGACAATGCATTGCTATTTCGAGCCATTTGGGCCTGGAAATGATCCTCTGTTCCAGAGTAAATACTTCAAACAGCACAACCCTGGGAATCATCCTTCTCTCAACGACTCTTGTGTGCGAAAGGTGCCGCTATCCCAGATCCCACCGGAATTGGTCGATGATGCCCTTAATGGGGGTTCAAAGCTCCTCGAGAGGTTCTGCGCGGGCGTATGGGGTGGTTATGGTGAGTGCTCTCGAGCGTCTAGCACTCAAAGGCCTGGAAGCCGCTGAGAAGCCGACAGGAACTATCACAACGGTGTTACTAACTGAATGCTTCCTTTTTTCTATGTACAGGATACGCCATCCAACGGAACATACTGGCTCGACTGGGACGGAATGACTCTAACAAGGACTCGGTGCTGTGGGGTAAAAAGCAGCTACTGAACAGCACCTACGAAGAAGGTAGAACACCGTCCAGGGTTTCAGGCTCGATGGAGATTGGTGTCGGGAATTTGTATCACTGACGTCCTGATCTAGGGACCAATGTAACTGATCACTTCGTCGTCGTTGGGAAGACTCCCAGATCCGTCATCCTGTGGGGAGCCCATTCCCCGTCGGAGAATCCAGGAGTCCCTCGGGACATGGAGAACCTCGCCGAAATTACGACGGATATCGACTTAGACCATGGTGTGGCCGAGTTCAGGCTGAAGAACATCTTCTACAACGGCGTGGAGCGGACATCGAAAGACCCGTTTCCGCCGCCGATCGTGTGGTTGCATTTCCAATACTGCAAATTGTTGGTTGAGGCGGGAGTGAGCCACTGCAAGGCGTAGGTGGCTGCTGTGCATGGGTGCTATGCTCTGCTCCTTGTCTTCAAGCTGCCTAGGGGCATCCGTTCTTGATGACTTTCGTGGAACACCAGCTCCAGCCTCCGTCAACCGTGCGTCACTATACCGTTGTACTTGTATTATAATTGTGTTATATCTAGGGCAGCATGACATTCCCCTTTCATCACTCACCAGAAATTCAATTGACCTTTCGATACGGGTATACTGAGACACGACGGGAAATGAAACAAGGTCTCTGCGTAATAGTATTTATCGGTTCCTCGTTTTCAAGGCTACGGATCCGTGCCGGGGGTGTGCCACTGTGACTTGGATATGGCACGTTCACAAATGCCCGCGAGCTCCGCGGCAAAGCCGTCAAGATATTGCAGGTGGATGACCTCGCCGATGGTTAACTTCCGGACCGGGTTACTGCGGATCAAACTGGGGACATTCTGCAAGCAAATTCGATGTCATGTTTGGTGTCCGGATCGCGAGGGTTCGAGATGATATTGCAGAAGAGAGACAAGACGGCGGTTTTGGCGTAAAAGAGGACGACCCTGGTTTGAGAGGCAACCGTCAGTTATGATCAGGCGTCAACCAAATATTCGGCATCGGCACCCGCACCAAAAGCATTCCGGGATCACCACCGGAAGTCTTCATTTCATTCCATAGCCAGCTGTAAAGTTGCGTTTTCAGATTAGATAATCGATCGAAGTGCGGACGTCGATGTGAGGACATAAACCCGTGCCATGGAGAGTCACTTTTTCGACCAGATAATGGCCCGCCGACTCTTGTGAGCGATTGCGGGCAGCATCTAGCATGGGTGGTGGTCTTCCGATTCGCGGTCTGCAGCCACTAATTGCAGCTCGAAACGCCTCCCATCGCAGCTTATCGCTGATGTTGATTACCAAACGCTGGCCACAACCAGCGGCCTCGGCAATCTGGAATGTATTTATTGAACAACGGCTCATCACATTACGAATTGGTTCAAGCTCCGACGGCAGGTTGTGGAAATTGTGGATGCACTGCTGTAGAGTTAGGCATCGGCTGGCTTAACTGGGTTTGCCGGCTCGGCCCGGCAACTTTAAATGTCGGGATGAGCTGAGAAAAATATATTTCCACCTGTATAGTTATCAGCGGGCTAAGTTCTAGGACCCAAATGCCTGTCCAGGATTGGTTTGATCGCTTACAAATTGTGATAATGCAATATGGGATCGCGCACAAAGATATCTACAACTTTAATGTGGGGTTTTTTCCTGTCATTACGTCCTAGGTATAACGAAAATTACAAGTATATGCCGTATTTGTATCGGCTGCTGATCCTAATCAAACGCGTGTCAGCACCGAGCCCAGCGGGCCATAGCAGAATGGGCATCATGATGACAGTGGAAGAACATCCGCAGGCATAGCTATAAACAATTTTCTGGGGAAACTAAATGGCTAGCAATCAGCAAAAGACCCACTGAACTCAGTCCTTCATTCTTTGTCGTGTTCAGAGAACACATCAGATAAAGCTGAGTGAAGTGTGTCTTCAAGTTGACCCAACGTATTATAAAAACGCTAGAGTTCTAGTTGCCCTGGCAAAGCCGCCTGAGCTATTTTGTTTACACAGAGAATACTCTTATGGGATGTGCTTCAGTGTTATATACCCATTTCTGCCATGGCGTATTTTGGACGTGCCACTCGTCATTTGCTGGCAAGTCCAAGTGAGCAAGTATGCGTGAGCAGGAAATAGGAAAGATTGTTTGAACAGACCTTCAGAAAAGACAAAATATGAATATTTGAGAACCTCAGCAAAAAGAAAACTTTCCTGCTGGTCGAGAAGATAGTCACCATTTTCCTTTGTAACATCGTTGATGGAGCTAAAACCGAAAAGCGCTAGCATCCCATGTCCAATCCCGATACTATTGATATATCAAAAGCGAACGATCCAGAGTAATGTATGGGGCGCGCCATTTGCTTGCCAGTCATTCGATAAGCATAATAATAACTTTCGAGGACCTCCGGTCTCAAGATATACCTCTTATCAATAGAACGAATCCGACATCCAACGAAACCGTCGGACCATTAGAACGTTTCCGGGCCAATCTGGCTCGCGGTAGCTTTATACGTTTCATGATAACCGTCGATCCAGTTTCAGACCAAAGTCTATCAGGTCTGATCTATTTAGGGCTTGACCGCCCAGAATGAAATTTCCACCAGCAAAACACGCCAGGTGCTCGGATTGGCGTCGCGGACGATACTCATACTCCTGCAAAAATGTATGACCGCCTAACATAAATTGAAAGTAAATATCGCTAGACGGGTATGATACACTAAGGAGGGCTGAGGTCTTCGTCTTCAATCATGATGTCGGCACCTCGATCCCGCAGCATCTGGATCACCTCTTTGTTGCCTCTCATTAACGCGGCCTGCTGGACATTGCCAAACGCTCCTCCAACGTTAATGTTGGAGCCTCGGTCCAGCAGCATCTGGACCATCTCTTGACGGTCGTACTCTACTGCAACATGGAGTGCATTCCCAAAATTTTCATTCCGGGCGTTCACATCGGCACCTCGTTCTAGTAGTATCTGTACCACCTTTTCATTGTCCTGGAACGACGCGGCCAAGAGTGCACTGCCACAGTGTCCTCGAGCATTGATGTCAGCACCTCGATCTAGCAACATCTGCACAATCCTTTCGTGGCCTTCTATCGATGCAGCTTGAAGTGCATTGCCCCAAGGACCTCCTTTGATATTGACATCAGCACCTCGATCCAGCAACATCTGCACTATACTATCATAACCTTCATGCGATGCGGCATGAAGTGCATTGCCATAGTCTTCGCCGTATTCGGATTCTCCTGCTTGAGCGTTGGCATCAGCACCTCGATCTAGTAGCATCTGGACTATCTTTTGATGGCCTTGTAATGATGCGACCAGGAGTGCACTGCCATACTCTTCTCCATGGGCGTTGGCATCGGCGCCTCGATCTAGCAGCATCTGCACAATTCTTTCATGGCCTCTATATGACGCGGCCTGGAGGGCAATGCCATAAAATTCACGTTGGGCGCTGACGTCGACCCCTTGATTAACCAGCTTCTCCACCAGCTTCTCGCATATGGGCAGACAGCCCGCCCGGGCAGCAATTGCGAGCAGGTTATGACCGCTGTCGTTCACTCGGAAGATATCAATCTCCGCCTGTTCCCACCAGTCCCATACAATGGTAGCCAGCGAGAAACAACACATGGCGAAAACAGCGGCATCACTGGGGCAGAGCTCACGGAAATTAATTTGTTCGTCATACGTCATGTAGTGCCCCAGATGGGGGGTGTTGAAAAAGCTCTCGAAATCATTGCCCACTTTTTGATGCCATCTCTGGTATTGCACACTGCTCTTATTTGGCGACCCGAGGAAGGTTTTCAAAAGAGAAGCCAGCTTGGTTGTCTCGATGTCCCTTGACCCGTTGACATGGTGGGCCCAAGAGTGCCGCATGTATATATGAAACGGATGAAGAGTATGGAAGCCGTCATCCGATTGTACTGGCTTTTCGGGTCCCTCTGTGTCGTCTGGCTTCTCTGATTCGAGCTCGAACTTGACCTCCAGCTTGGCGTCCAGTTCCAAGTCATCATGTTCATACTTCTTGACGAAATAGGACAGGCAAACGCTGGCCGCGTGGAAATGGGCATGGGGAACGGACCAGTCTTCCTTGGTTTCCAAGTATTCCCTGACCGAGAGATGGGGAAAACGCCAAACTTTGAGCTGAGAATCCAGAGTAAGGAAATTGTTACAAAGAGACAACAGACCTTGCTCGTCCACTGTGTCATCCAAGGGCAGCAGATCTCCGTCCGGGCTCAAACGAATAGCAGCCAGAATCTCGACGGTGGTCATTGGTTTGGATGCAGACATCACCCATCGAATAGCGCGCTTTGTGATGGTCCGGTCAGATTTTCCCTGGTCTTCAATCTGTCGCCAGACCTCATCGTATGCCTTCTGAAGGCCCTCTGGGAGGTTCTCAAGGCGCTCCCAGACACTTCCACGGGACTCACACTTCGCAATCTGGTGGACCTGCAAAGCAGCCCACTGGAACATGCCCTGGCAACGCTCTAGCAACTTTCCGATAATTTTGGATTCCATAGTCTTTAATAACGGGGCAGTCTTTGAGAGCCTGTCGAGTTCTTCCTGAAGGAACTTCTCAATGTCATTAAGATTGTCATCTGCCTGAATGCAAACGTTGGGCCTGCTTTCTAACTGATATTCAATTTTTGGGTCAGGTCGGCTTGCGATAAAGATCCTCACAACCTTGTTGGATTCTGATAAGAACGATTGCAGTGCTTGTATTAGTTTATACCGCGAGTCTGGATCACACTCGTCCAAGGCATCAATAACTAGCGTGGTTCTCGGGTAGATATTCAAAGAGGCGAGGATTTGCTCCTTGCACTGTTCCAAGCGGAAGTTTGTACCATTCTCCCGAGCCTTTTTACAAGACTCTCGAAGTTTTGCCTGCATAACCTCGGGATTACTTGCAGTGGTCGAAAGCTGACGTACAAAGCTTTGGAGAATGGACAGCGGCTGCGAGCGCGATTCGTCCCGGCCACAGTAGAAAAATGCAAACCCCTCGTCATTTGGAGGTTTGCTGGTCTGGGCGCGGACCCAGTCGACGACGGCAGATGTGAGATATGTCTTGCCGGTACCCGGATTCCCTTGTAGCCAGAAGAGAGCCGACGACTTTGTCGACTCCCAACTACGGAAATCCGTGTGGTGGAGCAGCCACTCACCCGTGCCGGGGGTTCGCTTCTCTTTCACGTTGTCGTGGTGCTTCCCATACGGAATGGGCGAAATCCACTCCAAGAGCTCGATACGCTCGCTTTCACTCACATGTTTCAGGAGATGGTGGACGCCCTCATCTACCCGAGCCATTGGGGCCTGCAAGGCATCCAGCATTGCATTCGCGCGTTTGTCTGAGTCCGAACTTCGCTGGCTCTCGCATGCTTGGACGTCTCGGAGAAGCTCATCTTCTTGCTCACCAAGGCTCGAAAGATTGCCCTTTGCCTTGCCCGGATTTACAATTGCTTCAAGCGTGCGTCTAGCAGTGCTTCCGGAGAGGAGCGTTCCTGACTCGGCCAATAGATCCAGAGCAGTTTTGTAGATTGTTACCAGTGCCGCCTCGAGATTTGTTTGTACCGGCGAAAGCTCAGCATTGGGGTCCTGGGGCAGGTAGACATTTTCATAGACCTGGCCGCGACTTGTAATGCGGACAACTCTCTCTGTGGTGGCAAGCAAGGCACCCATCTGCTCGCTCTCGTTCACAGGAATCTACAAGATACCATGAGCTTCAAATCAAAACATAAAAAGAGACATTGGGATTACCTTCATCATCGATTTGATTAGACCCCATGGTAGACTCGCTTGGGGTGGCGCAAACTGCACAGCAATGTTGCCGGCCTTCTCCAGCCAGCCAACGATCTGCGTGGTATATTCTCGAAGAACAATCTTTTTATCACCCACATTGACATGCCAGAAGTTTTTCTCGCACTCTTCCTGTTTTCTGTTCACCTCTCCTACAAGATCCTTGATGCTCGACTCCATAGATCCGGACTTGGGATTGCCAAATCCCATTTCTTTCAGGATAGCTTGCTTGGCCGGGGGCATTTGATTGAAAGCGTCCCGCCAGCGGTCCTTCACTGGAGGACCTTCCCGAGGGACGGATCCCTTCTCAGGTTCTTTATCTGGGCTGATAACTGTTTCCGTGGCGGGGGGAGCCGCGCTGGCCAATTGTCCCGATGGGGGAGCGGCCGAAGAAGCGTTGTTCGGCTTTTCGGGCTTGGGCTCGGTCTTCACCAAACCAGAAATGGAGCCATTAGCAGAAAAACAATCAAATTCCCCTTATCTCCACTTACTTCTGCTTTCGGAGCATCCCGCAGGCTTCTCTTCTTCGAAAACTTGGCCTTGAGGCCACTGAATGGGTTGCAGGAAGGCATCGGAGGCAGCGTAATACGGAATTGCTATTGAGCTGATGATCGAAGACGGGGGAAATGGTTTCAAGAGATGGGAGGAATTAGAGGAATTACCGTTCAGCTCATCGTGCATGGCCTCCAACCGATGGTTCGCACAGCTCGGGAAATGATGTACCTGATCTCCAAACAATTGACCCGTTTCGGCATACGGCACATTGGATCTCAGCATAGCCCAATGATATTGCTCTACAACTCGTCAGTGGCTGGTGTCTGCCCCGCACTAACGCTGCTAACAAGGCATAAACAGAACATCAATTGTGAACTGCTTGAAAGTACAGAGTACTATCATTCTTCTTACTAGATTTTTCGACGGTGGTACCAGACTAGATCGCGAACAACGCTACAATATATGACAACAGTCCAGCTCTAGAATGGCGACGTGGGATGCCTTCAAACACATTTCTGACCCCATTAATATATTTCTGAGGGGAGGTGTTGATATGAGCTAATTCAAGCGGAAACAATATTTCAATTACACTCATTCTCTGGCTCAACCGAATCATGACTATCTACTCACAGCTGCAAACTGTAAGCAAAAAAATCGCTTATCTCGCGTAGTTCAAAACTATTTCCAAGGTTCACCCGCGTAACGGAACTGGAATATATCACCAGTTGTTCCATACGAACCAACTGGTGGGATATCCTTCATAGGGCCTATGGGGTTCCCCTCAGAATCAAAGATTTCCACGCGGACAAGATCGAGATTTGAAATGTAGATCTTGTCGGTTGGGAAGGCATGCGTAAACCTGAAGGTGCAGCGATGTTCCCAGTCCGTTGTGCACAGTTCGGACTTTTGGGTCACTCCAGGAACAGGAGGCGTCACTCCCAGGTACATGTTTGTCTTCTTGTTCCAGACAACATATTGGAAGCCGCTTTTGAACTATATAGGCGTTAGGATGATGAGGCAGGCAAGTGCAGATTCAAGAGACATACCCTGTGCCGGACTGTTTCTCCTTCTTTGATCACATAAAACTTGCAACCAGCTTGGTAGACCTGCGAATCATCCTCGATTGATGCTCTCATTTGAACAGAATGCAACGAGGCAAAATTCACGGCGGCGGAACCCAACTGATTGCTCATGGCTGGTGTTAAACTCATGGAAACTGAACATGTACATTAGTTATCGTCCACCCAGAAATGAGAGGATTGTGCTGACCACCACTGAAAGGATTGGATGGGGGACTTTCGCAGACTGTAGGAAATAGGTCCTCATTAGAGTGCTTCAACCAGAATGTGACCCAGCCGTCCCACTCCTCCGGGACAGGGGCAGGCTTTTGTGATGCCTTGAGGGGTGCCAAGTTATTAAACTTCTGTTCAACCCAGTCATATCCTGGAATGAGTGATATCATTTCTTCCATGGAAAGGAGGTCATCTTGCTGCGAGGACTATTAGTTGCTATGGCTTAGTGATATTGACTGCGATGAGGGACTTACCTTGGAGATCCTCCAATTGTAGTAAGACGCCACCGTAGCGCACCAGGCAGGAGGGCTATGTAACAATCGTCAGTCCAGAGTAAAGTCATAGGAAAGCTTTTGTAGAGCAACCCACTTGTTGCACAATAAAGTGTCACCTCCCTTGGCCTCCCATGCCAGGTTATTGCTCAAGCTGCTGTTCTGGCTATTTGAGCTATGGTTGCTTGAATCGTCCTTGCTACCGCTGGCAGAGCCTTGAACGTATGTAGACGAGAAGGAGGCGGCAGCGGAAATCTTCAGTGCGCGAGCTCTTTCTTCTACTTTAMCCTCCGCAAAGGAATCGCTGCTCTCCGAGGAATGGAGGCGTCCACCTAACTCAACTCGGGAGGCAAAGAAAGTTCCTGCGAATGTTTAGCTCTTCCTGGGAAGCCAGATAAACAGGTATTAAGTACCATATTTCCTTCTGAAAAATTGCACTGCCTCTGCCGTAGAGATACTCTTAAGGTCTTCCTTGCATTCGTCTGAGAGATCAAGGCTATCTCCATCAAGCTCGAGGACAACTCGCGGAAACTATGATATGAGGGTTCTCAGCGACAGTATTGAATCTGAAAGCCTAGGTAACTCACATTGTATGTGATTGTCATGCGCCTAGAGTCTGTAGTTGTGTTTGACGCTGTTTCCACCTCTGCTTGCGATTTGTATCCGACTTTTACACCAGCAGTGACGCCGAATGCTCCTCCCCCTCTGCACTTATTAGCAAGATTAAATGTGTGGGATCTCTGTGTTCATGGAAAACCTACACAGAGACCTCGGCTGAATGTTCGGAGAGCGAACTGTCGGCAATTGCCTCTGCCACCGAAGTCTTGTTTTCAGAAACATTGACGTAAGAATCATCTTGTACAAGAAACCTAGGAATCCTCAGGTGATGCACCTGGTGATGGTACAAAATTAGCAGAAGCACAAGGGCAACCAGAAGAAGGGGGATGCATACCACAGGTTCATTGTCGCTAGCTGAAGGGGTACCGTCCTTGCCACCACTATTGAAGATAATTTCAAAATCATGGAACTTTCGCGGCTTCAATGCAAAAGCTATTTCGCCAGTCAGCCACTGATCACAAGTCAATCAACCTTTTTTAAGGTTATGAATTCACACACCAGGATACATCGCACGTTCGACCTTTCTCTGGCCAGTGGCAAGCTCCCTCACGTAGTTGCCATGGAGGATAGAATTATTCTGAAGGACAATGTACCACTCTCTCTCACCCATGTCCGCCGGATGGCTGAATATAGTTTGCCTTAGTCTCAGTAAATACTATTCGCCGGGGGAAGTATCTTACGTGATCTTTTTAGCAGCAAGAGCTTGGAAATTGCTGTGATTGTAAGAGCTTGTCAGCTTGTTGACTTCGGCTGATGTCAACCCCGGTTTCTAAGTACGGCAGTCAATATAAACAAGCATCTCTGAGTGATGGCAGAGCACTAACATTGATCGAGAGGTCTAATTTCTCCTTGAGGAATTCTTTGGTGCCCTCGTCCAACTCGGTTGGGATTTTACGCTGCTTCAAGTAGACCTTGTATGATTTGCCGGTGCTCGATTCCCGAGTGATCTAACAGCTCGACATTAGCATAGTACTTGGTCAACAATCCAGGCGGCAGACTCACGGGGCGACTGTTGTTTCCCTTCGCTCTCTTACCTCCACTGTCTTCATTCGATCCCTCTTCATCTTTGGGCTTCTCCTCGCTGCTCTTCAGAAAGTCCAGGTACATATCGAAGCCAAGTTTATCGTCCACTTCAGCTCCATCGTCGTTGCAGAATTTGCTTGACTTCCTATCCACAAGTTATTATGTGTTTAAGTCATCCCATGTGGGTGGTCAAATTACTGTCTCCAGGACAGGGCGTTCTCGCTGATCAAGCTCCTCCGAATATCCGCCAAGGTTGTGTCCTTTACATTCTTGACGCTGCCGATGGTGACGAACTTTTCCATCTGGCTTGTCTTGGTCACACTATCGAACAAATAGATACTGAACATGGCTTGGCGGTCGATTTTATTTGCTTGACACAATGATTAATTTTGTGAACTTATGCTGCTCAAATGACCACCAGCATCGCTCACCTTCCTCTGAATCCTTAATTTGACCCTCCAGATCCTTCAGGGCTTTCTGCTGTTTGGGGTCCGTTTTGGCTTCCTTTGGTGGCTGGGAAGTTGTTCCCTTACTTTGATCTTTAGTAGCAGACATGATGGCAAAGAAAGTACCAAGTGAAATCTGGATTTTAAGATGAGTGTTGATTTGCAATAGTCCAAGGTATTCGATTGAGCTGAGATTGTTTTTCTCGGTTTCTCAATCTCGAAGTCATGGAATGTAGCCTGTATTTAACACTTCAGACACTCACAGTTAGCAACTAACTTCTTGACACGTCAATTCTCTCAAGAGGCCACGGAATCCAGCGCCTGCGACGTCACCTGCGCAAGATAGCAGCAGGAAGAAACAAGTAAATCTGATCTGCAAATATTCAGATGAACTATTCGATGAACATGTAAATCCCTACTGGATCTGATGGAACCATGAACCCCCGCCTATCTATCACTGCAGGCTTGATTATGCATCAATGGAGGTGATTGCGCGCGCCGACTGTCATATGTGGAGCCAGCAGAGGAGAAATCGGAGCAAGCATTGACGTTACCCCGCCAGAGCTGAATACGGAAGCAAAGTATAGGAAATAGATCTTCAGGATTTTTAAGGCGTAAAGGCGGCAGTGTTTCAGCTCTCATCCACCGAACTTTTAGACCTGCAGATCGCTACATGCAGGCGTCCAGTAGTGTGGAGTAATTGAACATTCGGTACGATTGCACCTAGAATTCGGCACCAGATTCCATGCCGAAAAAAGTGTATTAAGTAGTCTCTATCTGGTAGTTTTATTTGGTGGCTCCACACAAATATGGGCACTAAGCCCGAGTCCCGGAATCAGGGACGCTCTGGGAGTGCATAGGTAATGGGCACAACCCACGAGCGGTTTTCCCTGCTGCGTCTCAGTCTTACCGTCAGCCCACACCTTGATGTGCATTGTCCATCCTGTCAATACCAATAAGGCAATGAACCCACTGTGCATGAGTAGCGATCGCCGTGACGTCAAGATATACTTTTTTAAAGCGCCGATCGCATCAGCTTGGATCAGTGGTTCGCCTCGGGCGGGAGGCAACCCAGATATAGGCTGTGACAAATAGATGATCTAAATGGCTGCACTCACCGGCATATGGATCAGTGATAATCGTCAAGCCATCTCACAGGATAACCTTGGAGGCGTTTGAACAAGAATCAACGCCATTGAGGTGCATGATATATGGGTAAAACGTCATCCATGTAAGGTTGTTACGCCACAAAGTCTCTAAATACTTGTCTCTTGACAGATGGGTGATTGCAGTATATGTCTAACGTGTCCTCACATAGAGGGGTACCCCACACTGAAATGATGTAGTTAAAATTCAAATGTGCTGAACGAAACAGACCAATAGTATGCCCCTAAGCAGATGCGCCTAAGGAATGAGCTACCCATATAGGTTAGGCATGGTCCACCTATTTGCATGTGGCTGTGGGTTCAGGGCCAACCCGGATCCACCCATTTTGCGGATATGCATGCGACTGCAGAATAGCGGGATGGTGATGCAATATGGTAGGATTTCAATATGGCCCTTTGCATAAATAGTCTACTATACGTGTGGTAGTAGGCTTTTGTGGCTAATGCGGGCAGCTCACACAGGGCGGTTGGCTGAAAGTACTAGTAATGCATGCATACGCAAGCACGGATTGAAAGATCATACAGTTGACTGTTCGTATAAAAGGAACTTATCACTTTCTCTACTATTTAGCACATGTATTACCTAATACCACTACCTTTAACAGGATATATCTCTGGGCATTAAATCTTTGTATAGGAGGATACCGTATCTCTATATAGAATAGGTCTAGTGACCTACTGTTAGCAGGAACATCGCGACCTCAGTTGACAAATTTCATTTTGGTATTGCCCTCATATATCTTTTCTATCAACATATTGGTCTTAATTGCTAAACTTCTGAGAGATAATAGCGTTGATTGGAAATCCCCGCGTTTTCAACCACAGCGGGGTATACATTGAAGCTTCCCGTATGGCCCTTGGGCAGTCTGGACAGCGCGGCTACAGATAACGAACAATGCGGCTGCAGATAAGTGATAATAAACTCTGTGTTGTCCCAAGCGGGGGACGGCTCATCTCGGAGAGACTCCACAGTTTTTGAGCTCTAATCTGGGGAAGTAGGTTTATTCCTGCTAGTGAGAGTTAATTATTACATCAATTAGTAATTTAGTATACCACCCACCTATAACTAGCTTCTTCCTTCCTTAGTAATTCTACTTTATTCCATCATAGCCTACTAGGATGGTTAGAGCATGACCCTAGACTAGGATATTCTGGCCTATGATAGTGATGAAATGTAAGGGTAATTAAAGATGAATTTCTTAAAATTTCTTACTCTTCCACTCAGGACCACTCTCTAGCTATACATATAAAGTATGTATAGTTTGAATACCTATGAATACAAGATAGGGCTATATAATTAATGCATATCATATAATCTATAATATTTATCTAGTTTATCTACCTGATTGGGTTACCTAGAACCTCTACCTAGGTCTACTCCTCTTAGCTAACGCTAGGATTAGTAGGATTCCTTCCCCTAGGCAAGAATCAAGGCATCTGCGTCAATTAAATTCACATTAAGCTACATAGCTGCGTAAAGAAATCCAAAATTATAGAGCAATCTGTATGTTGCAAACTTGCCGCTTAGGGCTCATGGGTTCACGCGGCAGGGCAAGGATGAATCAGTATGCGCATTAACTGAGTCCCATGTGAGATTTCTGAACGAGAGTGAGCTCTAGCCTTGATGTAAACCCAGAAGAAGCCTTAAAAGCTGCTACGCATCAGACCCATCCATGGCCACCACCATAATATCTTTAGAGAAACTTCCATAGAAAGTCAGATCACGACTCATTTTTGCATCTTCTTGCTTCGCCCAGTGTAAGGTATAGGACAAAATTAAGTATTTACCTCCCCAGGTCTCTGTAAAACGACAAGCAAATAGTTTTCAAACTTTGAGCTAGCAACTGGAAACGGTGCTTCAGTTATCATAATTAATGTCAGTTCGCGAGCTGTTTATCTAGCCATTCCAGTAAATAGGGAATTAAGGTTTGCGGGTCAGGGTCGTTCTCATTTGCACGCTCTTGCAAAAGATAGAGCTCAGAATTGAGCCATTGCTTGAGCAGCTCTCTCTCAGTAGGGCCCATTGGATCTTCAACAACCTCGTAGGTCTCGTGAGTTGGGGCGGGTTCTACGGCCCGAACGAAGGCCCAGAACGGCGACTTGGGCCTCAGCCGAAGGTTCCAAATCCATTGGTTGCCTCTTCTTTCAGGTTTACCTCCTTTAAGGGATGGACAGGTGTCAAGAGCCCCCAGGAATGTCAGAAGACGCACAGTACTATGCATGAACTCCTTTGAGATGTTGTTCACAGGCGGATAAAATTGTTCAAATCCCACATGAGTCCAAAACTGCCTGCGCGGCTTTCTGTGTATCGATCCCCATAGCCAGTAGAACAAGTTCATCGAATCTGGAATTTGGAGTCCTACCATAACTAAATTCCGGGAAATTAGTAAAAGCTCGGCTAGGAGAAGATTAGCTGGGGAGCATTCAGGTCAGGGTTCTCTTACAGGGGGGGTCAAAGGTGTCAACTGTTGGAGCGGCGCTCAGTTTCCAACTCGTGTCGCTCGCGGTAGGCATCCAGAAATATTCTTTGTTGAACTCAACAAAAGGATCCAGCTTGCTAATCATCCATGCAAGCGCAAAGTGTGCAAGACACTCATCTTTATTCCCACCACCAATGTCCGCGTGATAGCCCATAAACCAGCATTGCTGTAGTGAGCAATGATTTGTCTCTCGAGGTTTCCAAACGTATGGAAGAAAGGCTAGTCGGCGTTCGTGTAATGAGAGAGCTTGAAAGGCATTCTCAATCCCCTCGCAAAGGTCGGACAGAACGAAACTGAATCTGCTCGGTAGACGCGGACCAGAGAAACCCAGCTGAGGGACGCCAAGGGAGCAAACTGTATCCCACACGGCGCAAGCATTAATGCGAATACTAGGGCGTACTTGTGTGGGGTCACCTAGAACACCCGTACGGAATGCCTCCGGCACATTGTCAGTCCCTAGTTTCCCGCCAACCCACAGGTCATAGAGTTGGGTTAGGTAAAAGAGGCCCACCTTCGTGAGAAGGCCAGCCTTGTGAATAAAGTCAGCAATGCACCTGACTGTAAACGCGCCCCTAGAAAAGCCAATAAGGATTATTTTATCGTCCTCCCCAGAATAGTTGTGGCAGATGAAGCTATATGCTTCCATGATTTTCTCATCAATTCCTAGGAAGTCAGTCATAGCAAACTTCATCTGAGGTCAAGGGTTCAGCGAACCTGACCCGATCCCCTGGTTCAAGATATTCAAAGGATTCGCAGCAGCTGTACCGATGCCAGGCTGATAAAAGACCATCTGTGGGGTTCCATTATCGGCCACGGCTTTTATAGATCGAGAGATTCGCGACACATTGGTCAAAGAGAGTCCTCCATGTCGCTTGTACGATGAACATGCTGTTCCATCACAGCAGACAATAATACGCTTTGCACGACCGTCCATCTGTGCGCTGTCCAATTTAAGCCCTCATTCCGCATAAAGAGGTACGCATGCTTGCAGTCTCCAGCCCGCGTACTCAAGTAACTACGTAGTCAGAAAGATCGTCCTGGCAGATCACTGTTGCTCAATGGAAATTCCTGTAGCGAGTGGGGCTGTCTTGCATATGCGCAAGCCCAAGGTCTATGACGCAACGTTGCGTCACCAATCCCAGAGGCTTCCCGGACTACTTGCATTACGCGATGAATCCAGGAAACCCAGAAATTTGCCAGATCTTCCCACGCAGCTGGTTGAAAAGGAGGCCGTCCTATTCCCGTACCAACGCTAAAATGCTTGTCAAAATACGCACCAATGCACCTTGACTGAACTGTACGCAGATGCAGGAACAAACATCGATACCTTGCACATTTCAAGAGGAGCGAAAGAGAGCGCTTCCTTCAGTTTGAGAAAATGCTGAATACTTTTTGGAATTGGCTGCAGCGTGGCAATGATCGCCCAGCGGTCGCGCCAGGCGCTGGTGTACCCTACCCTTCCGGCCTTATTCTACTGAAGGCCGCAGAATCAGAACATGCTGCTAAGTAAGTTGCCTTCTTTTACAGCTCACTCCACTAGTATCCCGGCAGACGTCTGCAACAGAAGTTATAACTTTCTACAGCATTGTATTTGTTCATGATCTCACCCAAGACAACAAGGAGACGTGGGCAATGAAAGACGCAGGTGAACTGCTCTGGCCTATAGGACTCCTGCCAGGGGAGGTTCCAAATGCCAAAATCTTCGCCTTCGGATATGATGGTGGTAAAGCAACCAGCATGTCTCACATCCTCTCCCAGGAACAACTCACACAACATGCACAGGACTTGCTCCGAGAGGTGCAGTTAATCAAACCTAGAAACAGAGAGAAGCCGCACATCATCTTAATCGCTCATGGCTATGGTGGCCTTATCTGCGAGCAAGTGCGTGTGACTGCTATTCCTAATCGCCATTGCTATTGACACATGAATATCTCAGGCTTTGAAGCTTGCAGACGATACATTGAGGGAAGCAGGCTTTGCCGACTATGACAATCGAACTGGTGGAATGATTCTTTTCGACACGCCGCACTTTCGGGCTGGGCTTGCACAGTGGGCCATCCTCTCTGCAAAGAAAATGAAAATAGAATGCGCGGACAGTGCTCAACTGCAAGACTGGTCGCAATTCAAGGAAGACCTCACTGTCATCGCAAAAATGCAAGCTGAGTTTTGTTCCAAGTATATGCACACTGCCTGGGGAAAACGCCTCGGGTGTTGCTTTATTCATTCGTCTATCCCCAGAAGTAACCCTGTATGTAAATCGACAATGAAGAACTGCTCCATGAAAGTCCACTTACTGACTCGCGCTAGTTTTTGTCCCCAGAATGGACCACGCTCCCTCAAGTGAGATCTATTGCTATTCGTGCGGATCACTTCGGGATGACAAAATTTGGATCTTCGAAAGAGTCAGGTTTCACAGATATTGTAGAATTACTTGCCAGATGGGTTGGAGAATTGAGGGTTGAGCAGATGGGATTGTGCAGCTTGGGGGTACCTGATTCGAGCGGATTGGACCACCACCCAGAGGGGTTGCGGCGCAACAGCTCAGCCCACGAGGCGTCTAGCGCCTTGAATAAACGTCAAATGTCAGATGTCCCCCTTACTCCCTCAAAACTCCCGCGGATTCCGATTACGGACCGGGTGATTATAACAGCGGCTGAACAGCAAAGGTCTGAGAAGGTGTTAATCTTTTTGCTGGGGATGGTAATGGACAAACTCCCATTCTCCAACCCCATACTGAGAGCTGCAGCGGGCAACTCACAGTTTGGAGAGGAAATCATAAGCCTTCTGCTTAAGGAACATGGAACAGACATCCCAATTACAGAAGATGTGGTGAAGGCTGCAGCACACAATCCAGAGAGTGGAGCAGAAATCCTAGGCCTTCTACTTGAGAAATATGGACCAGACATCCCAATCACGCAGGAGGTGCTTAAGGCTGCAGCAAACAATCCATGGAGTGGAGCAGAAATCTTAAATATGCTGCTTAAGAGATATGGAGGAGACACCCCAATTACAGAAGAGGTGGTTATAGCTGCAGCAAACAATCCATGGAATGGAGCAGAAATCTTAAATATGCTGCTTAAGAGATATGGAGCAGACATCCCAATCACAGAAGAGGTGGTTATAGCTGCAGTATCAAATACAGGGAGTCGGGGGGGAGTCATAAGTCTTCTGCTTAATGAAAGAGCAGGCCAGATTCCAGTTACAGATGAGGTGCTTAAAGCTGCAGCAGAGAATCAGTGGGAAGGAGCAATGATCTTGAGCATTCTGCTTAAAGCCCAAGGAGACGATATACTAATTACAGAAGAGGTGGTTAAGGCTGCAGTAGCCAATCCAGAGAGTGGGACTGAAATCATAAGTCTTCTGCTCAAGGAACGCCCAGACCAGGTTCAAGTTACTATTAATGTACTAAAGGCTGCTGCAGAAAACTTGCGAAGAGGAAAAGAAATTTTAAGTCTTCTGCTGGAGAAACAAGAAGCCAAGGGCCTTATTACAGAAGAGGTGGTTAATGCTATAGTGGAGAATGAAGGAAATGGAAAGGATATAATGATCCTTCTACTTCAGAGGCAAGGAGCAGGAGTTCCAATCACTGAAAAACTGGTTATCAACATCGCAAGAAGATTTAATAAACATGTGATGAAGCTTCTCCTTGAGAAGCAGGGATCAATAATCCCAGTTACAGAAGACGTTGTCATCGAAATTGCAGGAAACTTTGACCGCGAGGTGATGTCTCTTCTACTTCTGAAACGAAGGTTCGAAATCCCCATTACAGACAAAGTGATGATAGCAGTGGCGCGAAACAGATGGAATGGGTCAAGCTTGATGATGCTACTTTTCGAAAAATTGGGAGCAAATATTCCAGTAACAAAAGAGGTGCTTGAAGCTGGATTGAAGAACGAAGGACTTGCTCCACACGTCACTGCTATTCTTCTCCACCAAAAGGGTGCGGATGCTCCAGTCACAGAGGAGATGGTTATTGACATTGCAAGAAGATTTGATGAAAAGTTGATGGGTCTTCTGCTTGAAAAACTAGCAGATAGGGTCTACATCACAGAAGAGGTGATTAGAGCTGCAGTAGAAAATAAAGAAAATGGAAAGGAGATAGTTAGTCTTCTTCTTCAAAAACGAGGGGCGCAGGTTCTAATCACAGAGGAGGTGCTCAAGACTATAGTGGTGAACTGGATCAGTGGGAAAGATATCCTAAGCCTCCTACTTAAGAAGCCAGGGGTGAGAATACTCATTACAGCAGGGGTGGTTAAGTGTGCAATGGAGAACCAAGAGAGTCAAGAAGAGATCTTAAGTTTCCTGCTTAAGAAATGGGGAGCAGATGTCCCAATCACAGAGGATGTGGCTATTGAGTTCACAAGGAAATTCAGGCCAGATACAATGAGACTACTGCTTGATGTCCAAGCAGATAGGGTCCCAATCACAGAGGAGGTGATTAGTGCTGCAGTGGAAAATGTGTGGAGCAGAAACAAGATACTAAGCCTTCTTCTTGAGAAAGATGGAGCATTTATCCCAATTACAGAGAAGGTAGCAGTTATGATTGCAAGAACATCTGAGCCACATGTGATGAGCGCTCTACTCAAGAGATATGGGGCAGATCTCCGAATCTCAGAGCAGGTGGTTAAGGCTTCAGTGGAAAATAAGTGGAGTGGGAATGACATCCTAGGTCTTTTACTGGACCATTATGGAGCAAAGGTTCCAATTACAAAGGATGTTGTTAAAGCTGCAGTGGAAAATGAGAGGTGTGGAAATAAGATCCTAAGGCTTCTCTTTCAAGAATGGGGAGCAGATGTCCCAATTACGGAAGAGGTGGCTATTAGGATTATAAGAGGATTTGAGCCAGATATGATAAAGCTTCTGCTTAATATCAAAGCAGATAGGGTTCCAGCCACAGAGGAGGTTGCTAAGGCTGCAGTGGAAAATGAGTGGGGTGGAAAGGAGATTCTGAGCCTTCTGCTTATGAAATATGGAGCAGACATCCCAATTACAGAAGAGGTGGTTATCGCTGCAGTATCAAATCCAGTGAGTGGGGGTGAAGTCCTGAGTCTTCTGCTTAATGAAAGAGCAGGACAGATTCCAGTTACAGAAGAGGTGCTTAAAGCTGCAGTAAAGAACCAGAAAGAGGAAAGAAGAAGTGGAGAGATGATTAGTGGAAGACCTGATCTTCATGTGATCAAACTTCTGCTTGATATAAAAGCAGGCTGGGTTCCAGTCACAGAGGAAGTGGTTAAGGCTGCAGTGGAAAATGAGCAGGCTGGAGAAGGGATTCTGAGCCTTCTATTTGAAAAATACAATGCAGATGTCCCAATCACAGAGGATATTACTAAGGCTGCAGTGGAAAATGAGGGGCGGGGTGGAATGGAAATTCTGAGCCTTCTACTTAAGAGATATGGAGGAGACATCCCAGTTACAGAGGAGGTAGCTAAGGCTGCAGTGGAAAATGAGTGGGGTGGAGAGAGAAACGTGAGCATTCTACTTAAGGGATATACAGGAGACATCCCAATTACAGAAGAGGTGGTTATAGCTGCAGTAAAAAATGAAATCAGTGGAGAAGGGATTCTGAGCCTTCTGGCAGAGGAACGGGAGGCAGACATCACAGTTACAGAGGCACTCATCCTTGAGATCATAAATGATCCGGCCATGGGAGAACGAACCAGGCAGATCCTCAAAAAGTGCGCTGCTTCTGACCGGTGAGGCACTGACAGCAAGTCTATTCAAGACAAACATTCACTGTCCCAGGGCTCTTTCGGGGTTCGTTTAAAAACACACGTGGGCACGGGTTCTCGGTTTCCTCTAGCAGAAACCATGTGGACAATGTATCTTATCCATCTGCAGGCTCTGGAAAAGACTACTTTAATACTGCTATTGTCATGGCAAACACCAGCCTTCACTGAAATTAATCTTAAACTAGACTAGGAGGAAGCGAGAGAAAAAGCCTCTGATAGATAGGTAATAGCAGGGATTACTATATTCTCTAATGCACCGTGCCGCCACTGTATGACTACCACCCTGAGTACCAGGCCATCATCTGCCGGAAGTTCGCAGTGGTGGTTCCCGGCCGCCTGGACCAGCAACATATCCAGTACACCCACCAGCTGCGGGGGGTGCTGGGACCGTCGTCTACAGCTCCGCACGCTGCCCGGGGTCATCTGGCCCCAGCAGGACCACACGGACTCCCTGCTGCTCTCCCACAGCAACAAACTGATCCCGCAGCCCATCCAAGCCCTAGCCCCAGCCCCGGCCCTGACCAAGCCATCCCTCCCAAGAGCCGCCGACGAAGCGCCTGTGGCGGTGGTGATAGTGGGGTCAGGAAGCCTGAGTGTAGTGGGCGACACAGCCTATACCAGGACTGGTCAGGGCGTGCTGGACTAGGGGCAGAGGAGGGGACGGTTGTAGCCCAGGCAGCCGATGCAGGATTGACCTGGAATGAGTTAGACTGCCTAGGGGCCACTCTCGCCCCTCTCTGCTGGCAATATGGGCTATGGGCTACCATCTGGCAGATCCGCGAATGAATCATTCTACTACTGTATTATTGTTGTTCCCTTCTGCAGAAAGACACTCGCATCGATTTCCATAGAAGGATACACTAAGATAACTGCTATCTCGCAGACAGGCAGCAGGCTCTACTAACAATGCCTTGACCACCTCAGCGCCTCCACGCTGGCCAGATCGGACAGCGCCCTCCATGTATCCACGCCACTGGTTGGAGGTCTCAGTGCCTACAAAATGCACCCGCCCAACAGGCGTGGCCAGTTCACCGCCTATATTGGTGAGTACCCCCGGAATTGTGATTGGGCAAGGAGCACCAAGAAAATGAGCCTCCTTGGACCACTCCATCTCCAATGTGTTGGTCGGCGTAGGAACGTCGACAAATTCGCCAAATCTCTGACTGAACTGCTCCCAGGCCTTCTGGTGGCGGGAGGCCCGGGGCAGCTTAGACCAGTTCCTGCCTTTGTCACCAGCCAAAAAGCAAGTAATCGACCACTGGTCATCAGTTTGGATACTTGTGTCCCGAGTAAAAGTGATTGGGCCCTTGTCAGAATCTAGGACACCCGAGAACCCAGCTTTTTGCCACCAAGGCTCGTTGAACACGTAGATCAATTTGCTATAATATCCCGCTGCCGTGTTGTCGCTCAATATAGCCTTTTGCCCCGGCAGCGCAGGTTTGAAGGCAATTTGATGATACAGAGATGCAGGGATGGAGACGATCACTCTTCCAGAATAAAAGCTCAGGCCGCCCTCCGTGGAGACAACACAGCGTCCCTCTCGCGACTGGTCAATAGAAGTAACCAGCATGCGGAGAAAGACGCAGTTCTGGCCAAGCTCCTCTGCCATCTTCTGGGAAATTATTTGGTTTCCTGGTCTAGTCATTTCAAACGTCCATGGTTATTAACAAAGGTGCCCTACCTTGTCGGTTTCGCAGGTATTGTCCGCCGTCTTTCTGGTCCGAGATAATGTTGTCGATCCCAGCGCCACTCTTGAAGTAGAGCAGCATAAACAGGGCACTGACTTCGTCACTCTCCACCCCGGCCACGCATGTGGACAGTAAGTTAGAGATCTCAATTGCATCGTCCGACTGTGCTTGTTGAACGCAGAACTCGCGGAACGTGAGTTGATCGATCTCTCTGGCGCGAGCAGTTTTGGTCGGGTTGTCCAAGTCGATCAGCGCGCATTCGGTTCGAAACACCTCAAGCAGCGCTAGCATTACTTCCAGATTTCCCTGCGAAGTTGTTAGCCAGCACTCACGCACGACGATTTGAGTCGCAAGACCTACAGGCAGAGTGCCGAATGGTACCTTGGCAATTGACCCGTCCGCTGCCTGCAGAAGGGTTTCTCCACTGTCGCGTTGGATTTCGGTGTCAATACCATACCGCTGGTATAGCTTGAACATTTCGCTCTGGTTGGTATCATTGATCCAGGATGCACCCAGATCATTGAAACCTTTTTCGCAAGACTGGACGGTCAACGTCTTCCCGCCGATGCGGTTGGTAGCCTCCAAGACGCACACGCTGAAGCCCGCTGCCCGCACCGAGTGAGCATCTTGGAGGCCACTGAGCCCGGCGCCAACCACCACCACGTCGTACTGAGGTATGCAGACAAGAAGCACTCCTTGACGCAAGCAGCTGGCTTATATGTCGTGTTCAAGAAAGCGAGCCATGCCTGTCCAGGAATAGTAACAAACCTTATCCTTATCTGCAGCCGCGCTTATCAGGCAGCATAGCATCCTGTCACCACTTCTCCCCAAATGACCCTTCACCATCATCCTCATCCCCATCGCAAGTCAAGAACGGCCGATTTAGAATGAGCCAGGCATTTCCCCGCACCAGAACAGGCTGCCTGACTTGCCGCCAGCGTAAAAAGAAATGTGACGATGCGAAGCCGCGCTGCCAGGCGTGCGAGCGTAACAGATTAGACTACTTGTAGCCATCACATATACGCCGGAGGTTCAATCTCGATAATTATCAGGAAATCACTAATGATGGACACTCCCATACGTTGGTAGTGGCTAGGGAGTCCCCCAGCCCGACCTCAGCGGAGTCTGGATCTACTTCTCTCGCCCGCGGTGCCTCCCCCGTGTTTACAAACAATACAGAACTCAATGAAGTCGTCTGGTCTTGGGGACTTAACACTTTTTTGAGCCCAGTACGAGCAGGCATGTTGTTGCCGGTATCACAGATCTTACTCTCGTATTACCTTGAATCCACCGCTCCTAAATTAGCCCCTTCATCGGACGTGCCGTTCGTTTCGTGGGTTATGCCTGTCGCCTATAATGATGACCTCATAATGCACAGCATTCTGGCATTAGGCGGAGCGCATCTGTCTTATCACTTACAAGAAAATATCGAGATTCAGCAGGCAACTTGCCGACACTATTCCTTCGCCGTGCGGACCCTGCGCCGTATATCGGAGGATGAGACCCTCCTTCGCGAACCTCTGGTACTCCTTCGAATGATCTTGACTGTGATAATCCTTTGTCACTACGAGGTACGTTGACAACCTTCTTATTCTGGGTCGAAGTCGCCTGACTGGCTTGATTTGGGGACTTGAAGGTAGTCTCAGGAAATCTCGACGGGTCCCCTTTCACCCACCTTCGGGCTAGCCGTCACCTGCTTCTGGAATTGCGAAGCAGGCGTCACCAGATCAACACGACCGCTGAGCTGAAATTGTATGGATTTGTAACGGAGCTCTATTCTTACGTTGTCCTCTGCAACACCATCACTCCCTTCGCAATGAACTGTAAGCGGACCCTCGTTCATGACAAATTTCTGCAATCCCTCGACGACCTGCGAGACTTTGGTGCATTCGGGGTCATGTTCGGTGGCGGCCACGGCCTTTTCGAAATGATATCGTTAATATCTCTCTTTGCCGCGCACAAAGAGTCTCTCCCGTCAATGGGTCACGACACGGACCCGGAGCGCTATGAGATATACGAACGATTCAAGAGTCGCATTATCAACTGGAATCCTCCGGCTATGGACTCCCCTGAGAATGACTCCGACCATGACTTGCTCTCAGGGCGCAAAGCGGCCTTAGAGTTGTGTCGACTGGTTTTGATGATCTTTCTGGAAACCGCCCTTTCCCCATTCTCTAAATATGACTCCGCGCGGATCTATCAGCTCCAACCTCTCCTTGATGTGGCCATGTCATATTTGCCGCTGGTCTCTCCTACCAAGTTCTCTTGCATCGCTATGTGGCCGCTCATGATCATTGGCTCCTGCTTGGTAGAAGAAGATCAGCGCAGGGTCATGAAGAATATCTTGATCCACAATCAATATATGATGAGGAACACAGCTCAGGCGAGCAATCTGCTGGAGTTGCTCTGGATGGATCCGGATGAATATGCAATCGGTCCATATGGGCTGGGAATGTTGATGGAAAACTACGAGTTGGACTATGGGGTTATTTGAATCATGAGACCGGACTCAAATATAGCAATTCGAAGCTCATGTACGCTATTCTAATGTCCTTATGCCCCCGATTGGCCCATCAGTACKGTTATTTATTCAGGCAGGCCACGTATGATTCAAGAGAAACATATGCTTTGCACTGGTCTTAAATTCATCCGCAGTAACTATTCAGTCAACCCTTTCAGTAAAATAGAAAAGCTCCAGCTGAAGGAGAAAGTCCGGTTTTTATAGGAGCAGTTGTAGAATTGAAATCTCTTTATCCTGGCTGAATCTCAATTCCAGTTTTATGTCTGGACCTGACACTATTTAGGATAACGTTAGGGGTAGTTCCCCAGGCGGCTCATCATTTGTTCCTTGCCTGTATGTTTACCACTAAGGCAATAGCATTGACTATATGTACAGCGAATAATGTAAATAGATGGTCATTGCATCCCATTCACTCTTAAGCTCCCATTGCAAACTTTACTAAGTCCTTGGAGCTACCGAAAAACACATTTGCCTCTCCTCCATTTTCACTCCAACCTGCATATTGCCAGAACCTAGCAGCCTCCCAGCCTGCCGGCAGCGCGCCCATCTCCTCAGCCCAGTTCGCCAACCATAATGCATGGTCCGCGCCAAACGTCGCATTGTTCCCGGCGCACTGTGACCACCAGCTGGCCGAGAGGAACAGGATCGGCGCTCGACCCGTCCGGAACTTGTACCTGTGAGAGAAATCGAGCATCCAGTCCGTAATTTCTGTTGGCGTCATCCCATGGCAAAGCTTGCCCGCAATATTGCCTTCCATCTCCAGCACCCCAGGGAGCCTCTGTCCATCCGCGGTCCAGTTCCCTCCATGTTCGATGAAGAAGTCGGCTTGATCGGCTCCGCTGCTTTCCGCTGCAGTTGCGAAGTGCACTGCGCCATGGAGGACCCCCGCAGCGAGAGCGCCGGCTGTTTGAGAAGCGAAGCGCACGTTTTCGTAGTTGATACCCTCAGTTGCCTGTGGCGAGCGTCGGTCAATAATAAGTCCGGGCCAGATCACATACGCTTAAGATAGATTGGAGAGAAATGGGGATTGTAAACGTCGATCGTTTTTGATCGATGATCGATCTCACCCACCTTGACGAAGACAAACTTCACCCCATCGGCGACTGCGGCCTTCCAGTCTACAGGGAGATGGACCTCAAACAGATCGATTCCTTCAGTTCCATTCTGTGTCGCAGTTGCAGAAGAAACAGACAAAAGGCCTAGGAGGAGCCACCACGGCGTCAGAAGTTGCATGATTTCTCGGGGAATTTGTATCAAGTCCAAAAAAATGGATCGCTGCACGAAATGACGATCAAAGACGGGGAACCCCTTTTTTGCTGTCCTGATTGAGTTCCGACTTGCAGAGTGGAGACATGCACTAAAAGTCCTAGCAGCGCGCTAGTGTAATAAATAAGATTTAGCATAGTCAAAAATCCTTTCAAGTTCTTGGCATGATTTTTACAAAAGGCTAAGGGATCTCACTAGAGAACAATCCCGTGCCAAGCAGGAAGATGTGGCGTCGGCTTTAAGAGGGATTGCTTTTGTCCGTCGGTCTACGAATGACCCTGCCAGGGACTTTTGGCAAACGGTGGCTCGAGATGCAGACATTGGTCGTGGGGAATTAGACAAAATTTAAATATTGCTATGAATGACGACCATTTTGATCTCAAGGACGATAGATTAGAGCGTAGGAAGAGAGCGCACAGACGACTGACTCTCGTAACAAAAGTATTTCTTCAACAAAGCTGATGTCGTAGCCAAGGTATAAGAAAGCAAGCGGAGTCACCCAGGAATTCTGTGCTGGATCGACCTCGCTCAACAGTACTGAGCACAATCTCATTACCTTTGTCCCGCTTTTGGCTCCGTTTAAGCGGTTTCCTCCTTATGCTCAATTGCGCCAGTCTTGTCTTCCAATCCCTCGGTTTTAATTCGCTGTGCCAGGATACTCGTTTCCGTGACTCGGCGCTCGCTTTTGGTGGAATTGCCGATGAACCAGGGAGTCTCGGTGAAGAGTTTCTTCATCTCCTCCAGGGGCAACTGTTTCGTTTCCGGGAGCATGGCCCAGAAGAAGACGGCATTGGTGAAATTGCAGACCTAGATACAGGATGTCAGCTACCAGTGAAGGTTCCCTGGAGTATTCTGGCATGCAAGAGGGAGACCATGGAGCAATTTGATGGATGCTCACCACGAACAGGATGTAGAATCGCCATCCAGAGTTTGCCATTCCAATGGGTGTTACTTGACCGATCAGTGTGCTAGCAGGGAAAGATGAGCTATTAGCTGTATTTCTCTACTATAGCGAGATTCAGGCTGGGAAAGGACACACTTGAAGGCAAATGATACCATGCAGCCCAAGGCTACCCCCCTGGCTCGTGTTGCTGTATCGAAGATTTCGGCAGGAATCATCCAAGCTATGTACGATTTAGTGACGACTTTCCTGAATTGTCAAAGAATAGTATGAAAGGAAGGAAGTTGGTCATACACAATGATCCCATACTGGCAAAGCAGAAATTAAAGACCCATGTCATAATAATGAAACCCCAGTGTGCGCCCGTGCTGTTCACCTCGGGAGGAAACTGGGCAAGAAGGATTGTGCTGATCACGTATGTGAGACACATGGCAAGATTTCCACCCACGACGAGTTTGCGACGACCAATTTTATCGACGACCATCATAAGAAGGAATTCACCAATGAGGCCAATGATTGAGTTGATGGCTTGGTAGCGCAGAGTGTCCGTTCCATCAATGCCGATTTGTTTCTAATTTGAAGCTACAGTCAGCCATTTGAAGAAGAAGAGGCTCTTATTGCAAGGAATATTTACAAAGATGGTGACCGAGTAATATTGAATAGCGGAGACTCCCGTCATTTGTGTGGCAGCTTGCATAGCGCAAGCCAGTAGCAGACGACGGAAGTTTGACTTGTCGACGATCCACCGATAAAATGTGACCTGGCTATGTTCCTTCTCTGCGGCAACCTGGGCTTTGATCTGTTCAAACTCGGCGAGAATCCAAGGGTCGGAGGTGTTGCCGTTGGCATGGAGTCCCGCCAGGGTCTGGAGACCTCTCTCCCGCTGACCGCAGCTAATGAGCCAACGAGGCGATTCTGGGAACAGGAAGATCAAAGCGGACAGTAGAGCGGCCGGCACAATCTGAATGCCTAATGGGATGCGCCACTGGCGGTTATCCACAAAACTAACGTAGGTGCCATAGCTGATCCAGCTTCCGCAGACACCGCCAATGCCGAGCATGAACTGTTGCAATCCAGTCACCAGGCCTCGGATATTGGGATGAACCAATTCTGCCTGATAAATTGGGATGATCATGGTGAGTACACCGATACTTTGGATTGTTTGTTAGTCAAGCCCGGCCCCGGTCGTCACAAGCCAGGAAAGGGACTTTGAAATGGGGAACTTACGAGACACCCGAGATGAAACGACCTCCTAAGACGTAGCCATAATTTTGCGCACCGGTCTGCAAGCCACCTCCCAGGCAGAAGATTAAGCCGCCAGTCAAGATGGTTGCCCGGCGGCCGAAGTAATCCGAGCATGGGTACGCTAGCCCGGCGCCGACGAAGGCGCCGGCCGTGAGAAGGGACGCGACTAGGCCTATCTCAGTGGTGGATGGGCTGAAATAGTTCAGAAAAGAACCGCTGGATACCACTAGTAGAAAGCAGTCGATGTGCGTCAGTTCTAGCGAACATATGCAGAGATATTCGCCCACTGACTTACCCTCGGCCACAATTGTAAGGTCATATCCATAGAGGAACGACCCAAGTGAAGCAAAGGTGCCTACCAGAAACTGGTATACCTTGGGAGGGAAACCCATTTTGGTTTCTTCTGAGCTCAATTGACCTTGAGTATAGGTAAAGCAATGAAGATGAAATAATGAAGACCGTTGTCTGCCCACAATATTCGAGGAACATCCCCAGCCTTTTAAGCTATGCCGATCTCCATGCGGGGAGCTGCATACTGCGCTAAACTAAACATGGCGTTCGGGTGTCGATTCAGAAATCTGGGGGTGTCGCTTCAGCAATTATCGTTTAACTCTATTTTGTTCTTTTTTCAAGGGCGAAACCCATTAATTTCCTTTTTGGGAAGTCCACCGGTGGCTTCAGAACGCCTGCGGAAAACGAGCCAATCAGAGCGCGACGATTCCGCAGTCACTCAAACCCTCGTCAACTCTCGTGATCTTCACTTCTGCTATCCAACTGTCTACGGTGCAAGAAGACAAAATGTGACCATGTATGCGAGATATTTGATTGACTTCTCGGGATAATACACAGCGAGTTGAGCACGGGATGAGACAAGATGACTCGAGAAGATGGCCTGTTACTTTCTCTGTCTCTCTCTCACTTGGCCTTCTTGCTTTCCTTTCCACCAGAAAGACAGAAATCAAAGTAATCTGATGAGCATTGCCAAGAATGGCAGAAATCATTGCACTGCGCGTTGAGCAGCACACTTCCGGGCTGGGTGTACACAGCTCCACGCCTCGTATATCCTGGACATTCTCCTCTATTGACGAGTCTATCTGCGACTGGAAACAATTTCAGTATGAGATTGCCGTGCAACGTGAAACTGGGCCGCCCGCACACCTCGTTGTCCAAAGCGCAGAGTCATCTTTAGTCGCATGGCCGAGCACGCCGTTACAGTCGCGAGAACAAGCTCAGGTGCGAGTTCGAGTGCGTGGAAGCTGGATGGATCGAGCAACCGGGTGCGCACATTCGGATTGGTCTGCATGGTCATCATGGGCCCCGGTTGAATGCAGCCTCCTCAGTTCGCAGGATTGGATTGCTGTGCCGATCTCTAGCCCATCCGTTCCGGTGAGCCCCAATGAGCCACTAAGGCCTTTGCTATTCCGAAAGGCCTTTGTTTTGCCTTCCGCATTTGGCTCCGTGTACCGCGCCCGCTTGTATATCACAGCTTTTGGGGTCTATCAGGCGTATCTCAATGGTGTCCGGATTGGGGATCACGAAATGGCGCCCGGATGGACAAGCTACAACCATCGCCTTGCGTATCAAGTGTTTGACGTCGACGCCTTAATCACCAACAAGGGCGATAACGTGTTATGCATCGAGGTTGCTGAAGGGTGGTTTGCGGGCCGTTTGGGCTTTGGTGGTGGCAGGAGGTATATCTATGGAGATCGCATAGCCGTCATGGCTCAGTTGGAGGTGGTCGGGCTCGCAGCTGAACGATTCCAGGTTGCGTCCGACGTCAGCTGGAAGTGCCACCCGAGTCCCATCGTGAGCAGCGAAATTTACAACGGCGAAATCTATGATGCGCGAGCCGAGGTTGGCGACTGGAGCCAACATGGCCCTCTCTATGTTGACGCGGACTGGGAGACAGTCTCCGTGTTGGCCTTTCCCCGTGCGCGATTATATGCGCCAAACGCCCCTCCAGCACGAATCACGGAGAAACTGACACCCATAAAATTATTCACCACCCCAGCCGGCCGGAAGATTGTTGACTTTGGCCAGAATCTGGTCGGAAAGCTTCTCATACATTCCATGACGCTCCCGGTGAACGCAACAGTGACCTTCACCCACGCAGAGGTCATGGACGACGACGGAGAATTGGGGACGAGACCCCTTCGGGGTGCACAATCCGTCGATACAGTCATCTCATCAGGGCGGCCGTTGCTTGATTGGTCGCCGAAATACACTTTCCATGGCTTTCGATTCGTGCAAGTCGATGGATGGGATCCTGAAACGGAGCAGTCCTGGCAAACGAACATTCGTGCACTAGTAATCCACACTGATTTCAAGCGGACGGGGCGGTTCGAGTGTTCGAATATGGCCATCAATCAATTGCATCAGAATGCCTGCTGGAGCATGCGCGGGAACTTCTTGTCAATCCCCACGGACTGCCCCCAACGGGACGAGCGCTTGGGATGGACAGGAGATATTCAAGTCTTTGGCCCATCTGCAACATTTCTGTATGATTGTATTGGAATGCTTTCAGAATGGTTGGAAGATGTTGCCTGTGAGCAATCAGAGCACTACGGCGTTCCCCCGTTGGTGGTCCCCAATGTCCTGGACCACGTGTGGCCATCCATTCCCCAGGCCTTGTGGGGTGATGTGGTGATAATTCTTCCCTGGATATTGTTTCTGTCATCCGGTGATCGCGATATTCTACATCGACAGTATGCCAGCATGACCTCATGGCTGAACCAGGGGGTCCGTCGAGGCAAAGATGGACTGTGGGATCCCGAGTTATGGCAATTGGGCGATTGGCTCGATCCCCAGGCGCCACCGGACG